GCTGGCATCACAACATGGAGACAGGGGACTACACACTGGACACACATCCTGCTGGCATCACAACATGGAGACAGGGGACTACACACTGGACACATCCTACTGGCATCACAACATGGAGACAGGGGACTACACACTGGACACACATCCTGCTGGCATCACAACATGGAGACAGGGGACTACACACTGGACACACATCCTGCTGGCATCACAACATGGAGACAGAAGACTACACACTGGACACACATCCTGCTGGCATCACAACATGGAGACAGGGGACTACACACTGGACACACATCCTGCTGGCATCACAACATGGAGACAGGGGACTACACACTGGACACACATCCTGCTGGCATCACATCATGGCAACAGGGGACTACACACTGGACACACATCCTGCTGGCTTCACAACATGAAGACAGGGGACAACATGAAGACAGGGGACTACACACTAGACACATCCTACTGGCATCACAAACATGGAGACAGGGGACTACACACTGGACACACATCCTACTGGCATCACAACATGGAGACAGGGGACTACACACTGGACACACATCCTGCTGGCATCACAACATGGAGACAGGGGACTACACACTGGACACACATCCTGCTGGCTTCACAACATGAAGACAGGGGACAACATGAAGACAGGGGACTACACACTAGACACATCCTACTGGCATCACAAACATGGAGACAGGGGACTACACACTGGACACACATCCTGCTGGCACCACAACATGGAGACAGGGGACTACACACTGGACACACATCCTGCTGGCATCACAACATGGAGACAGGGGACTACACACTGGACACACAACCTGCTGGCATCACAACATGGAGACAGGGGACTTCACACTGGACACACATCCTGCTGGCATCACAACATGGAGACAGGGGACTACACACTGGACACAAATCCTACTGGCATCACAACATGGAGACAGGGGACTACACACTGGACACACATCCTCCTGGTATCACATCATGGAGACAGGGGACTACACACTGGACACACATCCTACTGGCATCACAACATGGAGACAGGGGACTACACACTGGACACATCCTACTGGCATCACAACATGGACACAGGGGACTACACACTGGACACACATCCTGCTGGCTTCACAACATGAAGACAGGGGACAACATGAAGACAGGGGACTACACACTGGACACATCCTACTGGCATCACAACATGGAGACAGGGGACTACACACTGGACACACATCCTGCTGGCATCACAACATGGAGACAGGGGACTACACACTGGACACATCCTGCTGGCATCACAACATGGAGACAGAAGACTACACACTGGACACACATCCTGCTGGCATCACAACATGGAGACAGGGGACTACACACTGGACACACATCCTACTGGCTTCATAACATGGAGACAGGGGACTACACACTGGACACACATCCTACTGGCATCACAACATGGAGACAGGGGACTACACACTGGACACACATCCTACTGGCTTCATAACATGGAGACAGGGGACTACACACTAGACACACATCCTGCTGGCATCACAACATGGAGACAGGGGACTACACACTGGACACACATCCTGCTGGCATCACAACATGGAGACAGGGGACTACACACTGGACACATCCTACTGGCATCACAACATGGAGACAGGGGACTACACACTGGACACACATCCTGCTGGCATCACAACATGGAGACAGGGGACTACACACTGGACACACATCCTGCTGGCATCACAACATGGAGACAGAAGACTACACACTGGACACACATCCTGCTGGCATCACAACATGGAGACAGGGGACTACACACTGGACACATCCTACTGGCATCACAACACGGAGACAGGGGACTACACACTGGACACACATCCTACTGGCATCACAACATGGAGACAGGGGACTACACACTGGACACACATCCTGCTGGCTTCACAACATGAAGACAGGGGACAACATGAAGACAGGGGACTACACACTAGACACATCCTACTGGCATCACAAACATGGAGACAGGGGACTACACACTGGACACACATCCTGCTGGCATCACAACATGGAGACAGGGGACTACACACTGGACACACATCCTGCTGGCATCACAACATGAAGACAGGGGACTACACACTAGACACATCCTGCTGGCATCACGACATGGAGACAGGGGACTACACACTGGACACACATCCTGCTGGCATCACAACATGGAGACAGGGGACTACACACTGGACACACATCCTACTGGCATCACAACATGGAGACAGGGGACTACACACTGGACACATCCTGCTGGCATCACAACATGGAGACAGAAGACTACACACTGGACACACATCCTGCTGGCATCACAACATGGAGACAGGGGACTACACACTGGACACACATCCTACTGGCTTCATAACATGGAGACAGGGGACTACACACTAGACACACATCCTGCTGGCATCACAACATGGAGACAGGGGACTACACACTGGACACACATCCTGCTGGCATCACAACATGGAGACAGGGGACTACACACTGGACACATCCTACTGGCATCACAACATGGAGACAGGGGACTACACACTGGACACACATCCTGCTGGCATCACAACATGGAGACAGGGGACTACACACTGGACACACATCCTGCTGGCATCACAACATGGAGACAGAAGACTACACACTGGACACACATCCTGCTGGCATCACAACATGGAGACAGGGGACTACACACTGGACACATCCTACTGGCATCACAACATGGAGACAGGGGACTACACACTGGACACACATCCTACTGGCATCACAACATGGAGACAGGGGACTACACACTGGACACACATCCTACTGGCATCACAACATGGAGACAGGGGACTACACACTGGACACACATCCTGCTGGCTTCACAACATGAAGACAGGGGACTACACACTGGACACACATCCTGCTGGCATCACAACATGGAGACAGGGGACTACACACTGGACACACATCCTGCTGGCATCACAACATGGAGACAGGGGACTACACACTGGACACACATCCTGCTGGCATCACAACATGGAGACAGGGGACTACACACTGGACACACATCCTACTGGCATCACAACATGGAGACAGGGGACTACACACTGGACACACATCCTGCTGGCATCACAACATGGAGACAGGGGACTACACACTGGACACACATCCTGCTGGCATCACAACATTAAGACAGGGGACTACACACTGGACACACATCCTGCTGGCATCACAACATGGAGACAGGGGACTACACACTGGACACATCCTGCTGGCATCACAACATGGAGACAGAAGACTACACACTGGACACACATCCTGCTGGCATCACAACATGGAGACAGGGGACTACACACTGGACACACATCCTACTGGCTTCATAACATGGAGACAGGGGACTACACACTGGACACACATCCTACTGGCATCACAACATGGAGACAGGGGACTACACACTGGACACACATCCTACTGGCTTCATAACATGGAGACAGGGGACTACACACTGGACACACATCCTGCTGGCATCACAACATGGAGACAGGGGACTACACACTGGACACACATCCTGCTGGCATCACAACATGGAGACAGGGGACTACACACTGGACACATCCTACTGGCATCACAACATGGAGACAGGGGACTACACACTGGACACACATCCTGCTGGCATCACAACATGGAGACAGGGGACTACACACTGGACACACATCCTGCTGGCATCACAACATGGAGACAGAAGACTACACACTGGACACACATCCTGCTGGCATCACAACATGGAGACAGGGGACTACACACTGGACACATCCTACTGGCATCACAACATGGAGACAGGGGACTACACACTGGACACACATCCTACTGGCATCACAACATGGAGACAGGGGACTACACACTGGACACACATCCTACTGGCATCACAACATGGAGACAGGGGACTACACACTGGACACACATCCTGCTGGCTTCACAACAAGAAGACAGGGGACTACACACTGGACACACATCCTGCTGGCATCACAACATGGAGACAGGGGACTACACACTGGACACACATCCTGCTGGCATCACAACATGGAGACAGGGGACTACACACTTGACACACATCCTGCTGGCATCACAACATGAAGACAGGGGACTACACACTGGACACACATCCTACTGGCATCACAACATGGAGACAGGGGACTTCACACTGGACACACATCCTGCTGGCATCACAACATGGAGACAGGGGACTACACACTGGACACACATCCTGCTGGCATCACAACATGGAGACAGGGGACTACACACTGGACACACATCCTACTGGCATCACAACATGGAGACAGGGGACTACAAACTGGACACACATCCTGCTGGCATCACAACATGGAGACAGGGGACTACACACTGGACACACATCCTGCTGGCATCACATCATGGAGACAGGGGACTACACACTAGACACACATCCTGCTGGCATCACAACATGGAGACAGGGGACTACACACTGGACACATCCTGCTGGCATCACAACATGGAGACAGAAGACTACACACTGGACACACATCCTGCTGGTATCACAACATGGAGACAGGGGACCACACACTGGACACACATCCTGCTGGCATCACAACATGGAGACAGGGGACTACACACTGGACACACATCCTGCTGGCATCACAACATGGAGACAGGGGACTACACACTGGACACACATCCTGCTGGCATCACAACATGGAAACAGGGGACTACACACTGGACACACATCCTGCTGGCATCACAACATGGAGACAGGGGACTACACACTGGACACACATCCTGCTGGCATCACAACATGGAGACAGGGGACTACACACTGGACACACATCCTGCTGGCATCACAACATGGAGACAGGGGACAACACACTGGACACACATCCTACTGGTTTGTCATCAGCCAAGGATCGCCATGGTTTCAATGACGGCTGTTTTCTACTTGCCCTGGGTTTCCCCCCAGGAGGTCGCTGATGCTGGCGGGGAGGGAGTAGTAGCTTGTCACCACCCCCGTCGTGATGAAAGTGGCGAGGAGGAACACGCCGGCTGCTGCAGCACCAAGCACTCTGGAGCTGCAACATCACATCACATCACATCATCAATCATTGTCTATTTGTTTGTTGTTTAACACCGCACTCAGCAATATTCCAGCTATGTGACGGTGGTCTGTAAATAATCTAGTCTGGGCCAGACAATCCAGTGATTGACATCATGAGCATCGATCCACGCAATTGGGATATGATAACATGGATCAACCAAGTCAGCGAGTCTGACCAGCCATCCTGTTAGTTGCCTCTAGCATAATCGCCTTTTGCGGTAAACATCACACTACACCACACAGGGGTAAAGACCATGGTCTTTACCTATAGTCTTTACCCATACTCTTTACCCATGGTCTTTACTCACGATCTTTACCCATGGTCTTTACCTGTGGTCTTTACCAATGGTCTTTACCCACGATTTTTACCCATGGTCTTTACCTGTGGTCTTTACCAATGGTCTTTACCCACGATCTTTACCCATTGTCTTTACCCATGGCCTTTACCCATAGTCTTTACCCACGGTCTTTACCCATGATCTTGACCCACAATCTTTACCCATGGTCTTTAACCACGATCTTTACCCATGGTCTGTACCCATGATCTTTATCCATGGTCTTTACCCACAGTCTTTACCCATGGTCTATACCCACAATCTTTACCCTCGGTCTTTACCCACGATCTCTACCCACGATTTTTATCCATGGTCTTAACCCATAGTCTTTCCCCACGATCTTTACCCATGGTCGTTACCTGTGGTCTTTACCTGTGGTCTTTACCCACGATCTTTACCCATGATCTTTACCTGTGGTCTTTACCTGTGGTCTTTACCAATGGTCTTTACCCACGATCTTTACCCATGATCTTTATCCATGGTGTTTACCCATTTTTTTTGTCTTTACCCACGATCTTTACCCACAGTGTTTACCCATGGTCTTTACCCATGGTCTTTACCCCTGATCTTTACCAATGATCTTTACCCACAGTCTTTACCCACAGTGTTTATCCATTGTCTTTACCCATGGTCTTTACCAATGGTCTTTACCCATGGTCTTTACCCATGATCTTTACCAATGATCTTTACCCACAGTCTTTACCAATGATCTTTACCAATGATCTTTACCATGGTCTTTACCCATGGTCTTTACCCATGGCCAGGAGACAGACATCTCTCAGAAATGCAGTGCCGCATCAATAAGACTTGGTAATTCCGTATAACTCTTGCATGTTACAGACTCAGCAAAAGACCGAAAGACTGGTTCGGTCTGTTAGAAAACCTTTCAACAGCCAGATGATTTTACTCACAAATATAAGGGCACAAATATCAGAGGACTGAGAATGTAGAACTGCATGTCGTTTGCAAGGTACCACGCCCATCCCATACACTGAAAATAGGAGACAATGTTTTTTATAACCTGTTTTTTCTGGGTGTATCCAACAAAATATTTATTTACAGAACACCATCAAACAATCAATTTATCTTCTCTTCTATGACACAAAAAGTGATGTCTGGTTATTTTCATTTTCATTTTTTTTCCACCACCTTTGAAAGAAATTGGGCATATTTCTGAAGAAACTACTCATTGTAAACAGTCAGGTGGTCAGACAGATGGACAGACAATGAACAGATGGATTGACAGACAATAAACAGACAGATGGACAATGAACAGTCAGATGGACAATGAACAGTCAAATCGACAAACAGATGGACAGACGACAGACAATGAACAGATGGATTGACAGACAATGAACAGACAGATGGACAATGAACAGTCAGATCGACAAACAGATGGACAGACGACAGACAATGAACAGACAGATGGACAATGAACAATCAGATGGACAAACAGATGGACAGACGACAGACAATGGATAGACAGGTGGACAATGAACAATCAGGTGGACAGACAGATGGAGAGGCAATGAACAGACAGGTGGACAGACAATGAACAGACAGGTGGACAATGAACAGTCAGGTGGAGAGACAATGTACAGACAGATGGACTGACAGATGGAGAGACAATGAACAGACAGGTGGACAGACAGATGGACAATGAACATGCAGGTGGACAATGAACAGTCAGGTGGACAGACAGATGGACAGACAATGAACACACATGTGGACAGACAATGTACAGACAGATGGACTGACAGATGGAGAGACAATGAACATGCAGGTGGACAATGAACAGTCAGGTGGAGAGACAATGAACAGACAGGTGGACAGACAGATGGACAGACAATGAACACACATGTGGACAGACAATGTACAGACAGATGGACTGACAGATGGAGAGACAATGAACATGCAGGTGGACAATGAACAGTCAGGTGGACAGACAGATGGACAGACAATGAAAAGGGAGATGGAGAGACAATGAAAACACATGTGGACAGACAATGGACAGACAGATGAAGAGACAATGAACAGTCAGGTGGACAGACAAAGAATGGACAGGTGGACAATGAACAGTCAGACAGATGGACAGACAATGAATGAACAGGTGGACAGACAGATGGACAGACAATGAATGAACAGGTGGACAGACAATGAACAGACAAGTGGACAGACAATGGATAGACAGGTGGACAATGAACAGTCAGGTTGACCGACAATGGATAGACAGATGGACAGAAATGAACAGACAGATTGGATAGACAGGTGGACAATGAACACTCAGGTGGACAGTGGCCAGATAGATGGACAATGGACAGACCGATTGTCCATGGACAGGCAGATTGACTGACAGATGACAATGGACAGATGACAACGGACAACCATTGTCACAGCAAACTTAGACCTCAGTGCAGCTGAACTGAATGAAGATCAAACACATTAATAAATATCTACATCATTTGTGGATCTTGTCAAAGTCTTGTAAAAATACTACAGAATTCATTTGAGCAAAAAGATAAAAGAAACGCTTTTAAATATATAAAATCAAATGCTACTTTCCTGTTTTTGATGCTTGACATGGGAAGCTCACCTGATTGTCGGCTCTGATAATGTTCTGCAGGTAAAGCATGTTCACCCAGAAGTTGCTCCGGCATACATGGTTGGGATTCGTCTGGGGGAAGAACGGCCCACTCCCCCAGTACTTGAACAGCACAACATACACCATCATGAACAGCATGTAGGGCGGAGTCAGCCTGAAACAGTGGGACACATACCGTGATTTATACACTTTCATGTTTCCACAGGTTTAAATATTTTTGCGTATCAATTTTAATTATCAGTTTTAAGTTTTTCAAGCATTTAATCAAATTTCGTGACACATTTTGATTTCAGTTCATGACAAAGTGGGGGCGGTCGGGTACCTTAGTGGTTGTAGCGTTAGCTCATCACGATGAAGGTCGGGTTAGAGTCCCGATATGGGTACAATGTGTGAAGCCCGTTTCTGTTGTCCCCTGCCATGACATTGCTGGATTATTGCTAAAAGCGGCGTGCAATCAAACTCCCTCACTCACTCATGACTGAGTGATATAAGCGTGTCTCACATGCCTATTAGTTTATGTTAGTTCATTGTCAAACAAACGAAGGCAAAGATTCCAATGCTGTTAGAAACTTAAATTGTGTCTGGTCTGTTTCAGATATAAATAAAATTATGAAGATCCGCAAAATGTCTCCAAGCCACCCCTAAAAAACCCCAGAAAGAACAGAAGATGACAGCCTCACCTCCAGTATCTGTGGAAGTAGAACATGAACCAGTTGATACGACCTTCACCTTTCTGCAGCTCCTTCAGTGCTAGGTACGCCACTAGCAGCCCACTGAAACACAGCAGGGTTCCGTGCATTGCGGTCATGTGGCTTTTGTGGATGTGGATTTTTATTATGGCTGCCATAGCCACCATATTGAATATTGCATTTGAACTTTCAGTCAGGTGAGCTAAACTTTCAGTTCATACCCAATTTTAAGTTGGGAGGTCGCCTGGTCATTGGGGTCACTAGGGTCACTAGGGTCACTGGGGTCACTGGGGTCACTGGGACTGGGTCAGGGTCACTGGGTCTGGGTCATTAGGGTCTTGGTCAGGGTCACTAGGTCTGGGTCACTGGGGTCACTGGGTCTGGGTCACTAGGTCTGGGTCACTGGGTCTGGGTCAGGGTCACTAGGTCTGGGTCACTGGGGTCACTGGGTCTGGGTCACAAGGTCTGGGTCACTGGGTCTGGGTCACTAGGGTCACTGGGTCTGGGTCAGTAGGGTCTGGGTCAGGGTCACTAGGGTCACTGGGTCATCAGGGTCACTGGGTCTGGGTCAGGGTCACTACGGTCACTGGGGTCACCGTGATCACTGGGTATAGTGTTGGTAGCCACAACAATCCTACTTGGAATGGAAGTCAAGAACATGAACAAGTGTGTCTATCAGGGTGCTGACTCAGGAACTATATCAGATCCCTACAGCAATTAATGATATCGCTTACCAGATCTTGGGACATCACCAAATTGTGAACCTGAGTCAGCCTTAAAACAATGGTCAAATGTCTGTTTATCTTTTTCTAATTTCATTTTCTTCATGTCAGTGAGTTTGTTAACCATCAAAGGCCTTCAACAGCAAAACATAAGTGAATGGGTTGAACTCTGTCGTATATATTATTTATTCTACTTTTGGTTTTTATATGGTACTGATCAGAATCCAAAAAGCAGTTAGGCCTTTTTTGCGTTGGTTTATGGATTAAACAAAAAATTCAGATTGGTGGGAGGAAAAAATAAAAATACATTCTGACATGACAAAGAAAGGCAGGTGGATTATGACGGAGTTACTCCCCCTTACCGTCACCACTGCATTGTCATGTAGATAAAGTGTTAAAGTGTTTCCTTCTTGGGTCTGGATGACAGTGTCATCTCTGTATTGCAAGATTCCAGAAATATAGATTTTTAGTTTAATATAAAGTTTTTCTAGACTGTAGGGATAAGAATATTTTTTCAGTTGCTTGCCATTTCTTTACTTTTACGACAAGCAAATTTCTACATTTTAAACAAATAAAAGTTTCACTAACATTTTAAGTTCACAATAAAATTTCTACGAAAGTGATATGGAGTCGTTATTCTCGTGGATGCAATGTAGCCAGTATGTGGGTCAAGTTGGACTGAAGATACAAACCTCAGAAGGAAAAACGTGTCCACGGAGAAGGTGGCGTTATCGATGGCATCGAATGTCCAGCGACTCACCAGGTTGGGTAACTCTGTTACAACATTTCCTGGAATAAACAAAATGAAAGCATGAACTTTATCAATCACATCTTCATGTTCATCATCAAGTCACAATGGGATACTGTCTTCCTCATCACTTGAAATAGAATCACGAATATCGCGTTGGATACAAAGCTTAAAAAGAAAGTTTCGATACATAGATAGCTGAGTGTGGTAATACTTATTAAGTGATAACAAGCCTCTCCAGCTATAAGGAATAGCCTGTGAAGTAATGACAAACACTGCAAGTGCGCTTTTCAAGAAATATCACTTTACTGGCGATAAACATCATGACTAAGTTTCGACCAAGTGGTTACAAGACCCGTGAAGATTCCAGGGTAGAATAGGTCTTCAGCAACCCTTGCTTGCCGTAAAAGGCGACTATGCTTGCCGTAAAAGGCGACTATGCTTGTCGCAAAAGGCAACTAACGGGATCCGGTGGTCAGGCTCGCTGACTTGGTTGATGCATGTCATCGATCCCAATTGCGTGGATCAATGTTCATGGTGTCAATCACTGGATTGTCTCTGGTCCAGACTTGATTATTTAATCTAAGCATGTTTTGTTTATTTAAAGTATTAATTGTTTTTTGTTAAGCATGTTTATCTCTGCAGACGTTGTAATATGCAGCTACTTGCCGACTCGTCTCGCATCAAAACACGGGCTGTGTCCTCCCGGGCAGAGGACCACAGAGTACTCTGATGACTGTGTTGGATTAACGAGACTGATCATTGAGTGATTTCGGTAATTCGTTGCAAATTAAGTGTTTAGAGTCGGAGTGAGAGACTGTCAGATTAGCGGATCTACTGATTTAATCAGTTCCCATCATTAGTGTCGGATAAAGCCGAGTGTGGAATTAACGAGTGTCGGATTAACGAGACTTGACTGTATGTGACCAATGTTTGGCTGACAAATGCAAACTGTTTCCTGAATTATGTTTATTTGTTTTTATTTATCTGCGCCCCCCCCTTTTCATTCAATCTCATTAAAATCAGATCTAAGTTTTCGCTACTGCTAAACAAAGATCTGAGGACATCCCATTACAGGTCACGTCAGAACAACCTTTCATGAATTTTGACCGACTAATGAAATGACTGACAAGAAATCGACATTGGCCAATCAGATGGCAGCTTTCTCGAGCTTTACAACACTAGTTTCAAACTGGCGACTACGCTTCGAAACATATTTTGACGTATTCTCGATTAAAAAGTTTTAAACTGATAAGAGGAACATGCTGGAATGGCTTATAAATGGCTTGGATGAAAGGTCGTTCTGACGTGACCCGTAATGGGATGTCCTCAGATCTTTGTTTAGCGATAGCGAGAACTAAGATCTGATTTTAATGAGATTGCTTTTCATTCTAATCGTGGTCTTGAGGTAAATAATTTGTCATAATAGTGTACGTTGGCCTCATACCAAATGAAAACATATTTAATAAATGTCAACTTTGATCATGATAGTTCAAGTTTTGTGACTGTGACATTCTGTCAAAGTGTAAAGAGTACGTACTGAATGTTGTAAGCCCGAAGAAGTAGGTGTGTCCGAGGATGACCCACGACATGCTGATGAAGCGTATCCCGTGCACTGCACGCAGGCTGTCGGAGGATTGCTTTGTGCTGAGCAGCTTGCTCCCATTGGTGTAGACAGAGAAGGCCAGAAGCATCTTGCCACCAACACCTGCCACACAATATCTCACTGGTAAAACATCTTGCCACCAACACCTGCCACACAATATCTCACTGGTGTAGACAAAGAAGGCCAGAAGCATCTTGCCACCAACACCTGCCACACAATATCTCATTGGTGTAGACAGAGAAGGCCAGAAGCATCTTGCCACCAACACCTGCCACACAATATCTCACTGGTGTAGACAGAGAAGGCCAGAAGCATCTTGCCACCAACACCTGCCACACAATATCTCACTGGTGTAGACAGAGAATGCTTAAGAAAAACATCTTGCCACCAACACACAATCCACCTGTCACCAACCAATCACAAAACACCATCCACCAGTGACAGCCAATCAGAAATCACTATCTGCCATCACCAACCAATCACAAAACACCATCCACCATCGACAGCCAATCAGAAATTACTATCCGCCATCACCAACCAATCACAAAACACCATCTGACATGACCAACCAATCACAAAACACCATCCACCATGACTAACTAATCACAAAACACCATCACCAACCAATCACAAGACACCATCCACCATCGACAGCAAAACCAGAAATCACTATCTGCCATCACCAACCAATCACAAAACACCATCCACCAACCAATCACAAAACACCTTCCACCAACCAATCACAAAACACCTTCCACCATCAAAAATAATCACAAAACACCATCTACCTATCACCAACCAATCACAAAACACCATCTTCCCATCACCAACCAATCACATTACACCATCCACCATCACCAACCAATCACAAAAAACCATCCACCATCACCAACTAATCATAAAAACACCATCCACCATCACCAACCAATCACAAAACACCATCCACCATCACCAACCAGTCACAAAAAACCATCTACCCATCACCAACCAATCACAAATCACCATCCACCATCACCAACCAATCACAAAACACCATCCACCATCACCAACCAATCACAAAAAACCATCTACCCATCACCAACTAATCATAAAACACCATCCACCATCACCAACCAATCACAAATCACCATCTACCCATCACCAACTAATCACAAAACACGCACCTGGACTGTAGGCCTCCTCTACCTGCCTGTTGAGGAGTTCACTGAGCAGCGGAGCCTGCTCCCCTGATGACAAGCTGTCGTCCGACCGTCCCATGAGATCAGAGCCGTATTTACTGTTACTCGACACAGGGACCTCCAGTTTCTCAGCTTCCCACTTGGGCATCTGGATGAAGACAATGTCGAACACTGTTCCAGCCAACAGGAGGAGAGCAAAAACACTCAGCACAACTCTGTAAAACACAGATTAAAAAAAAATCATTCTAAGAGATCCTTTTGTATCTTTTATCTGTTACCATGGTTACAGGGACATACTTACATGACAACAGAGGCTGCAGAGTCGATGGGTAACTCTCTCTCCTGGCAGATGACGGAGCTTACTGTCAAGTTACCATGGTTACAGGGACATACTTACATGACAACTGAGGCTGCAGAGTCGATGGGCACCTCTCTCTCCTGGCAGAAGGCGGAGCTTACTGTCAAGTTACCATGGTTACAGGGACATACTTACATGACAACTGAGGCTGCAGAGTCGATGGGTAACTCTCTCTCCTGGCAGATGACGGAGCTTACTGTCAAGTTACCATGGTTACAGGGACATACTTACATGACAACTGAGGCTGCAGAGTCGATGGGCAACTCTCTCTCCTGGCAGATGACGGAGCTTACTGTCAAGTTACCATGGTTACAGGGACATACTTACATGACAACTGAGGCTGCAGAGTCGATGGGCACCTCTCTTTCCTGGCAGATGACGGAGCTTACTGTCAAGTTTGGGGTTATTTCTGTTAGGACTGAAACATTTACAAACATTTATCAAACATTTATGACATCTATTAAATGTAAGTGACTTTTCAAAGCAAGAAAAACATAGTATAAACCTTTTTGGCGGACAACATACTGCTGTTTTGTAAGGGATGTAACCATCTCAATCTCCTTTGTAAGTGACGTAACCATCTCAATCTCCTTTGTAAGGGATGCAACCATCTCAATCTCCTTTGTAAGGGATGTAACCATCTCAATTTCCTTTGTAAGGGATGCAACCATCTCAATCTCCTTTGTAAGGGATGCAACCATCTCAATCTCCTTTGTAAGGGATGCAACCATCTCAATCTCCTTTGTAAGGGATGCAACCATCTCAATCTCCTTTGTAAGTGATGTAACGATCTCAATCTGATTTGTAAGGGATGTAACCATCTCAATCTCCTTTGTAAGTGACGTAACCATCTCAATCTCCTTTGTAAGTGATGTAACCATCTCAATCTCCTTTGTAAGGGATGCAACCATCTCAATCTCCTTTGTAAGTGATGTAACCATCTCAATCTCCTTTGTTAGGGATGTAAACATCTCAATCTCCTGTGTAAGGGATGTTACCATCTCAATCTCCTTTGTCTGGACTTTCCACAGGTAATCTCACCCACAAGTGCAAGCTGATATGAAGGCGAGTTTTAGAAGCATATCTTTTGTACGTATGTTTGTTTGTTGTTTGACTCAGCTATATGACACCGATCTGTAAATAATCAGTTCTGGACCAGACAATCCAGTGATTGACATCACGAGCACTGATCCATCCACACAACAGGAACATACGATGACATGCTTCAGCCAAGTCACTAACTGACCACCCAATCCATTATGTCGCCTCTTGTGACAAGCATTGGTTGCTGGGGACCTATCCCGAATCTCCAAGAGTTCTTTCGAATATGGTTGGAAACAAAGCAGTGGTATTTATCATGTCAACGTAGATATAGTCCACCAGCTAATCGAGAATGATAATATTATTTTTTACATTAATATTGGAGATGGGGTGTGATTCAAGTCTGATGTTCTGACATCTATAAAGCAACAGAATCATAAACAAAGAGCAAAGTTCATATAAATATCAAGAAAATATTTGAATTCAGAAAGTTGTCAATAATGTAGCTCACAAGCTTCTCACAATGGATGCCAGATAGACATATGTTTGTTTGTTTGTTGTTTGTTTGTTTGTTAGCAATATTCCAGCTATATGACGGCCGTCTGTAAATAATCGAGTCTGGACCAGACAATCCAGTGACTGACATTATGAGCATCAATCCACACAATTGGGATACGATGACATGCATCAACCAAGTCAGCGAGCCTGACCACCCGATCCCGTTAGTCACCTCTTACGACAAGCATAGTCACCATTTACAACAAGCATAGTCGCCTCTTACGGCAAGCATGGGTTGCTGAAGACCTTTTCTACCCCTGAGCTTCACGGATCAGATAGACATATGTAATTTCCTTCAGTGAGAGGTTGATGTGTACAGCAGTCAACATAAACAATCATAGAAAATTTCTTATTGATGATTTGTCTGACTGCACTTATGCACTTAGCTTCAAATTGTTTCTAACACTTTCTCATCTATTCTACGGCTGTGTCTTTGCGTAGTAATGCCAGCTGGTTGTTGTTTACAAAGCCTAATGTTGGTAAGTGTCATAAAAATTATTGACACATTGAACAGTATTATAGAGGCGGCTAAACATGTAATTCTGACATGAAGATTGTGTTAATAGGGCAAACCAAATTTACATTATGTTTGGTCTATCATCGTGAAATGCTTGGAGTTGAGGTGTAGTTAATTTCATCAGACATTGATACGTTGTAAGAATGCATAAAAATTTGGGTACGATCTGTCTTTAACAACTAGAAAATGTTTGTAAATATGTACATGGTTAATGAGAAAAATGTTTGCAAATATGTACATAGTTTACAACTAGATGTATAGTCAGTATAAACAAGATATATACTCTGTATCAACAAGATGTTTAGTCAGTATAAACAAGATATATACTCTGTATCAACTAGATGTATAGGCAGTATAAACAATATATATACTCAGTATCAACTTAGTATCAAACTGCCCTTTGTCAAAGGGAAGCTACTCTAAACCTAGTCTACGAGATGTCACGGCCACGGTCGGACGTTGTTGACAGTTGGTCTGTCCTGTCATAAGGTTAAGAAGTGTAGTCAGATGTACACACAGCGACAAAACGAAACAAGGTAACAATTCAAACATATTTCGGCCAAATCCAACTATTTTAATTTGTGGAAAAGCTTTCAAGCCGCAGATACAAGCACAGATATGGCTACTGATCCCGCTTGGCTAGGCCTAGTGCCCAGCAAAATTGTGTTCTCCAAAGTTGCCAAAACTTATAAAATGCCTTCGCTACGTCACAGTTAGACACTGATTTTCAGTATATTAGACTGTTCCTTTGATAATGATAGCAATTATCCCTGTAGTTTATCCAGATTCTCGATGGTTAATTCTGACTCGATCGCCGAATGACGAGGGTGACGCCATGTTTGTTTATAAACAGTGAAAATAGTCCCTACTTGACCTTTGAAATTTGCATCTCTATCCGCATATGACCCCAACGGATATCGTTTTTATCCGTTGGCTTTATCCTGCTGAGAAACCTACCCATTATATGATAAATACTCTGTATCAACAAAGTATATACTTTGTATCAAGACATGAGGGTACAACCAACCTCCATTGAGAATCATCATCACGTCTCGGTTACTGCAGGAGTCAGGGAAACACGTTCCAAGCTGCACAAACAACTGAAAACACAAGCAGTGATCATGTCACACTTTCACATGTCATCACTAACAGACTTGTCGCTGTCCTTTATGTTGACTAGGTCAAAATAAACAAAAACTGCAGCCAAATATGTGTCTGGGGTGATAGCTCCTGTTGAGCAAGAGGATGGTATGCACCGACTCACCGGTGGAGCTAGAGGATGGTATGCACTGACTCACCGGTGGAGCTAGAGGATGGTATGCACCGACTCACCGGTGGAGCTAGAGGATGGTATGCACTGACACACCGGTGGAGCTAGAGGATGGTATGCACCAACTCACCTGGGGAGCTAGAGGATGATATGCACTGACTTTCCAGTGGAGCTAGAGGATGGTATGCACCAACTCACCTGGGGAGCTAGAGGATGGTATGCACCGACTCACCGGTGGAGCTAGAGGATGGTATGCACTGACACACCGGTGGAGCTAGAGGATGGTATGCACCAACTCCCCTGGGGAGCTAGAGGATGGTATGCACTGACTTTCCAGTGGAGCTAGAGGATGGTATGCACCAACTCACCTGGGGAGCTAGAGGATGGTATGCACCGACTTACCGGTGGAGATAGAGGATGGTATGCACTGACTCACCGGTGGAGCTAGAGGATGGTATGCACCGACTCACCGGTGGAGCTAGAGGATGGTATCCACTGACTTACCGGTGGAGCTAGAGGATGGTATCCACCGACTCACCAGTGGAGCTAGAGGATGGTATCCATCGACTCACCCGTAGAGCTAGAGGATGGTATGCACCGACTCACCGGTGGAGCTAGAGGATGGTATGCACTGACTCACCGGTGGAGCTAGAGGATGGTATGCACTGACTCACCGGTGGAGCTAGAGGATGATATGCACCAACTCACCTGTGGAGCTAGAGGATGATATGCACCAACTCACCTGTGGAGCTAGAGGATGATATGCACCAACTCACCTGTAGAGCTAGAGGACGGTATGCACCAACTCACCTGTGGAGCTACAGAATGGGATGCCAGGCAGTACTGACTCCGGAATGGCTGTGTGACCACCGTCGTGTTGTCCGCCAGCACCTCCTCCACCGCGACGTTGGTGCCGATGCACTCATCATATGACCCGAGCCAGTGTAGTTGGTACTGCATCAAACCACTGCCGGGCTTCCCAAATGAGTCCAGGACTTGAAACAAACAAACAAACAAACCAGATATGAGGCCTCACAAACCAGAGACTTGTGTTTCCCTCAATTACCTACTCATGTCGCAAGTTTTACACATGCGAGGCTCTAGAAAAATGAAGAAAACTGAAAAAATAACACTAGCGTCCTATGAGTTACTACCAGTAACTCAAGGATTCAAAATGTTTGTTTTTTCTGATTTGTGGGTTTATTGAGTATTAGAACCAATCACAATAACTGTTGGGTTTCAAAGGTAAAGGTTTGCGGCAGTGGACACTCAACAATAACTGCAAATCTTAAAACACATTATGTTAATCACCAATGTACATTGTACAATACATAGTAATCACTTTCTGAAGTACTCTCGATGTCTAAGTGACATGACATCACTCTGGAATGTTATGACATGACATGACATCACTCGGGAATGTTATGACACGACATCACTCTGGAATGTTATGACATGACATCTATAACATCACTCGGGAATGTTATGACATGACATCTATGATATCACTCGGGAATGTTATGACATGACATCTATGACATCACTCGGGAATGTTATGATGACATGACATCGATCGGGAATGTTATGACACGACATCACACTGAAATGCTATGACACGATATCACTCGGGAATGTTATGACATGACATCTATGACATCACTCGTGAATGTTATGACATGACATGACATCGATCGGGAATGTTATGACACGACATCACTCGGGAATGTTATGACATGACATCAGACTGAAATGCTATGACACGATATCACTCGGGAATGTTATGACATGACATCTATGACATCGATCGGGAATGTTATGACATCTATGACATCACTCGGGAATATTATGACACAATATCACTCGGGAATGTTATGACATGATATCACTCGGGAATTTCATGACATCATGATGCAATGGACGACACCTCATGCTTTTATATATTAGTAACTGTTCAAAATAAATATAATTTTTGTTTTGAAAATTATGAAAAGAGAATAAGTGATCACGTGGTCATTGCACATGTATAGTTGCATGCCAAAATATTCATTAGTTTGAGAGCTATGCCCCAGAAATCAAGACTAATGTTGTTTCAAAACATGGTTACAAAATTAAATTTTAAAATTGCAGAACGCACCAGTTTAAGCTCATGAACAATGCATATGCCAAGTTTCATTGAAAAATGTTGAAAGGTTTCCAAGTTATGGCCAGGAAACAAAGCCTACCCTCATTTGAGACTAAGTCGAAATGGTTTCCATGGATACAAAAGAAAAGAAAAATTAGAAATATTTCAAAATAGCACACACAGGCACAAGTTAAGCCAAAAAAGCAATGTATATCCAAAGTTTCCTTGAAACGAACCCTACCCTCGTTTGAGACAAAGTCGAAAATATTTCCATCGAAACATAAGAAAAGAAAACTTAGAGAAAATTGCAAAATAGCAAAAAGCACCAGTTTAGACAAAGTCAAAATTGTTTCCATGGAATTACCTTTATGAGCACCCTTGAAAAAGTGCACTAGAAAAACCTAGATATCTATCCCTGAACTCACACTGAAGAGCCCACTTGTCCCTGTCTATCAATCCCTCCACCAGAAGCGCCGTGTCGTTTGAACATTGAGGAGTGACCCCCACTGCGATCTCCGCGGACTTCTCCAGATAGCTAGCACCTGCCGCAACCACATCTTTCCATTTTATCCCTGGAACATCAACAATTTATATTCCCAACCATACAGCTGATATCGGTTATAGAGCCACATTTTATATACAAAAACATCTGGAACTCCAAAGCAAGTCTACAATACTTTGGCAAGTCTAGTTTTCAGATTTTGAAAATGAAGACATTCTGTTACCTGGGACATTGTATTGAGACCAGATTTTTGTTACAGCTACAGCTTCAAACCCAGATATTTTATTTCACTATGAACCAAAATAGTTCTTTCTAAACTACACACAGCAACAATGTATTTTTTTACTCTCACAATATGAAGCATAACTATTTTTGTGAATGGAATTATTTCACGTGGAAAAACAATGTCTGAAGCAGGGCTGTGGCAGGTAGAAAAATATGGACTTGAGTATCCATTTGTCACTCCCAGAATCGGAATCGGTTCCTGGTTCTTGCCGACTTCGTGTATTACAATTCCCTTACAAACAGACCACATCTTGCTTGTATCCAATGCTTCCCAAGAAATGTATAAAAAAAATTCGTTGGCGATTTACGCGATTCTGAAATTGAATTGTTGTAAACTCTAACAGTACACGAAACATTTCGATAAAAGACATGTCGACTAGCGCATGCCGCTGAAATGTCAATATCCTAGCAAAACTAAGGGAGGCTACTCAGGCCAAATAGTTCCAACAGAAGACGTACACACACAGATAAAACATTAATTGTTTTCCAATGTCTGCGAGATAGTGAATATGAAATGTGATATAAATCACATTTTGACTTTTCATTATTTTATAAAACTACAGCATCTTCAGAACACCAAAGTACAATTCACAAGCTTCAATTAATATTTATTAAAAGATACATGACATCAAACATTTTGACTCATTTTCCGTCTTAAAACTGTTTATGTAATAATTGCAGTTTTTAGACACAATGACTGATGAATTGAAAATAGATTGTATGAGGAAAGGTTGTGAAATATTGTTTTTATTACATTACAAAACGAAAAAAAATTGAAATATTTTTGTACAATCTGCACACATGGTGATCTTCACCGAAGTAGTGAGTGAGTGAGTGAGTATGGTTTTACGCCGCTTTTAGCAGTATTCCAGCAATATCACGGCGGGGGACACCAGAAATGGGCTTCACACATTGTACCCATGTTGGGAATCGAACCCGGGTCTTCAGCATGACGAGCGACCGCTTTAACCACTAGGCTACCCGACCGCCCCCTTCACTGAAGTAAGTTGTTGTCAAACAACTGGGAGAACTTGAGACTGATTCGAACTTCCCGTGTATCTTAGCAGCATGCCCCATTAACGGCATTTTGTGTTCATTTTAGATGCATAAAGGTCAAAGTGTTAAAATATTTCTCTTTCATTTCATTGGCCTACCACAGACACATGCCCTGCTAAGGGTCCTTGTCAACAAAGTTCATCTAGAATTATCTCCCTTCCTTGAGTGCTCAAATTCTCAAGACTTGGTTCCTACCCAATATTGGCTCCTTGAGTCCCAATCACAGCCCTTGTCTCAAGGTACGGAAAAGAGCAAAAGGCAAAATGAAAAGCTCTCCTTCAATATGCATGTTTGTTTGTTTGTTGTTTAACACCGCACTCAGCAATATTTCCAGCTATATGACGGCGGTCTGTAAATAATCGCGTCTGGACCAGACAATCCAGTGATCTTATACACAGGGTTGAAGAGTTTTGATGGTTTTTTTCCCCAACACAGACATAACTGTGAGTACGTAACACCAGGGCCCACTTGCACAGAGCGATCTTAGCGCTAAGACTATCGCAAGCCAATGTTAAAGTATGGGAGTTAAGATCATCTTAGCGCTAAGATCACTTTGTGCAAGTGGGCCAATGTCAACAAATATGTACTGAAGTACGCAAACTAATAATGTAATTACACTGTCTGGTTATAAAGAGTGTTCATTGTATATCTGGATTTAAATTTGTAATCTATTTTATTAATTTTATTAATTTTATTAACTTTATTCAAAATTTCATACAATATTGATTATATTCATTTCTGTGAAATCGTGTGTGAAGTGATAGATAGATCACACAACTCACCGTTATTTACAGCAACCACGGTCAGATTACCGCAATTGATGCCTTGAAACTAACTTTAGTGGACAGAGAATGGAGATATATTTCATAAATGTCATATCATAGGTGAGTCAGTGAGTGCTTCTGGTGACAGGAAATTGCTACCATCATCATTATTACTCATCTCACCGATGTGGTGACTATAAGCTATATTTGTACGCATGTTATCATCAAAGTGTACGCAACCAGTCAGCAGTTTATGAAACTCCACTCTAAATTTGTCCACAGTTTAGATAAACCACGGGTTGAACCATCCTCGATTATCTAGTGTATTATATGGTTTGGTTCATCTCTTCCCTACTCTGGTTGTAGTCATGGATACAAGGATGAAGCTGTTATCTGGCTCAAATACTGATAAAAACAGCACACAACCACAATCACCACCTCATTTACCTTGAACTATTCACTTTAATAGCCCACCCACGTTACGCCACACTTTTCATATTTCATGGTTCACAGACTTTTATCCTAACCAATAAGCTGGAGAAATGGGGACCTATAGAATCACATTAGATAAAAAAATCAATGATGATATTAATCATGTTTATCGCTAGGAAAATAAACATTTCTTGAAAAGTGCACTTTGCAATTCTTTGTCATTACCGTAAACAGTATTCTTTATCGACAGAATGTCTTGTTTTTACTCTATACAAATAAGCACACTTACAGCTGTCTTCGTTAGTTAATCATCGGATATTTCCTAATTCTATTTAAATTGAAGAGTGAGTGAGTGAGTATGGTTTACGCTGCTTTTGACACCAAAAATGGGCTTCACACATTGTACCCATGTCGGGAATCGAACCCGGGTCTTCGGCATGACAAGCGAACGCTTTAACCACTTGTCTACCTGACCGCCCCTTTAAGTGGAGGACTACAGCTCAACATGTTTTTTATTTTATTTTTTACAGTTGGGGAAAGAGCAGAGACTAAGTACAGATTAGTTTCAGCAAGATGAGTATCCATGCACATATATACTAACAGGCCTCTCGTTCTCTGTATACGGTATTTGCAGTGGCCAGAGACAACATATTTAACATGTTAATCAATTATTTTAAAAGTTAACACTCACTGGGTTTTTTGTAATGCTGTACATAGTTTTTTTAAACACACTTCTAAAGATACTGAGTTTGAATGACATGTTTTTGAGTTTTCAGTGTAATTAAAACCTTTATTAATTTTAGGATATTAACTACAAATACAGAACTGACACTTAAAATTGATGTTACATAGTTCAACTCTTGCTATTTAGAACTGTTAAAAATTAAATAAAGTGACTCTTGACAGATTAATCACTTACAAAATCAGAAAAGAAAAGAAAATATAATGGTCAGTCACAAATTAAGTCAAACAGAGACCATATATCTATTATATGGTCTCTGGTCAAAGCAAAGACTTTTTTTTCAATACAAGAAACCTAATTCTACAAAAGAGGTTATAGCACAAAACGGGAAAATAAACAACAATTTAAAAGTAACAAAATTAAAGTGAATTCATAATATTGACGAAATTCGATCTCGAAACCCGGAAGTGAACTGTCAGGTTTTTCAGCAGGTTTTTTAACCGTTAACATACCTTCAATTTGTTCAAGCGTGTCCTCAAATTTTTTGTCTAGATCCTCATGACTTGTTCCTAAAGTATGACCATCACCAAGCACTTGATTCACGGTTTCGCTGTATGACTTTGGCTGACATGTGCCCGTTGCCAATATCGTCATACACAAACACGCTGTGAAAACTACGGAAATGTGTTGAAATTGTCCTCCCGTGAAGCGAGCCATTAGATAGGTGCAGATGTACAGGGCAATCAGCGCAAGTGTGAGTTCGACGACCGGCAGGTTAGACTGTTAATACTCTGTCATGGACATGTGATGTCAAAGTCACTATCTGGGTATTCGCTAGTGTTCACGTACGTGATAGCAACACACTGCACGACCAAACTCGGATCTGTTTGTTTACTTAACATTTCCACCAAACCGGTTTCATAATTCAAATTTCTGATTGGCTCTTTGGTTGTTGCATCCAATGAAACGAGCAGAAACGTAAACCACTGTTTGGAACCCGTTTGTCTTGCACGGGTACAAATGGTTTGGTGGAACTGACCCGGTTCAATGCTGGATTTGGTTGGTTGGTTTGTTGTTTAACGCCGCACTCAGCAATATTCCAGCTATATGACGGCGGTCTGTAAATAATCGAGTCTGGACCAGACAATCCAGTGATTGACATCATGAGCATCGATCCACACAATTGGGATCGATGACATATATCAACCAAGTCAGCGAGCCTGACCACCCGATCCCGTTAGTCGCCTTTTACGACAAGCATAGTCACCTTTTACGGCAAGCATGGGTTGCTGAAGACCTATTCTACCCAGGAATCTTCATCAATGCTGGATAGAAAATGTTGTAAGTGAATAATAACAAGAAAACATTGATGCAGAGCATCAAAGTTCCCCGCCATATGTGATGCCTCACAAACGCATAATTATGATGTTACTGAAAGGCATGATGGAGCATAATTATATTAACCACAAATAACACAACGCTGTTGTGGAAAAAAATATTATTTATTTTGAGTATTGGGCAATACAGTTGATACATTTGCATAGGGTAGGTCTATTTAAAAATAGTTTCTTGTTTAACGCCGCACTCAGCAGTATTCCAGCCATATGACGGCGGTCTGTAAATAATCCAGTCTGTACCAGATCATCCAGTGATTGACACCAAGAGCATCGAACTACGCAATTGGAATATGATGTTATGCATCGACCAAATCGGCGAGCCTGACTACCCAATCCCGTTCGTCGCCTCTTAAATTACGGCAAGCATAGGTTGCTGAAGACCTATTCTAACCTGGGTCTTTATTTAAAAAGTAGATCGAAGGAAATGGAAGCAATTTCTGGCACAAATATAAACATGTGGAAATAGTATCAAAACTGCCAACAACATTGGCAGATGCACATACTCAAATAATAGATCACATTCTTTTTATACTTGGCATTTGGTTATAATAATGTAAATGAAAATACTAAGGGCTCCATATGGCAAAAACGTTATACTAGATAAGGTCTTTTTGTCACAACCACAGATGCACATACTCAAAATATTATCACGTAGTTGGAGAACATTTCAATACCGGGGCTAATCAATAACGGAGATTCCTCGTCTCTTGTTTTACGTTTTTTGGTCAGTTTCTTTTTTGTATTTCTTTCTTTCAAAGAATAGCAATTGTGATCATGATGAGTTGAGTTAATTTTGTTTCTTTCTATGTACTGTTTTTTTTTATCCAGTGTCAGTAACTGTTGTGGATTGTGGTTTACTTGTAACAATGACTGGTTTGAGTTCATATGATGATGATTGATTGGTTTGTCGTTTAACGACGCACTAAGCAATATCCCAGCTATATGACGGCGTTCTGTAAATAATCGAGTCTGGACCAGACAATCCAGTGCCTAATATCATGATCATCGATCCACGCAATTGGGATCGATGCCATGCATCAACCAAAGCCTGACCATCCGATCCCGTTTGTCGCCTCTTACGACAAGCATAGTCGCCTGATATACTGTTAAGATGTAACATAACAATTCATCCATACTACTAAACAGAAGTAAAACCGCTTGTCCATTCGGATCAATCTGACCCAAACCATTCCGCTGATGAGAGTCAAATAATGCATACGAATCAAAATCCGTAAAAATTGCAATAGAGACATCATTAAAAGTTAGCAAAAGTGACGGGGATATCAATATTGCTTGTTGAAAAGATTCTATGAAATTTGTTTTCCCTGCTTCAATGTTTGGAGCACCTGTGACGGAGCCATAAAACTGATCTGTTATGTAGACAATATCGCTTGAGGCAGTGGCTGCTGGGAGCTGATTATGACCTAAATACCCCTCATATGTGACTGTAGAGAGCTGTGCCTTCATCCAACAGATTATCGAGCTCAGTGGAACACGGTACAGACGCAAATAGATTTGAGCCATGGGACACAAAATATATGAGTGACCAGAGCTACCGCTGTACATTGAATTCCACTAAACGGTTGAAAAATACTACAGCCTTGATGCAAATTCGCCGACACACTGGCTATGTGCGGTGCACTGATAAAAACACGGGGGACTGGGTTAATTCAAAATACGGAATATAACTATTCCAAATATTTCCAGGGAACATGAGCATCCAAACAATCAAAAGTGTGGTATGTAGAATGTGGAATTCAGCCATATTACATTTAAATTGAGATGTCGTGGTTGTTCATGAATAAGCATATTCAGAACATAATTTGTATTATGCTGTTATTTACGATCTCCGGAGCGCAGTTCTTCTTTTGTATACACCATGAAAATCAGAAAATTAGTCCTTGAGGAAAAAAGGACATCGGATTACACATGAATGGTTTAATAATGTCAGCTAATGACCAGAAACGGTCAGATGCATCAATTAACTACATAAAGACGATTTTGAAGTATCTCTTATTGCTGGAAAAGAATAGCATCAACATTCCACGCGCATGATTTGTGTTTTGTTTCCGTAAATGCGTGGCTTGAAATTTTAAATAAACCAACATGTCGACATACATGCTACAAAATTAACGTTTCCCGTATACGTTAGAGAGAGAACAAAATTGATAAGCAGTTAATGTGTAAAATGTGATTCACTTAGGCATTTTATAAAATGCTAAAATATTTCAGTCTTTTACAAACTGACTAAAAATTCTGTCAGTGAAATACTGGGTAATAAAATATATTTCTTGTTTCATATTACTTGGAACTCTTCCGTCCACATCCTTGTTAAGGTGACCGTCAGATGTAGACAATGACAGGTATATTGAAGCTTGGACGCTATATATTCTATTTTTTAGCTCTTTATACACTCCTTTGTGAACATTTTATCACGGCGGGGGGCACCAGGAATGGACATCAGACATTGTACCCACGTGGGCATGAAAAAATGACACAGTTCTATGTTTTTCAAACATAAAAGATAAAAACTTGAACGTGTGGATGACCAGTCCCAAGAGTGTTTCTGATTATAGCTTTTAAACTATTCACTGAAAAACGAAAGGGTATAACAATTATTAGTTGATAATAAAAAAAATGTCCGAGGGCACGAGGCTGTCGGTTTTCTGGCAGACAATGGAAGACGTGCACCAGGGGCAAAGTTTAAGGTCGACAGCAACCAGATTGATTGTTTCAGTTGACTAATGGTCGAAAGGTCACGTGGTTATTCACGTAGGAAAAAAACCAGTTGGGTAACAATGGCATGCATCAACCAAGTCAGCGAGCCTGACCACCCTGACCACCCGATCCCGTTTGTCACCTCTTGCGACCGACATGAGTTGCTGAATACCAGTTCTAACCGGATCTGAACGGGGACGATATAAAGAGTGAGTGAGTTGGGTTTAACGCCGCTTTTAACAGTATTACATTTATATCGCGGCGTAAGCTTACTGTGGGAGGAAAGCCCGAAGTGATGCAGGTCTCAGACGTTAACCACTTCGGCGAAACCCACGAGCACGGGTATAGTGCTGACAAACCTAGAAACAAAATCGGGCGAACCGGGATTCGAACCCTTAATCATACGTTTCTGGCGCGCCAAAGGGAAGCAAATTGCAGCGCCTTAGACGAACTTAAAGGTTGCCACAGAGGCGTGGTTACAAGACCAATCTGCGGATTTCTATAAAAGGGGTATTAAAAGCTTGAATGACAAATGAACTATTGAGGTGAATGATGATTATATTGAAAAATAAAAGTGCAAAAGATATTATGCGACATGAGCAAAACTTCACACACACACACCTTCAAGAAACCATTTGGCATGTCCCGGAAGACAGGTGTTGGTCACGAATGATAGCCCATAGGCATATCTAAGTCTGAACTAGACTTTCACATTGGCTAGTGAACATTCTGAAGAGGGTATGGCTTGTCTATTTCTGAAACATAACACTCAGTTGCTCCAGATGTACAGCTGTATGTTATACCATAAAATCAAATATATTCACAAGAATTTTATTCATATTTGTGATACAATGAAGTAATGTTTTACAGATGTCAGGTATATCCTCTTTTCTACCAGTGAATGTAAGCTTGTGATTCCTTGTGGCAGGCTGAATGATGAATTACAGAACCAATTTGATTGATTCTGTTCATGTTGCAAAAAGGGTCATTATAGATTTGACACATACAAGAATGAACACCATACAGGGCAGAGCCTGAACATGAGGCCAGACTTTTTGAGGGGTTACGTATGTTTGCCCCCAAATTTCCGGTATTAGGACGAAAAAACAAAAACTAAAAAACTCCAGTTTCAAACATTTGTTTTGGCTTCCTCAACATGTGAATTAGGTTGGAAAAAGTTCTACAGAATAAAGTGGGGCCAACAGTTTCAATGGTTGGTCCTCCTGAAAAAAGAACCCACTGATTTTCATTACTTTTTAAACAAAAACATATTTTGGAATGAGCCGAATTGAAAACAAGTTTTATAAAAAAATCTGGCATGGGCTGGACAAACTGTTGTGATATCAATTACAGCATGAGTGAGTGAGTGAGTGAGTGAGTTGGGTTTAACGTGATGATAGTGCAACATATGTCTCCCAATTTACATCATGGTAAGAATAAAAAGCCTAATGGACATAGAAAAGTGTCTATCTTAAAACACCGTCTACTCCTCTGACTTAGCACTGTGATTTATGTACAGATGAAACTTAATCACTGATTATTTCATGGCATGATTTAACCTGTGAATTATCATTATGTGAATTAAATGTAAATAAAAACCCAAAATAAAACACAGGGTAGACAATCCTTATCTAACTTTCGACCTCCATTAAACAAGATAAATACCAGTTTGTAGATGAAGAAATACAGAAAATTGTCTGAAATTTTAAAACATTTTAGATGGCAACGAATATTACTCCAGTTTTAAATACAACTGAACAGAAATTGTCCCGAGAACTGAACCAAAGGAAAATACTTCAGCAAACACATTTATCACTGGGCATTATGAAAAAGTTTTATGAGGTTCGAGCCACTGTTTGTCTGTGGGAAATGCTTGATAAATCCTTAAATACTGAACAGTTTCAAAACAATAAAGGACTTTCTTACGACAATGATACAAAACAAACAGTGAGTTACAAAGTTTGAACACTTGAACATACACTAAACATCTCCCACTAAAAAGGTTTGATTCATGTATTGGTATGCAAATAAACTGAAAATACAAGCCAGTCATCTACCATTGTAGCTCATTGTCCTAGTACAAAACCTCACATACCTTGCTAATCAGCAGAACATAATGTAACGTAGACAATGTTTTCTAAGGCATACAGTGAGGATGCTTGATGATTTAAGGTCAACTGTAACCCTTGACATTGAAAGTACAACACAATCTAAAAAGGATTCCATTTCATAAATGAGAAACTGTTTTCAAAGTCACAAAATTCTTTCAAAGGTACTGCTTATCAAACCAGTTCCACCATTCCATACAGGAATACGTGCCAGCAGACTTACTCCAGCTCTAGACAAGTCTTCACTGGCAGCATCTGTTTAGCTATTTTGTCCACACAATCTCCAGTTTGTCTTTCTTCCAACTCAAGCTGTGTAATCCATCTGATCACCACCAGTAGTGTTCTCTTCACACTGCGACACATCTTCATCTTTCACTGCATCCCCTCCAGTCCCCTGGAGGTTCCCGGACACCACCTTGTTCCCCTTCCCTCGGCCTCGCCCACGCTTCCCCTTGTTTCCACCTCTGGGGGTACTTGTCTGGAAGGAGGCGTTGCCACGACCTACATTTGCGAATGGAGATTTCACTTTGGTCTTAGCTCCAGTAGTTGATGTTTCAAAGAAGGTAGAATGTGCAGTTTCATATTCTCCTGATGTGTCAAACGACTGACTGGCTGACCCTTTCCCTTTCTGGCCTTCTGGTTTGGGAGCTGGCATCAGCTGGTCCTTGATGTCAGCATGCTTGGGTAGAAGTTCCTTCGGGATGATGGAGTACTTGCCGCTGTGGCCGCCATTCTTTCTCAACAGCTCCGCCATCTTGTCTGGCATAAACTTCCTGAAGATGACTGAGTAAGCATGATCTTTATTCTGCTTAGTGGAGAAGCGCAAGTCAAAGCTACGTGCGATCAAGTTGAGCAGTTTCTTCTCCCCAGGAGGGAACCCTGGCCCAAACAGGAGTTCCTCTAGGTTTTCCTCCTTGGCAAACTTCTCTACCATCTGTTCGATGACCAGCTTGACCCACTTGTTGGCCATCAGAGGCTCAGACGTTGTCCCCTCTCCATTGGCTGCCCCCTCCTTCCCCTCCGCCCTCGGCTTCTCCTCCACGGAGGAGTCGGTGGTGACGGGGACCATGTCATTGGTTCCAGTGTCACCAGCCTCAGCCTTCAGCTTGTCCGCTTTTTCCTTGATTGTCTCGTATGTGAACCAGAAGTTCGACTCGTCTCGGGACACAACCTGGAACGGGAAAACACTTTTTACAATCCTTATCCATGACGCCGTACCATGCCTCAAAAACCGAAGTCCTCCATGGGGATTTAGAGGAAGAATCAGCACCCTGGGTATGTTTTAAGGGGTCACAAATGGACTGGTCATTTATGATAGGGGTGGGTGGGGCAGGGGATTGGACAAACGACTATCTTATTTTTAAAAAGTATTTCTATTTGAAATTGGTTCATGCCCTGCCCCAAGGATATAATGTCGCATAACCTCTCAACTAAAATATACATGTCTAACAATAACAGTGACTTAGTGCCTTTTTCATTCATTTCTCACAACTGTAGAGTTCCCGTATGCGTGACGTGTGCATTCGATCAGTAAACAGTCAAGAAATACAACGCAAGTTGAAAGGGATACACAGGGTGTTGTTATATTATCTGGTTCCAAGCGATCTTAGCACTAAGGTGATCGTATCTCCCATACCTTAACATAGACTTATGACAACTGAAGTGCTAAGACTGCTTTGTGAAAAGGGGCCCTGGTCTGCCTCGATATGATATGACTACTGGCAGTGTGTCTGTGTCAGTGTCATGTGTCACCTGAGCCGTTATTGACAAGACCAGACAACTATCCTCCTGCATGGTACATGCTAGCTGGACTTCCCCCTCACCTTGATGGCTGTCTGTGTCTGGTACAGCTTGAACAGAGCGTCGCCTGCAGACAGGTTGCGGGCTGCGTTCTTGGCTGGAGCACACGCCTCTCCCACCAGCTCTTGTTGGATGTACATCTCACACCTGGAAGTGGAAGGACCATGTGTGGTCAAACAGGAAGATGGAACACCTGCATATGTGCTCAGGGAATTATTAAGGCATTGGAATAGGCTGATATTCAGTACCATATCTGACACAAAAAGTCAAAAGTGACACAAATTATTGTGGTTCAAGGCCCCTACCACAAAGACTAATGACTGTCGTAAGTCTGAGATCGCTCTATAGAAAAGGACGGAGCTTTGCAAGGCTGATCAATAAGAGAAAAGGGCATAAGTCTTCACGTTCCATTACATCACTGAACATGCTGATTGCAATGCAATGTCAAAATGCTTCAGATTTACAGAAAATATAGAGCTTTGAAAAGAACAAATTCCCTAATTTGCCTGGCTTGTAGTTTGAATAACTAGCCAAATTCTACCTTCTAACAACCTTTTCTTCACTGATCATAATATCTTATCCTTGACTTATTCATGACAGTACTGACTTGGTAAGATCACTTAATGGAATGGGGACCTGGACAACATAAATATCATTATCAACAAATTAGCTGCTTCACATCCAACACCATGTCAGAGTGCAAATATTTTATGTTCATTTATCCATCAGCCTAAACCAAGATCTGAGGACATCACATTACGGGTCATGTTAGAATGACCTTTCATCCAACCAACCGGCGCGTTGCTTACCAGATCTGGAAAGTAGGGATTCTGAATGACTGTTACAGGCTGTTAGACTGAATCTGTCAAAATCATGGTCCATCTCTTGCTTCAAGGGGATAAACATTTGAACAGACACTCTTGGCCATCTATCAGACATTCCAGAATTTTACTTTCTTCAGTTTTCAAATTTTGAATCGAGAACTTTGTCAAGATATTTTTTAAAAGAGAAGTCTGGAATGAAAGTTGCCATTTTGAAACTAGTGCCATAAATCTCGAAAAAGCAGCTTTCTGACTAGCTAATGCCGACTTCTTGTTAGTCATGTCATGAAAGGTAGTTCTGACATGACCAGTAACGGGATGTCCTTGGGTCTTTGTTTTGGTCAGTGGATAAATGAACATAAAATATGTGCACTCGAACAAGGTGTTGGCTGTGAAGGGGGTAATTTGTTGAAGTGGTAGCGAGCACTAAGATCAGATTTTAATGAGATAGAAGTTCTGGGCAAAGACAATGACATCACATATCCTCAATCTCAAGTCAACCTACTTGAAAAATGTCCCAACTGGGCTTATCTTCCATTCCAACAACATAGCATTCTGGGTAGCACTCATGTTGAGGATGCAGAAAGCTTGTCTCTTCCGGTCGAACGCCCACTCATGATGCTCAATGAGGACGATGTCGTTCTTGTCTTTGCCATGCTCCATCGGGTCCAGCTTCATTCGCTTCAGCCGCTGCAGGTTTGACTCCCCAGTCCGGCTCTGTCCCTTCACCCACACTTCTAGGACACCGGGACCCTTGGTGTCTTCAGGGGTCAGTTTCTGAAAGTCATTGTAGATTATTTCAGCCGTGCTTGTGGAAAGAACATCCAAGGCTTTGGTGTAAGCATCGCACTGTGCATCTTTGCGTTTCTCTCCCTCCCCAATAGCCAGCAGGATGTTGTCCAAGTAGAGGTCACACTGGATTGTGCCTTTGACGTCCTTGCTCCCCCCCTTCCTGTAGACACATGTGGGCACAAGGAGCAGTTGATGGGCAGTGACGTCCAGAAGGTTGACCACTGAGTCTATACCCGGAAACTCAGGGACTGATATCAAGAGGGTCTTCAGTTTCTCAAGGGTCCGCTCACTGGGAAGACTGGCGTTGTCCTCTTTGAAGTCTTGACCAGCTGCTGCTGTAGCTAAAGGATCGAACGTGGGCATGTCATCGGCTTCATCTGGAGAAATACCCTGCATGATCACAGAAATGGGTTTTGTCTTCAGGAACACAATGGCCTTTTCAAACGTCTTCAGTTTAGCCTCCTTCTTCTTGTGACTTGTGGCTGAAGCTATTAATGTGTCATTAATTGTCATCTTCCCCTTGAACCACAGCTTCCCATTGGGCAGTCGGGTATTTTCTTCCGCATACTTGTGAGACAGGTTACAGAAGGAGGCAGAGAAGGACTGAGTCAGCTCACTGATGACGTTGTTGCAGTTGGCCTTCCCACTGTTCAAGTACTGTATCAACTGATCAAAGTTCACCTCAAGTCCAACCAGACCCGAAGCAGGTTCTCCCTTAGTGCCCTCCTCCAAGGATGCCACCTTCTTCTGGGCATCCATCACAGGGTTCGAGCTCCCTTCATCCTTCAGCGAAGCCAGCAGCTCGGCTCTCATCTTCTCCGTCCCAACATCTTCCATCTTCATGATGGCAGCAACACTCTTGGATTTCAGGACATCGACAGCCTTTCTGAAACACTCATGCTTTACTTCTTTCTTGTTTGCACCCACACTTCTCGCCAGGAAAACAGATCCGATGAAGAGTCTCCCTGTGAACATCATCTTGTTGCAGACTTTGAGGAGCTCCTCTACTTGGTAATCAGATTTGAGACTGAGCTTGCTGCCTGTCAGACCATTCTCAACCGTCTGGATGTCATTGACTCTCTGGGTATCATTCTGGATAAACAAAGCAAACCGTCGCATCTTCTCAGCCATAGACATGTTGGAGCTGTCGATTGTGGACACTTTGGCAAGGCTGTGAACAGGGGCTACCTGACCAAAGCCTCCTCTGTTTCCTCGCCCTCTTGGGCCACCTCTAGCCACTTGACTACCCTTTGGGCTCCCGCGCATCCCCCTGTTGAATTTGTTTTGACCTGCAACAGTTGTTAAACAATGCTTTATAAATGAGTGTTGTGTAGTGAACGATATCAACATGATAGTGACAGGTGACAGATCATAAATCATACTTACCATACCAGACTCAAATTAAACTATCCCTTGAATATTTACAGGATGTGAGAGTCTATGATAGTATTTAGAATTGGTAGGCAGTGTCCCTATCCATAATAAAGAAGTTGACATACATCAAACTTAGGGATCGTGAACCAAAACACATTTACTCACCACCAAAACCAGCAGCTTTGTCATAGGGTGTCGCCTTGGCAAGACCTCTACCACGCCCTCCTCGACCTCCACCTCCAAAGCCACCAAAGCTTGGCCCGTCATTCCAGTTCCCCCCTCTTCCTCCACGCCCCCCTCTCTTGCCCCTCCCCCCATCAGATTGCTGGCTCACCAGTTGGAGGGCCTTCCTGATTTTATCAAAATCCACAGTCCCCTGCTTCTTATACTGTATCTCCGCCGCCTTCAACACGGCAAAGTCATCGGTAAAGTCTGGATCGTCCGATTGGTTACCAAATGAAAACGATTTTCCCCTTCCTCTCCCCCCTCTACTTTGTCCACCCCAATTAGACGACCTTCCGAAATTTGAGCCCCCCTTGTAACCTGAACCTCCTCCAAAACCCGAACCTCCCCCAAAACTTGAACCTCCCCCGAATCCTGAACCTCCCCCGAATCCTGAACCTCCCCCGAATCCTGAACCTCCCCCAAAACCTGAACCTCCCCCGTAACCAGTGTCTCCCCCATACCCAGTGTCTCCCCCATAGTTGGAGGAGCCAGTACCTCCCCATCCCCCCCCACCACTGTTCCAATCAGCTCCAGAGGACGAGGATGCTGCTGTGGAGGAGCCCATGTTGTCGTACTGTCTCATCTTCCAGGGGCTGTCGAAGTTGTCCATGCCGCTGTCAAACATGCTGTTCATGCCGCTTGTGGTGTTGGACTGGTTGGCGTATGGAAAGGGAGGTGGGGGTGGGAGTGCCATTGAGTCGGAATACCCTCCCTCATTCCACATGTCGGTCTTTCTCTTCTTGTTGAATGGGTCATCTGATCCTCCCATGTCCTCATACGGACGTCGTCCACCAGTATACATTGCCGGGCTGGATGTCGAGTTATACCTGAAATTTGCCAGAAGAAGATATTTCAGGCATGTTCATTGTTCCCCCACACAGATACAAACATGTTAACAGTTGTAGTCAGGTTTGAGAAGACATTATAGTCAAGACTGTTTGTTTTTCTGAAAGTATTCTAGATGATACAAAAGATGCATTCATAAAAGCATCCGGTTACATTTCTGCAGCTAGTTATTTCATCAAAAAGTCATCCTTGTTATTATAAAGAAGTCACATCACGACATTTTTCTCTACATCAAAATCATTACATGTCAGAAATAATTAAACAATTTCCCAGCAAATTACGTTCAATGTAATTGTTTAATGCTGCTTTGAACATTTCAGTAATAATACAGCATTAGCAAACTACAAAGGATAAGTCATAAGACCACAAGTTTTTTTTCAGATTTTGGGTGTACATTTCTTACATTTGTTTTGTCTGAATCCAATCTCATTAAAATCAGATCTTTCACTCCGATACAGAACCACTCTGAGTGAGTGAGTGAGTGAGTGAGTGAGTGAGTGAGTGAGTGAGGTTTAATGCCGCTTTTAACATTATTCCAGTTATATCATGGCATGTGAGCTTAATGTGGGAGGAAAGCCAAGAGTCTACCACGTTTACCACTTGGGTGAAACCACCAAGCACGCGTATGGTGCTGACAAACCTAGAAACATCATCGGGGTGAACCGGGATTCAAACCCACATTCATAAATTTCTGGTGTTCCCAAAGGATGCAACTCTCCACAGCGAATCACGGCTCCTTAAACTACTGGGCCACCCGTGCCCCCAGTCCACATGTGAGGACAACTCCATCCAATATCACATAAAGCGAACCCTGAGCCAACTTTTAACAAAACCAAACCCACAGAACACAGACATTCTTTCAGGGGTACTCCCCTCCATCATGGGTGAAGTGAGTGATTTTACGCCGCTTTTAGCAATATTCCACCAATATCACTGCAGGGTACACCAGAAATGGGCTTCACACAGGGCATATGGGGAAACGAACCCAGGTCTTCAGCATGACGAGAAAACGCTTTAACCACTAGGCTACACCATCACCCCCTCCTTGAGTGAGTGAGTGAGTGAGTGAGTGAGTGAGTGAGTGAGAAAGTGAGTGAGTGAGTGAGTGAGTGAGTGAGTGAGTGTGTGAGTGTTTAGCGCCGCTGTTAACAGTACTCCATTTATATCACGGTGTGTCAGCTTAATGTAGGAGAAAAGCCTGAAGTGATGCATGTCTCAGACGTTTCACCACTTTGGAGAAACCCACGAGCTCGTGTACGGTGCTGACCCCTCTTTATGGGTGTAGTTGCCATGGAAATGATGGTAAGTAAAACATCAACAATATACTGTTGCTGTTTTCCTCATTTACATTCAGAACAGGCTGATCAATTTCATTTCCGATATACAGAAATCAGACATGCTTATCTGAAAGTTTGGCTCATTCATAGCGACAACATAGACGACTCAGTTCTGACTGGCTGGTTAAAAACTATGACCTTCCCTGATATCCTCAGGTCTTCAAGTCATAGGTATCGTGTCGGAGTTAAAGATCTGATCTTAATGAGATTGGTCTTATACAATTATACCTTTACATTCATAACATTTTGAGAACAACTTAACATGCATGCGACTAGGACAATAAATTGTGTTACTTCAAATTATTTCAATATCAATCATTGTGATCATAATAATCATAACAAGTGATCACAATAACATCAGTTTCATCAATAGTGTAATGATGGAATTATAGAGCAGTATAATAGCTGCATTATTAGGGTCATGCTAATGGAGTAATAAAATACATCTTTGTGAAATCTTTCACATATGAATGACTGATGGTTCTCTTTTTCACACAAACACAAAGGATGGCCATCATTGTAGGACTTAGTTTTTGACAAATGGTTTGTTTGTGTCACGCCACACTCAGCAATATTCCAGCAGTCTGTAGATAATCCAGCCTGGTCCAGACAATCATGTCATCAGTACTGTGAGCAACAATCCACGCTGTCCGAGTACCATGACACTCATCAAGCCGCTGAACCTGACCACCTGATCTATTTGGTCACCTCTTACAAAGGTCGCGGGGGACCTATATTGTAACCTGGAGTCCCCACAGGGAGATAAGCATAGGTTGCGGGGGACATATATTGTAACCTGGAGTCCCCACAGGGAGATAAGCAAAGGTCGCGGGGGACCTATATTGTAACCTGGAGTCCCCACAGGGAGATAAGCATAGGTTGCGGGGGACATATATTGTAACCTGGAGTCCCCACAGGGAGATAAGCAAAGGTCGCGGGGGACCTATATTGTAACCTGGAGTCCCCACAGGGAGATAAGCATAGGTTGCGGGGGACATATATTGTAACCTGGAGTCCCCACAGGGAGATAAGCATAGGTTGCGGGGGACCTATATTGTAACCTGGAGTCCCCACAGGGAGATAAGCATAGGTTGCGGGGGACTTATATTCTAACCTGGAGTCCCCACAGGGAGATAAGCATAGGTCGCGGGGGACCTATATTGTAACCCAGAGTCCCCACGGGGAGACAAGCATAGGTTGCGGGGGACTTATATTGTAACCTGGAGTCCCCACAGGGAGATAAGCATAGGTTGCGGGGGACCTATATTGTAACCTGGAGTCCCCACAGGGAGATAAGCATAGGTTGCGGGGGACCTATATTGTAACCTGGAGTCCCCACAGGGAGATAAGCATAGGTTGCGGGGGACCTATATTGTAACCTGGAGTCCCCACAGGGAGATAAGCATAGGTTGCGGGGGACTTATATTCTAACCTGGAGTCCCCACAGGGAGATAAGCATAGGTCGCGGGGGACCTATATTGTAACCCAGAGTCCCCACAGGGAGACAAGCATAGGTTGCGGGGGACTTATATTGTAACCTGGAGTCCCCACAGGGAGATAAGCATAGGTTGCGGGGGACCTATATTGTAACCCGGAGTCCCCACGGGGAGACAAGCATAGGTCGCGGGGGACCTATATTCTAACCCGGAATCCCCACAGGGAGACAAGCATAGGTCGCGGGGGACCTATATTCTAACCCGGAATCCCCACAGGGAGATAAGCATAGGTTGAGGGGGACCTATATTGTAACCCGGAGTCCCACAGGGAGATAAGCATAGGTTGCTGGGGACTTATATTGTAACCCGGAGTCCCACAGGGAGATAAGCATAGGTTGCTGGGGACTTATATTGTAACCCGGAGTCCCCACAGGGAGACAAGCATAGGTTGCTGGGGACTTATATTGTAACCTGGAGTCCCCACAGGGAGACAAGCATAGGTTGCTGGGGACTTATATTGTAACCTGGAGTCCCCACAGGGAGACAAGCATAGGTTGCGGGGGACTTATATTGTAACCCGGAGTCCCACAGGGAGATAAGCATAGGTTGCCAGGGACTTATATTGTAACCCGGAGTCCCCACAGGGAGACAAGCATAGGTTGCTGGGGACTTATATTGTATCCTGGAGTCCCCACAGGGAGACAAGCATAGGTTGCTGGGGACTTATATTGTAACCTGGAGTCCCCACAGGGAGACAAGCATAGGTTGCTGGGGACTTATATTGTAACCTGGAGTCCCCACAGGGAGACAAGCATAGGTTGCTGGGGACTTATATTGTAACCTGGAGTCCCCACAGGGAGACAAGCATAGGTTGCTGGGGACTTATATTGTAACCTGGAGTCCCCACAGGGAGACAAGCATAGGTTGCTGGGGACTTATATTGTAACCTGGAGTCCCCTCAGGGAGACAAGCATAGGTTGCTGGGGACTTATATTGTAACCTGGAGTCCCCTCAGGGAGACAAGCATAGGTTGCTGGGGACTTATATTGTAACCTGCAGTCCCCTCAGGGAGATAAGCATAGGTTGCTGGGGACTTATATTGTAACCTGGAGTCCCCACAGGGAGACAAGCATAGGTTGCTGGGGACTTATATTGTAACCTGGAGTCCCCACAGGGAGACAAGCATAGGTTGCGGGGGACTTATATTGTAACCTGGAGTCCCAACAGGGAGACAAGCATAGGTTGCTGGGGACTTATATTGTAACCTGGAGTCCCCACAGGGAGACAAGCATAGGTTGCCAGGGACTTATATTCTAACCTGGAGTCCCCTCAGGGAGACAAGCATAGGTTGCTGGGGACTTCTATTGTAACCTGGAGTCCCCACAGGGAGACAAGCATAGGTTGCTGGTTATATTGTAACCTGGAGTCCCAACAGGGAGACAAGCATAGGTTGCTGGGGACTTATATTGTAACCTGGAGTCCCCACAGGGAGACAAGCATAGGTTACCAGGGACTTATATTCTAACCTGGAGTCCCCTCAGGGAGACAAGCATAGGTTGCTGGGGACTTATATTGTAACCTGGAGTCCCCACAGGGAAACAAGCATAGGTTGCTGGGGACTTATATTGTAACCTGGAGTCCCCTCAGGGAGATAAGCATAGGTTGCTGGGGACTTATATTGTAACCTGGAGTCCCCACAGGGAGACAAGCATAGGTTGCTGGGGACTTATATTGTAACCTGGAGTCCCCACAGGGAGACAAGCATAGGTTGCCAGGGACTTATATTCTAACCTGGAGTCCCCTCAGGGAGACAAGCATAGGTTGCTGGGGACTTCTATTGTAACCTGGAGTCCCCACAGGGAGACAAGCATAGGTTGCTGGTTATATTGTAACCTGGAGTCCCAACAGGGAGACAAGCATAGGTTGCTGGGGACTTATATTGTAACCTGGAGTCCCCACAGGGAGACAAGCATAGGTTACCAGGGACTTATATTCTAACCTGGAGTCCCCTCAGGGAGACAAGCATAGGTTGCTGGGGACTTATATTGTAACCTGGAGTCCCCACAGGGAGACAAGCATAGGTTGCTGGGGACTTATATTGTAACCTGGAGTCCCACAGGGAGACAAGCATAGGTTGCTGGGGACTTATATTGTAACCTGGAGTCCCCTCAGGGAGACAAGCATAGGTTGCTGGGGACTTCTATTGTAACCTGGAGTCCCCACAGGGAGACAAGCATAGGTTGCTGGGGACTTCTATTGTAACCTGGAGTCCCCACAGGGAGACAAGCATAGGTTGCTGGGGACTTATATTGTAACCTGGAGTCCCCTCAGGGAGATAAGCATAGGTTGCGGGGGACATATATTGTAACCTGGAGTCCCCACAGGGAGATAAGCATAGGTTGCGGGGGACCTATATTCTAACCCGGAGTCCCCACAGGGAGACAAGCATAGGTTGCTGGGGACTTATATTGTAACCTGGAGTCCCCACAGGGAGACAAGCATAGGTTGCGGGGGACCTATATTCTAACCCAGAGTCCCCACAGGGAGATAAGCATAGGTTGCGGGGGACATATATTGTAACCTGGAGTCCCCACAGGGAGATAAGCATAGGTTGCGGGGGACCTATATTCTAACCTGGAGTCCCCACAGGGAGACAAGCATAGGTTGCTGGGGACCTATTTTCTAACCCGGAGTCCCCACAGGGAGACAAGCATAGGTTGCTGGGGACCTATTTTCTAACCCGGAGTCCTCACAGGGAGACAAGCATAGGTTGCTGGGGACCTATATTGTAACCCGGAGTCCCCACAGGGAGACAAGCATAGGTTGCTGGGGACCTAAATTCTAACCCGGAGTCCCCACAGGGAGACAAGCATAAGTTGCTGGGGACCTATTTCTAACCCGGAGTCCCCACAGGGAGACAAACATGGGTTGCTGGGGACCTATATTCTTACCTGGAATCCCCACAGGGAGACAAAAAACAACAAAGCCTTCTCAGACTAGAAGGTACAACACATTCCAGCTACATGATGGCCTTTAAATAATCGGGTCTTGACCAGACACCAGTGATCATATATCATTCTAGTCTGCAGCTCATTTTCTGACTTGTTTTTTTTATTTATTGTAAAATAACTAGTCCCGAAATAATTTCACGAGCCCTGGACAAACGGACTATTGGAAATCCCTGCATCATGAGCACTGTCTTATGCCATCGTGGTACAATGACACTATACCAAATCGCTGAACCTTTAGTCACCATAGGTAGTATGGGACCTATTTCATCCCGGAATCTCCATGGGGACTGCCTCCGTTCACATACAAGTTGGATAGTACGCCGACAACACAACTATTAAGCTTCAGCCTCTTTATGTGTTGATGGTATTTCTGACACTGGTGGTGCTTTGTGTGAAAAAGAGACCCTCTCATTTCAAGTGCTGATTTCTATTGTAAGAATGCAACAAGCGGTTAAGCCTGAGGTTTTACAATGGTTGAAATAGAATCTGATGCATTGGCTTCCCATATAAAAGAAAGGTAATTTCATGTTAAGAGTCTGCACTGCTCAAAATGAATATCCCTATGTAAAATACAAGATTTCTGAAACTCATGCTCATAACATAATCTTAATATGCATGGTGGATCATTCCTATAAACAGATAATGATTTTGCTTTTGAACGGAGAGACTACTAACTCAAGTCTGATCTCTGCAAAAAAATAATTTCACATTATTAATCCTCTAGTTTCCAATACCAACACGTGAACCTAGACTTAAATGTCATTGTTGCACTGGTACCATCTTTGACTGCATTTCAAAATATTTCCAAGGGTTATCAAAATATTCCACTTTGTGTAAACTAGGTTACTATTCTGAAAAAGACAGGCCATAATACAGAAACATTATTTCTAAACAGAGAAGTATGTGCGACCTATGTGAAACTGTGTCCCTCCTAACAGGCTTCCCGCATCTTCAGCATCTTACAATAGCCATCAGCATCTTAACAAGCAACATAAATACTGAGCCCCAAGTCTGAACTCACTGAAGAAAGGACCCCAGATCTCCTGCCATCACGGACAGCACTGAGAGTTGGGGCTAATATATCTTTCAGTAAGTGCAGTTACCTCTCTTGAAATTGTCAACTGATTTCGTTGCTAAGAGACGACTGCTGAGTTAAAGATCAGACTGTACGTGGCACTCTGATCTTGAACACAAAAGGCAGTTTTACTCAGTGTCGTCTTGCTTCAATCGGATCCTGTTGATCAAAGAAGAAAATGGCAGATTAAAAGCACATACTGATTTTGCTCTATGAAGCATAGTTATTGTCTCAAATCCAGAGTGGATAAGAGCTAGAAAATTGAAACTGCTATGAGATAGTATGACAGTCAGTCTGTGCTAACAGCTCTTCAGTCAAGTAGCACAAACTAGTCGTCGTGCATCATTTATCATGTTTACATCATGCACATAGGCTATTACTATCGAAACATAATAATAAGCCCGATAGAAAAATATTGATGCTTTCTGTAACTGCTAGAAGGTGCAAGATGATGTATGCCAAGGTGTTGAAGCAAAATTCAAGACTTCACCTATGCTTCATCAAAACTTCACCTTGATAATTCTAAAACTGTACACTGGTTTAAAACCAAGGTAAGCACTGTGAGTGTGTCTATCCACTCACTACTCAATAGTGACAGAATAGTGCAACATCCTCCAGGCCATGTTTGTCTACCCATTGTGATTAATTCTACCATTGGTTTATCACCAAAAAAGATCTATCCCTCTGCATCGAACTAGAGATTAGTTTTTCAATTCTATTGCCATGATTAATATTTTCATATTTTTAGTTTCGAAAATCACTCATTTTTGTCCCTGTTTCCTTCTATTGTATATTAAGATGTCCTTCTGGGCCTACACTATCACCAAGTTTACTGATAATTCCCAGGTGTGTTGAAGTATGTGCTAGCTTTTCAAAACCACACAGTTATCAATCTATATACTTACCTTTCAGCGATCCCATCAACCACTAATACAACTCAATACACATTAGCATAATTAGGCACATCTTCATGGTGAATGATTTGTCCGAGTAGTAACTTATCATGCTTACTGTGTCTACAAGGAAAGTACAACTGTCTTTCTTAAACAATTCCCAAACATGAGTTGTATACAAACTTTTATTCTTAAGTGTTTACGAATATATTCAAAAACAGACATGTCACTGTTCCAAACCCTTGCTCCTAAAAAATGGGATAACCAGTTTGTCTGTGAGTATCGGTTGTTGACTGGTACCTACAATTACGTCCCCATACAATAATTGGGAAAAGTTGGGGAAGTGAAAACACTGCAACTGAGCTTGAGTTCTGGCATCTTATCAAGAATTTCTGCTCAAGAAGTTGCATGTTTTTCCTATCCTAATGGTCATATGAATATCCCCATGTCACATATTTTTTAGCCTAACCTCTTTTCAAGCCTCTAAACAATACATAATCACATGCTTAATAGTGTAATCAAGTTAGATGTTTCAAAACCCACTGAAGACATGAAAGTCTTTGCTACTTGTCTCTGAAGTTATGTTAGGAATTAAGCTACACAGGGTAAGATATTCAATAAGTAGTGAAACATATCTCAACACTTGCTTTTTCACGAATGCACATTCTAATGAAACTTTGATCTGATGATAATTTTGCATTGGAAAATTTGTATGTACCGATTATGTATCGGCTATCGTACACTTTCTGTCTGTAATGTCATGTGACATATCATGTTGTGCAGCTATTTTTAACTTGACTGTAATGGAGGGGCTCGAAATGATGTGATTGTAACAAGATGGCTCCTGATGGACCTGTCTCGCTTAGCAAGGCATTATCAAGATAAAATTAACAAGACATGGTCATTTGACCATCCAAATGTTAACAGAAACAAATGTCTCAAAGGTTAGACATAATTTTAGTGTATTGATATTGCTATTAGACATGTTATCAGAAATAACTTCTCACAACATGAGGACATTCCATTTTGAGACATTATTTCATTACAAACAGTTGTCAATGGATTTCTCATTGATTAAAAAACATTTCTTATGATGTAGATGGCAGGAGCAGATTATGCCAAAATATGATGTCACCGCAACAAGTTGGTGATTGACTCCTTATTCCTCACCTCTTAGAACATGTAGAATTTAGATGGCACTGGGAAATTTCATTTCTAGATTTACTTAACCATGGGAGGACTAATCGTGTTAAAATACTATGAAATTCTTAGTCACAGACTGCATTCACCAGCAAATATATAAAAATGTATCAACATTTTCTACCCAGTCCTGGACAGGTTAAGTACTGCTTTACTTCCCACTTCTCGTATAGTATATTTCTTTGTTTCTTACTTTTCATCTTGTCATTCGGCTGAACAAATGGCACGATATTACTGAGCTTCATGCGTTAACATGAATTCGTTTGAAATATTAGTTAGTTGTGTAATGTGCCTAAACCTATCACCAAATCAGAGATACGATAAATTGCTGGCCAGTTATTATGCTTTGCAAGAGTGAAATCTGAGGCAAGTGAACGCTTTGCAAGGAACGGATGCGCCGATAAATGTCGGAAAATGAAAACAAACGTTTGTCGATTGGATAGATTATTCTTAATCTACAACAATATACGAATTTGTCTACGTGCTTATAATGACTGGTACTTCCTGAAATAGCGTGTTATTCCATTATGATCTTACCCAAAATTATCTTCATGATTAGGTCAACGTGAAGCCATGCGTCAAAGCGCCCTCTACACGGAAGGAAGTTCGACAACTCTTCTCCCACCACCTACCACATCTTTGCCCATGCAGTCTCACCAGCGTGTTGCAACAATTGTTCGAATTCACAGGTTAGCTGAATACTCCCCGGAGATGAATGTAAACAAATGTTATTGACCAACAAATATATTGAAAAGATATTCTATCGTTCAGAATCGTAGAGTTGTATAAATAAAGTACATAAGTACACGATGAATAATACTAAAATACTAAAACATTTAGCGGCACACCTCATATGTAAGTTAACAAAGACAGATTCAATTGTCCATATGATTAACCAAAAAAACTCTAAACTTGTGTGCAGTAATGTACAACCAAATTCAGTTACACATGAGAAGAAATAAATTTCAATTTCGCATGTTGTTAATTGTTTGAACAATATGCACAAAACATTTCTGAGACCAGTATCAAACAATATATATTACACAATTTTAGCAGGAAAGGATAACAAGTAGCACAAAATTCATTTGACAAGAACAGTGAAGGCGCCAACAGTTCACAAGGAAACATAACCTCATATGACTTTCAACAACGGGATAGGGGCCTCACTTGATTTAAACAGTATGTCTCCCTCGTTGACATATACACATAGAAATTAGTTATGCAACACCCGTATGTTCTCAGATTGAGCAACCTTAATGAACTAGTGCATGAAATGTGTAAAAGATTTCTTTACCAAATAAATTATTTAGTGAAAAGGAAGGGTTGAGGGGGAACATAGCCAAGACTACCATGAAATAATGTGTGCTTTTTTAGATGTTACAGATTTGGAAAATGACTTAATTTCCTCCAAAAAAATCAAACTTAACTGTCAGTACCATCACACTTCTGGTTCACGGAATTGAAGAACAATGTCCTGCAAGTCCAAATATTGACTTTCCATCAGTATCTTGTGTAACCTCCCTGAACCCGAACAACTGCTTCAAGAACCCTCCTCATTCTTTGGATCAATCTCTGGATTTGATTCTGAGGAATTCTGTCCCATTTTAGGCCGTCGTGTTCGACAAAGAGACCCACCTGTCCATACGCTCAATGAATTGACTGCTGCTCTGCTCTGCTCTTTGATTTCTCAGAATCAAATGTCTGGTTAGTGTGTTAACATGACAGATTTGGAGTCATATTTGTTGCACTGAGGTTTGTGCTCAATGATTTACAAAGGGTCTTAAAGTCGCCACTATGCCAATCATAGACTTAAGATAGCCATCTGGTCAAGATGGTTGGTTGGTTGGTTGGTTTGTTGTTTAACGCCGCACACAGCACTATTCCAGCTATATGACGGCGGTCTGTAAATAATCGAGTCTGGACCAGACAATCAAGTGATCAATATAATGAGCATCGATCCACGCAATTGGGATCAATGACATGCATCAACCAAGTCAGCGAGCCTGACCACCCGATCCCGTTAGTCGCCTTTTACGACAAGCATAGTCGCCTTTTACGGCAAGCATGGGTTGCTGAAGACCTATTCTACCCCGGATCTTCACGGGTAATCTGGTCAAGTGGTTAGGGCGTACGCCCGTTCGTTCGATCCAAGTATATCCCAGCAGAGGACAATCGGTGAGTGGGGTAGGGGATTAACCATAGATCCAAGCAGATTAGAATTTGTTTGTTTGTTGTTTTACGCCGCACTCAGCCATATTCCAGCTATATGACAGCGGTTTGTTATAAATCGAGTCTGGACCAGGCAATCCAGTGATTGACATCATGAGCATCGATCCACGCAATTGCATGGGATACAATGACATGCATCAAGTTAGCGAGCCTGACCACCTGATCCCGTTAGTCGCCTCTTACGACGAGCATGGCCAACTCTTATGACAAGCAAGGGTTGCCGAAGACCTATTCTACCCCTGATCTTTACGGGTCAGATTAATTAGAACTTCAGCATCTATCTCTATAAAATGATGTCTGGCAGAATGTCACAAGAGGTCATATTCATAAGGTTTATTTTCATTTAAAATTTAAGATTTGAAATACATTTGCCACCGTGAATTTTGTTTACGAGTTGGGATTGGGAGGGGAGTTTGGTTACGAATTCACGTTCGGCCTGTGCAAACACCTCCCTCAACATCTGCATATGCAGATATAATGTATCTGTCACATATCATGTTGACCTTTTGAACTTAATATACAAATATTCGTAACAAGGGTGAATGGTAGACACAAAGATAACCATATTATCGTGAGTGTGCTTTATTTACTGTCAGAGTTTTGTGTATCTTCAGACACAATTTTTCTGCTGATAGAGTGGGACCGCCTCCGTGGTCTAGTGGTAGAGCGTCCGCCCGGAGAGCGGGGCCGCCTCCGTGGTCTAGTGGTAGAGGGTCTGCCCGGAGAGTTGGACCGCCTCCGTGGTCTAGTGGTAGAGGGTCTGCCTGGAGAGTGGGACCGCCTCCGTGGTCTAGCGGTAGAGCGTCTGCCCGGAGAGTGGGACCGCCTCCGTGATCTAGTGGTAGAGGGTCTGCCCGGAGAGTGGGACCGCCTCCGTGATCTAGTGGTAGAGCGTCTGCCCGGAGAGTTGGACCGCCTCCGTGGTCTAGTGGTAGAGGGTCTGCCTGGAGAGTGGGACCGCCTCCGTGGTCTAGTGGTAGAGGGTCTGCCCGGAAAGCGAAGATCCGGGTTCGATTCCCGATATGGGTACAATGCGTGAAGCCAATTTCTGTTTCCCCCGTGATATTGCTGGAAATATTGCAAATAACGGCGTTAGACCATACTCACTCACTCACTCTTACAATCATGGGTTGCTGAAGACTTATTCTATCCCGGATCTTCAGGGGTTCTATCCTGATAAAGACAGACCCTGGACGCATTCACTCCCATTGCTTCCTTTTGATTCAGTGGCACTGACAAAATAGCTGTTTGTTTGTTTGTTTGTTTAATGCTGTACTCAGCACTATTCTGGAGGTCTGTGAATAATCAAATCTTAACCGGACAATCGTGTGACTGACATGATGAGCATCGATCTACGCACCTGGGACACAAGGACATATAGCCAAGTCAGCGAGCCTGATCACCCGTTGTCCTCTCTTACAAGAAAAGGTTGCTGAATTAACTCGGATCTTCAGGGGTAAAATTGAGTGAGTTGGGTTTAACGCGGCTTTTAACAGTATTCCAGTTATATCACGGCGTGTCAGCTTAATGTGGGAGGAAAGGCTGAAGTGATGCAGGTCTTAGACGTTTACCACTTTGGTGAAACCCACGAGCACGAGCACGGGTACGGTGCTGACAAACCTAGAAACATAATTGGGGCGAACCGGATTCGAACCCACAATCATAGGTTTCTGGCATGCCCAAGGGACGCAACTCTGCACAGCGAATCGCGGCGCCTTAGACGACTGGGCCACCCGGGGTAAAAACATTAATAGCTGTCCAATCAAATTACTGAGCGAGAGAAATTCTGTGCTAAGTCAGAGATAGGAACAAGGAAGACGACCGTGAGGTCACATGCGAAATAAAGGTATTGTGGCGAATGGCTCCAGGGCATTAATCGTAACAGAACTATAATATCATACCCTTGATAAACGAGGATGGCCAGGCATATGACTCTACGTGACTGGTCACTCCTTTCATTTCAAAGCAGACATATTCAGAGATATGTACCCGCTACCAGTCAGATTGGACTGGCATCTAAGTTTAGTAATTATCATTGTCATATCCAGCTATGATTTTGATGAAAATAAGTGATCTTTTGCATTATATTTCATAACCCAACCTCCTCAAAATATGTAAAACCCAACGAAAGCTAAAACAAGTGATTAGTAACCAATTATTGATTGGTTGTTCATGTAGCAAAGTCAATATCTAGTTGAAACAGCAGGTGATGTTTTAAAGACAAAATGTGTAAATTATTTCAGCTAATTTCATTTCAGATTTCAAAATATCCTAAAACGAATCTGCCCAAATAGTAATGGTTGTCATCCCTCCATATTGCTGGTGTACAAAAGAGTCCACTGCAGAAACAACAGTAGACCGACCAGTGATCCAAGGTGTGAGCAACAACCCGGGCTGTTGGCATGGCGACACGATTAGCTAGGTCAGGACTGCCAGCTGTTTGTTGTCCAGCAGTGTGAAGGCAATCTGTAAATAATTGAGTACAATAGCTGAGTCTCTCTTCTTTGTGTGCATCTTCGATTATCCCTGTTTTGCATCTCCCTCATTGCATCTTCTATGATGATCCATACCCTGAGTCCATCCTCTAGAATGGAGGTCAGGTGAAATTGAGTTTAATGTCGCGTTGAAGATTATTGTACTTATATAGCTGTGTGTGTGTGTGTGTGTGTGTGTGTGTGTGTGTGTGTGTGTGTGTGTGTGCCTGTGTGTACCTTGTACCTGTCTGGACTAATGCTGATTTTATAGTGCTAGCCCACTGAGATACCATGCCGCAGTTTAACATGAATACTCCACTCAGACACAGTATACTGACTCCGAGCTGACCAATCCTTGTTTTAGAACTTAATGCAGAGCAACAGGCATGGTAACAACAAGTACCATCTTTTAACATCTGGCATGATGTGGTCTGAGATCGAACCCCCTACCTTCCACTCTACCATGGAGGCGTCCCTCTCTAAAATGGAGATATGATTAGGGGGGGGGGGGGGGGGGGGGGGGAGATAATAAAACATGACATCAATTCAAATTATTTTGAATGTTTGTTGTTAAACCTAATCTCAGCAATATTCCAGCCATATGACTGCGGTCAGTAAATAATCTGGAGTCTGGAGCAAACAATCAGTCATTTCAGCCGAAGTAAACAACCAACGATCGATCCAGTGTCTAAAACATGAAGTTTTACTCAACAACAATGCAGAAAGGACGATTACATTAAAGGTTTTATTTCAGATTAAAGTTAATGTGATCATAAATTCATGACTAACGAGAAGGTGTCTTCTGTACAACAACTGGAGCACAACAGCTAATACAATTCAAGAAGAAGTTACTCACAAAATAGGAAAACAATATCAATGTAGAGATACACACAGAGACTCCATGCTCAGGTGAAACAGCTCTTGATGGTCCTTGCAAGACGGAATCCGGTCAACACCAAGCACCACTGCCAGCTCAAGTCTGGATCAGCTATTGTATTATAGTTCCTTGTTTTTTCAGATGTTTTTTCAGATATGTTTTCCACAAACCATAGTTTGGTTATATGAAATATAAATTCGCAAACACATATTTTAAAGTGGTCAGCTGGTCGGTACAAAGAAATGTCAGAAGTAACATTTAAAGTTTAATCCCCTTCTAATTTTGGGGTCGGTGGTGTGACCTATCCATCGGTGCCTAGCTAGCTGGGCCTCACAATATCACAAGCATGAAGTACATGTACTCACACAACTAGAACCAATTCTAACTTTGGATCCCGGCATAGCGAGGGAAGCAGTAGAGGATGGGAAGCTGCCACAGTTTCTTTAGGAACCAATTGTGTTAGCCGGCGCAATGGAGGTTTCAAATGTTAAATCTCCTGTCACATTCTTCTATCTCCATTATTAGCAGTCGTTATTGAGTATTTGATGACTACAAATTTCATTGGAAGGATGTTATCCAGAGGTTTCAAATGTACAAATTTTGAAAAGCATGTACACAATAACCAAATCTGAAACAAAAGTATCTAGCCATATTGTGAATACAAAATGTAAGCAGCATCCACGGTGTGCAAGACAGACACTGTGGAATGCTATGACGTCATGACACGATGGACAATATGATTGACGTCACAGGCTTCATGACTTTAACTGCTTGGTTATGCTGAGGGAAAACGACAAAAGCACAGATTTGTTTATAAATATGAATAGTATTATTCATGTCACCATACCAAATTACACATTTAAAAAGAAAGCGATTTATCAAGAAAAGTACTCTCTACTTTAGTACTTTGAATCCCAATTATGATCTCTTTTCAACCAGATCACGGCTCGCACTCATTCATTTCACAATAATCAGTAACCATGGTAACCAAGAAAAGACAATACACGTATAAAACTCGTCACCATGCTGCACAACACAACACAACCCAATGACAGGACATGGTGGCATTCTAGTCCTCCCAATCATACACTGTGAACCCAGCCAACCATGCTAGCCCAACGTTCTAGTCCGGAATCATTCAGGCTGGAAGTGTACTGGACTATGACAAGAAACAGCACTATGTACCCAGCAATAGAAACTAACAGTTTTAGTCCACTAGTCCTTATGATGACAACATACAGCATAACCCTTAAAAGGATACCTTAACTATTGGGCAGTTCGGCAAGGACTATTTGACGTGTGCCAATTTCTAACGCTTATATACCTACTGTAAGGCCAGACGTCTTACAATCTTGGTCTACATACTTAAAATTAAATGTCAGCCTGTAGCAGGGGATAAAATCAAATACACACGACATAGTTTTGTGTTCTTCAAACATTACTGAATATATTGTGGTTTGAAAGCTTGGCTTGTAGGCCTTGTAGTCTAAAGTAAGGATGTGATAGTCAGATTTTGTAAGCAGAAAGTACACAAACCAGTCATTAAAAGGAACCGCCTTTCTGTAAAAACAGGTCATTGAAATATAGGGAACGCTAACTACATATGGAAAACAGTGTTCATCATGAACAAACTTCTGGGGTTCTTGTTGAGCTATTACAGAATCTTGGAATGCCCAATACGTTCACCTTAAATATTAGGGTTACGACAAGAAACCCCAGACGTTCATGCCCCATGTTGAACACTGGTGAAAGAAGAACACGATCCCTCATCATGGGGTTTCTTCAGAAAATGAAAAAACAAAGCTGCCAAAGGTCTTGCGGTGCGCAGACATCAATGAAAAGGGCAGTCTACTCTTGTGATATCTCCAAAGGCCTTTTTATCAGATGTGCATTGGGCATTCTGACAACACAACGATGTCCACTGAAACTGGTTAGCATATGCATGAATTTGGTGACCATGATGTGTCAATCTCATCAAAATCAGATGTTATTTCTGGCTACTGTTAAACTGAGGACATCCTATTATGGGTCATGTCAGAACGACCTTTCATCCAACCAATCAGAACGTTGCTCACCCGATCAGGAGTGGGATAATCTTTAGAACGGGAGAGTGAGTGAGTATGGTTTTACCCCACTTTTAGCAATATTCCAGCAATATCATGGCGGGAGACACCAGAAATGGGTTTCAAACATTGCACCCATTGAACCCAGGTCTTTGGCATGACGACCACTAGGCTACCACACCGCCACTTCAACGGACGAGGCTATTCATAGCCCGTGGGAGTACTGCCAAACAATCTAGGCCATCTATTAGATACTCTAGGACGTTCTTTTGTTTAGTTTTCAAATTGTGAATAGAGAACTTTGTCAAAATATATTTTTGAGCATAGTCTGGAATGAAAGTTGCCAGTTTGAAACTAGTGCTGTATAGGTCAAGAAAACTGCTTTCTGATTGGCTAATGTCATCTTCTTGTCAGTCATGTAATTGGAAGGTCCAAGATCACGGGACCTGTCATTGGATGTCCTCAGATATTTGTTTAGCGGTAGCGAAAACTCAGATCTGATGTTAATGAGATTGATGATGTGGCTGTATGGTAGGCATCTGTAATTGAATGCAAATAGGAGATGAATATTTGGAAAATATACAAAGTCATTTCTCATTTTTCAAGTAAGGTTGATTTTCCTGTTGTCACTTAAAATCAATGTTTAGATCAAACTGCAACACTACCTGTGCAGCCGGGGACAAACAAGCCAATATGGAAACCAATGACACATGATGATTTGAGTCTAAATGATGGCCTTTAAGCCTTTCCTAACACCAGCACACTCTCAATGTCGGCATGGCTTGGCAGCCCTTCTCGGGGCACAAGTTCGTATCTACCACTGGGCTCGCCCAGCTTGACAAGGATATCCACCATCTGATCTGGGGTGTTCTTCCTGTACAACTTCAGGAACCGATCCTTGATCTTCTTCTGCATAATTTTCAGGCCAATTTTCTTAGCCAAATACTTGATCTGATCCCAGTCGCCCTGCTCAAACCCATACACAAAGCGCAGATCCCGAAGGGTGTCCATCTGCTTGTATTCCTGCATGACCTTCTCTATGGCGTCCCTATGCCACTTGTTGATACGGCATCTGTTAGGAAGCTCATCCTCTCCCTCCGCGCCACCATCTTCATCCTTGGCTTCTTCCTCCCCCTTACCGGCCTCTCCATCCTTACCGCCATCCTCACCCTTATTTCCATCCCCATTGCTCTCTTTCTCCCCCTCCTTGCCTTCACCACCATCTGAAGCAGCAGCACCACCAGCAGCTCCTGACACAGAAGCACCTGCAGCAGGATCTGACGAAGTCGATGACTGGACCTCACTCTCCTCCTTGACCTCACTTTCTTCCTTGACCACTTTTGGTGCAGCCTTTCGTGCAGCTTTTGGTGGAGGAGCAGGGACCTCCTCCTCCTCGTCATCTTCATCCCCATCGGGATCATCCCGGAAGTACCTCTTGCGGGTGATGATGATAAAGTCGTCTGTGCCCGTTTCTCCACTCTCAGCCTTCAGTTTGTCCCCCTTCTCTGTGATCTCTTCCGATGTCACCACAATGTCATTGCACTCCTTGGTCGATCTCACCTTAAAGTGAAGAGAATACATTTATGTTGCATTTGCTGACTCCAGTGTCTCTGATGCTACATCAGGGCTCAGAGGTCACTTTTGGACTTACTTGTTGATAGCTAAGTAAATGTTTATCAGTAGCCAAAATGAAACGTTAGTCGCCATGCAACTTTACCTAAAACAATTGTGATAAATAAAATATTATGTTTATTTGAAGTTGTTTGTTATTTATTATAATTGATTACAGTAAAAGACATCAAATTTGAACACAAGGTTGCAAGTGTAACAATGTTAAATGTTTGAGCATTAATATATTAGCTGGCTCTCAAATAGATGTTTGTTTTGAGAACTGTCAAACATGATATGATGATATGATCATGGATAGTCACTTTAAAAAGATACTTTATTTCAATCCCAATTTTGTACATAACCATGAAGGTGTATGCCTGATGTCTTGAAAGATTGAAAAAATCAAAATGTCAATGAAATTGACTTTATTTAACTTGTCACTGATTCATGAAAATTGAAAGTTCCCTGAGTGAATGAGTGAGTGAGTTGGGTTTAACGCCGCTTTTAACAGTATTCCAGTTACATCACGGCGTGTCAGCTTAATGTGGGAGGAAAGCCTGAAGAGATGCAGGTCTCAGACGTTTAGCACTTCGGTGAAACCCACGAGCAAGGGTATGGTGCTGACAAACCTAGAAACATAATCGGGGCGGAGCGGGATTCGAACCCACAATCATAGGTTTCTGGCGTGCCCAAGGGACGCAACTCTGCACAGCGAATCGCGGCGCCTTAGACGACTGGGCCACCCGTGCCCCCGAAAGTTCCCAGAGATGAAGCCAACATTTATCAAGGAAAATATCTGCTTGTAAAACATCTTTGCTACTACATGTAATACTTTTTTTTAAAGGTCTAATCCTACTGTTCATACATAGGAAAGCTATGTTTATTACATTATTTAAATAATGCATTTACAATTTAATTAAGGTTGTTGTAAATAAAGATGTAAGCTCACACATTCATAACGTCCCGATTATGGACCAAGGAAGTGAAAAATTGACGATTTGCAGCAAATATAAGATTCCATTAAATCCCCTTACCTATTTCTTTTTTATTTTAATTGTATAGGAAAATTATTTTAAAGAGAATTACAAATAATATCTCTCTTCACCCATTTCCCGATAACAATGGCTGTCCGCTAAGTAACATGAAGAAATACCTACGTTTTCGAAGCTTCATATGAATAACACGTACGTCGAAGTGATACACCCTAAGAAAGCTTATTATTTTTATCTACATGACAGTAGCCTCTCTCAGAGTCTTTTTGTTGCTGTAATATATGAATTAATTGGATAAAAAATTTCTTGTCGAAATCTGCTCCTCAAATTACAGCAATAGTACTGTCCTTGTGCATGATGAATTTCAGATTTTGACGAAAGGTTTTTGTTAAATCGTGTTATTCTGAACATTTTAAGCAGGAAATCGTGATCTATATTATAAAATTGGAACTTCATGCTTGTATCGTGCTAGGTTACGAGCCCTGACAAAGATTTTTCATGCATGTATTTTGGCATTAAACAACCGGGCCGAGAAATCGAAGCGACGAAAGCCGAGATGTCATTTCACTTCCATTACACGCAATCGTGCGAAAAGATGGAAATAATAACTTAGCTGTAAGTTTGACAACTTTAAGATATATTTTTGTTGATTTTTTATATTACTTTGTATAGTGTAATTAAAGATTTAAGAAAAACACCTTGCAATGTCATAATTTTTCAGACAGACAATTTCCTTATTTTTCAACAGTCAGAAGCATAAATGTAAACATTACAATGATTTCTAGTCAGGTGATCATTTCATGTGAGATTCTAACACACAGGATTAGAGTGAACCATTGGTTTGGGTGGTGAACATGGTGATGCTGGGATGTGTTCGGGTGAATTGTTTAAAGAAGCTGGAAACTGTGTTCCACATAAGGATCGAAAGAAGAAGGAAGAAAAGCATAGAGTGAGATAGGATGGGTTAAAAATGTATTTTTTTCAAGAATCATCAGGGACAATTTATTTTTGGGGATAAAATCCAAATATTAAGAATCTAGTAACTAAAATATATTTCACAGATACTTCAATTTTGACAGTTGTTGACATCTAAATACATAAAATCTAAGATCTCTGATGATTTTACATAAACTTATGACATCTTTCTGAGAAACGTAACAGGAACATGTGCACATAATCTTGAAGTACCCACAGTTTGATGATGTCAAGCCCAAGAATGCATGACAAACTACACATAACAGGGTTCAGTGATGTAGAATGGTGCGCAAAGCTTAGAGGTAGTGAGTGTGTTCCATGATTGTTGACTTGAAAAGTAAGTCAGTCAAACACAAACTGAATTTTATTTTACATGCACTTGGAGCAAGAAGAGATAAATATTAGGTTGCACTTTTTAATAACGGTGTGCACTCGTGCAAGTTTTATACAGTTAAATTTAGCCTGAAATATTATGCCTTAACAATTACAAGCATGTAACCAGGGTATGAAACTCCCAAAAATTTCAGCCAGACCACAGGACTGGCTAGCTGAAATACTTGCCAGCCCTGACCAAAACCTGCCTGCCCACTATAATCATATGTTTCTCAGGATAAGCTAACGGGGTTTCTTTTGGGTTACATTTTATCATTCATCTTTATATGTGAATTAATGCTTATCATCAGGAAATATTTAGAATATTTTCACATATGAAATATAACCTGACCGTTGGGCAGGGGGATTTGAAAATCTGGCAGCCCGAGTTGAAATCAACCCGTCTCGGACGGTCGGGCAGGCAGGTATTTCGAACACTGCTGTAACCTAATGCAGATCACAACTTCATTACAATTAACACTAAGAAAAACGAGAGCACACAAACCTTGAGAACTGTCTGAGACTCGTAGAACTTGAAGAGTGCATCTGCCGCTGCCAGCGTGCGGACTGTGTGTTGGTCCCCGGCAACGGCCTCTCCCACCTTCGTCTGCTGCAGGATCATCTCACATCTGGAACACAACAAACATCCACTACATCAACACACCAGCACACACCTCAGCATGTAATGATAAGCATATCTATATCAGTCTTGTTGCAGAGATACGTGTTGCTAGGACAAGCGACAAGCAAAAAGTGACTTAGTTTGTTGGCATTAACCAATGTTGTGGAAGTCGTAGACACAGTATGGTGGACAACATAATTTGGGAATCTTGGATCTGTACAGAGTTGTAGCACCTTCAAGAAGGTGAGGTGAGGTGAAATGGGGTTTAACGTCGCGTCCAAGATTATTGCACTTATATAGCGACGTGCATGTACGTGTGTGTGTTTGTGTGGCTGCTTGTACTAGTCCGGACTGATGCCGATTTATAGTGCTAGCTCACTGAGATACCATGCCGCAGGTTAACATGAATACCCCACTCAGACACAGTATACTGACTCCGAGCCGACCGGTCCTTGTTTTAGCCCCTTAATGCCGAGCGCCAGACAGGGCAACAACAAGTACCATCTTTTAACGTCTTTTGGTATGACGCGGCCGGGGATCGAACCCCGGACCTTCCGCTCTCTGGGCGGACCCTCTACCACCAGACCACGGAGACGGTCCCTTCAAGAAGGACTACAATCTCATTAAAATCAGATATTAGTTCTCGCTACCGCTAAACAAAGATCTGAGGACATCCCATTACGGGTCACGTCAGACTGACCTTGCCCGAACTTTGACCAACCAATAGAATGACCAATCAGAAGGCAGCTTTCTCGTGCTTTGTGGCACTAATTTCAAATTGGCGACTACGCTTCGTAACATATTTTGACAAATTCTCGATTACACATTTGAAACCTGAACAAAAGAACATTCTGGAATGGCTAATAGATTGTCTAGATTTTATGGATACAGTCGTTAAACCCGTAACTATCGTTCGGAGTTTAAGTTTTCGAGGCTGCATGATCAGAAATCACATTCCTACTGTCACTTTCATAATCTGGTAAGCGATGCTCTGATTGGTTGCATGAAAGGTCGTTCTGACGTGACCCATAATGGGATGTCCTCAGATCTTTGTTTAGCGGTAGCGAGAACTGAGGTCTGATTTTAATGAGACTGAGAAGGACTAATGCTTCGCATTTTCAGAAATATATCAGGAATCAAAACTTGCGAGGACTGCCAGTTTGCCCGAGTAAAATTTCCTTTCTGAGTTTGATCTAAGATTCTAAACAAAGTACCCTTGTCCACAGGAAACTGGGAAAAAATGTTATTTTGTTCAAAATGGGACTTTCAAATTTCATTTATTATCAATTTATTCTACCATTGCATTTCACATGTTCAATGCAATAATGTAAAACTAACGTTTAAATCCTCTTCCTCTATATTGGTCTAGGAACGAAAACCAACGTGCGAGCAGGCCTAGATAAATTGGTTTGAATAGAGAATACCGGACATCTTCAGCCATATTCTTGATGAATGTCCTTCCCCAGTAGCAGTTGCTGATTTTTCGATCCTAATGCTATTGTAAGTAAATGTCATTTTTAGTTTCCAAAGTTAATGATAAAATACCTGTCTGATGATCTTGTTCCCAATGGAGGTCATTGAAGACGTTGCTGCACGTCGTTATAACACTTCTATTTTTGAGTAATATCAATATGCTGATGTCCAATATTCACTTATCAATTGCTTTGGATATTCAATTTTGAGGTTTAATTATAAACAACATACAAATGCAAGTGGGGTAATTTTTCTGCTTATTTTGAGCTTTATTGCCCCATTTTACACATAGTAACGCTTTAGCATACTGCCATATTACTTTAAAAGTAGCATCAAACAAACTTGGCGGATAGGTATCTGGTGTTCTGCAGGCAGTACAATGGATGGTGTATCGCATTTTTGTACACGTGCAAACAAGTCAAAACGACGGAAAGGATTTCAAATTACAACGGTATCAACTCTGTGGGAAAACAAACCTACACGCTCTCATGATTAATTGTTACCATACGTAGTTGATATAATTATTGTCTGAAACGTTCTTCAAAACATTGCTAAACTTCTGCTTACAGTATTGGGCATTGCCTCCATTTAAACATGAATATGTTATTAGTGTCAGCAGCAAATGGATTTCCTCCCAATCCTGCACTGTTATTGGCTAATAATAGCGCACTCAAATTTGACAACAAAAATCTGAATGTACAACACAAGGTTTTTGAAAGATGGCAGTGAAATATCAACATGATCATACCAATACCAGTCAATTCTAGAAATGAGCAGTATGGAACTTACTGGTTGGAAAAAATATGTCTGGTATTAGTCAGTTCTGACTCCCCCTCCCACAACCCATCCTCACAACCACGTCTCCTCCCACAATCCATCCTTACAACCACGTCTCCTCCCACAAACCATCCTCACAACCACGTCTCCTCCCACAACCCATCCTTACAACCACGTCTCCTCCCACAACCCATCCTTACAACCGCGTCACCTCCCACAGCCCGTCCTCACAACCACGTCTCCTCCCACAACCCATCCTCACAACCACGTCTCCTCCCACAGCCCGTCCTCACAACCACGTCTCCTCCCACAACCCATCCTCACAACCACGTCTCCTCCCACAACCCATCCTCACAACCATGTCTCCTCCCACCCTTCCTTACAACCACGTCTCCTCCCACAACCCATCCTTACAACCACGTCTCCTCCCACAACCCATCCTCACAACCACGTCTCCTCCCACAACCCATCCTCACAACCACGTCTCCTCCCACAACCCTTCCTTACAACCACATCTCCTCCCACAACCCATCCTCACAACCACGTCTCCTCCCACAACCCATCCTCACAGCCACGTCTCCTCCCACAACCCTTCCTTACAACCACGTCTCCTCCCACAACCCATCCTTACAACCATGTCTCCTCCCACAACCCATCCTCACAACCACGTCTCCTCCCACAACCCTTCCCCACAACCCATCCTTACAACCACGTCTCCTCCCACAACCCTTCCTTACAACCATGTCTCCTCCCACAACCCATCCTCACAACCACGTCTCCTCCCACAACCCATCCTCACAACCATGTCTCCTCCCACAACCCATCCTTACAACCACGTCTCCTCCCACAACCCATCCTTACAACCACGTCTCCTCCCACAACCCTGTCTCCTCCCACAACCCATCCTTACAACCACGTCTCCTCCCACAACCCATCCTCACAGCCACGTCTCCTCCCACAACCCATCCTCACAGCCACGTCTCCTCCCACAACCCATCCTTACAACCACGTCTCCTCCCACAACCCATCCTTACAACCACGTCTCCTCCCACAACCCATCCTCACAACCATGTCTCCTCCCACAACCCATCCTTACAACTGCGTCTCCTCCCACAACCCATCCTTACAACCACGTCTCCTCCCACAACCCATCCTTACAACCACGTCTCCTCCCACAACCCATCCTCACAACCATGTCTCCTCCCACAACCCATCCTTACAACCACGTCTCCTCCCACAACCCATCCTTACAACCATGTCTCCTCCCACAACCCTTCCTTACAACCACATCTCCTCCCACAGCCCGTCCTTACAACCATGTCTACTCCCACAAACCATCTGCACACATGGATGTAATGATCAATGTACCACACACTCTCCATCATCAGTACTTGCCTGTATCCCTTCTCATCTGGCTCAATCTTCCACTCCAGGAGCATCCCATTCCACATAGCGCTCATCATCAAGATACTGTACGCATTTTTTCTTCGATTGAACGACCAATCATGCGTCTCCACAATGACCATCTCATTCCACTCTTTATCTCTCTGTATGGGATCTCGTCTCAGGAGTTTTAAACGGCCAATGTTTGATTCGACACCCTCCGTTCTAGACTTTGCCCAGACTTCAGTTTTGGCCACTTTCAGCTCTTCCTCCTCTGAAGCCGGCTTGCCCGCATCAAACAGTTCCTCTCCTGTCATGGTGGTAAGTTTATGGTAGGCGTTTTCGTAGGCTTCGGCATGTGCGTTTGTCCGAGTCTCCCCCTTCCCTTTTCCGATCAGGACCTTCTGCAGGAAGTACTCACAAATAACGTTCTCCTCGGCTGGTCGGTTCTCATCCGCTTCCAGGAACTTAACAATACATTTGGGCTCCAGGCCAATCCGGAACACGTTCCGATCCAGCAAGTGCATCAGTGAGGCATTGGGGTGGCGTGTCGTCTCCTTGCAGTACGCAACTACCGCTGCTAGCTTCTCCTTCACCTCGTCATCCGTCAGCTCCACTTTGAGCACCTGGTCTAAGGATGCTCCTTCGGGGATTTCGACCTCCATCTCTCCTTTCTCGATTGAAATGAACCTCTTCAGGGCGATGGCACCAGGGTCATCGTACTCTTCGTCTCTTTTAAAGAAGGCTTTGGCATCAAATTTCAGAATCTGTATGCCGACATCTTTCAGCCCCAGTATGTGCCTGATGGACTTGTTTCGGATGATGTTGATGGCCTTCCTGTAAGTCGACTGTTTGGTCCTCTGCTTGTCTCCCCCTACACTGCGGGCTATGAACACTTTATTGAGTTTGAGACATCCGGTGAATATGTACTTCTTGCCTACTTTGTGCACCACTTCGTGGCTGTAATCGGCTCGTAGGCCTGACTGGCTGGCAAGGACTCCTTTCTCGATCACCTGAACGTCGTTATTGCTGTGATATCTTCGGAGATATTCACCAAGCCTTTCCAGTCTTTCAGCCACTGTTAAAATAGCTGGTTCAGTTTCCTCGTTGTAGTTGGGCTGATAGGACTGGGAGCTGCCTGGGTGACTCCAGTAGCCGCCGTCCTGCTGGTACCCCTGCTGCCCCCCCCACCCCTCGCACTGGTCGGGCCCGTACCCTGGGGGGCCACCTGCCGACCCCACCCACTGCATCCAGCCCTGGACTTGCTCTGTCAATTGGTCTTCAAAGAAAAATACAATTCATAAATGAACAAATCACATCAACCTCACAGGGGAAAGGAAAACATCATTATGTCTAATAAGGCTCAGAAGCATTTTATTATGATTCACTTTTTAATCACATTCTTGATACTGAATAAATAGCTTATGTATCGTTCAAGTAGTCAGTGCTAGAGATTCGTGTGTGTGCCATAGTTTGTTTGTTGTTTAACACTGCATTCAGGAATATTCCATCTTCCCGAGGCAAGAGAGTTAACTGACTATAAAAGTCCAGTTTCCACCCTTGCCGAACTAGGCTGGTATTATGGAGTTACGTTTTGGCTGGGCTAACGAGTCTATGCATAGTCCAATCAAAATCGCGCACCGAAATTGAAATCCGGTTCGTAAACTGTTGTGCAGATTTCGGTCGATTGCAGGATTTGCAAAGCATGTGCACCACCAACTCGTTGTCAGGAGATATTTTCCAAATCTTCTCACGTTTTAAATCAAGGTGCTCACATGATTTGATGCATTTCGCGATGTAAGACCTGTTTTATCTCAATATAGATCTTGATTATCGATCTGATCATCCTGCCCGGGTGCAACCATTTTGTGTGAAGCAAACGCAAGTGATATGAGAGGTGGAATTTGATTGGTCCTTAGGAGAGGCTTAGAAGGGACATAACTGGTAATAGCCACTGGTGGCGCTACGATCGAGCCCAGTAATTCCAGCCTAGTTCGGCAAGGGTGGAAACTGGACTTTTAAAGTCAGTTAACTCTCTTGCCTCTGGAAGATGGGAATATTCCAGCTATATGACGGTGGTCTTAATAATCGAGTCTGGACCAGAAAATCCAGTGATTGACATCATTAGCATCCATGTACGCAATTGGGATCCACGGACATGCATCAGTCAAGTCTGCGAGCCTGATCACCAGATCCCACTAGTTGCCTCTTTCGACAAGCATAGTCGCCTTTGATGGCAAGAATGGGTTGCTGAAGACCAATTGTACACCGGAACTTCACAGGTCGTCAGTGCTATAGATGAATGTTGAGTGCTAAAAAGGGAGGTCAGTGCTATAGATCAATCTCAATTCCATTATGATTAATACTGTGAAAATATCCATCACAGTAGCTTCATTTTGGAAGTGATGGCCCCTTTCAATTACTGACAAGTATATGAATAATGAGAACATCTACCGTTCTGAGAGTAGTAATCATTCCTCCTGCCCCCGTAGTAGCCTCGCCCTCGGTTCCGGTCAAACCGCCTCTTCTTGGACCGTGAGTGGTCGCCCCAACCTTCGTTTGACCGGTTAAATGACATGACTCTGCACAGAAGAAAATACATAAAGTAACTCATGACAACCATTGGCTGTTCGTCACGACAGATCTGGAAATATCTCAAGTGAGGGAGTTAGTAGGTTATAGCCACTTTTGTAATATTCCACATTTCAGGAATCAAACCTGGGTCTTTGGCGCTATTAGCAAACACTTAAATTACTGGCCTACCCCACCGCCCAAGAAACCACCAGATATGGGCTTCACACATGTATCTATGTGAGGATTCGAACCTGGGCCCTTGGTGTGAGGAGAGAACACCTTAAGTACCAGCCTACCCCATCGTTAGAAATCTTTTGAAATGAAGCTGTCTGTATAGGGATGTGAGTAATGTATTTTCTTGAGTATAGTGCGCACGATCGGAAGATCACACAACTCACCGTTATTAACAGCAACCACGGTCAGATTACCGCTATTGACGCCTTGAAACGAACTTTGGTTGACAGAGAATGGATACATATATCATAAATGCCATACTTCGAATCGTTAAAACTCATATTTGTTTTTGTTGGACGATTCTATGTCAACACGATCGCGCGATCACGTGCACGGGAGCCTTGACGGTGACTGGTCAGACTGGTTCCATGTAAAAAATAATACCCGGCAATAGCGATCAGCTGCTTCGCTAAGGGTTATTATTATTTTAAATATGTTTAGTAAAAGCTGCATCTAAATTAACAAGATATTGGAATATATTATTCCTGATAAAAAAATAGTTTCAGATACATTTTTTGCCGATCCTTGCATAAAAATCCCGTAAAGTTATATCATTGGGTGTGCCTTGACCGAATCACCGGTAGATTCCAAGAAAACGTGTGTACAGCTGATTGCTGTGTCCGGCTTAGTTTACAAGAAAATACACAAGGTAATCTTAATCCCTGGATATAAAACAATGCCTAGCAGAACAAAAAATACAATTTAAATGGTAAATCAACATGTCTGGTGATTTTTTATCTCAAATTTCGAATTTGTACTGACGAAGTTTCTCATCACCCGTTCGTTTGCTGGACTTTGCTGGAGGGGGCGCGCATTATACTCAAGAAAATCGGCAATGTTTCAAAGCAATGTTGTGTAAACTTGGATTGCTTACATTGACCATATGAATTGTACTCTCTAATATCAGTGAGTGAGTGAGTTAATATTTAACGTCACATTGGCAATATTTCAGCCATATCGTGATGAGAAGTTAGACAGTAATAATGCATATAATTAAACTTTATAAAAACCTGTCATCGAAGGACAGTACGATAACTAGCATATCACAGATTAGATTTAAAACTAGTTGAGGCACATTTAAAAGGAGAAAGAATCAATTGACATCACAATATAAAAATGGGCTTGAGATCGTCAGTCACTAAAGGGAGATCACCATACCAGGGACCATGGGGACTTACAGTGCCTTTGCTTCCTGCATGGACGCTGGTAGGGTTTATATCATCCCTACAGTCACTTGTATTAGTATACCAGTTAAGCCTTATGTTAAAATGACGAAAATACTATTTTTTAAAATTCTGGCATGCATAAAAATACTTTGAATGATGTGGGACTTACATACCCTCTTAGGGGGACAATAATTTTACGCTTCAACCCCCCTCGAGGGTACAGCCACCTCTAATATCAGAATGCTACAGAAGCCACTTGTTCAAATCCTATCAAGTAATATTTCCTGTGGTTGACTACTGTGACATTCTTCATGTTTACAGGCTGGTAACAAGCAACCAAGTCCCAAGGTTTGTAACAAAGTCCATTATTGCACATGTTCCGAAGCCTTGTAAAACGCATGTTTAGATGGGGATTTGTAGGCCCTATGTTTGAAATGAAACTTTGAATGAAGAAGACATGAATCTATTATCATATCGTTAGTGTAGAAATAGGAAACAAATGGTTTGGGTCCACCATCCACAGATAATTTAAAAACTAGAGTAGTAATCACTTGACAACATGAGTTTTCACACCTGCCTTCTCCCCTATGTAATAGGCCAGGGGCAGATCTGTCTCAAAACATGCTTTGATAATTCATGTCACATAAAACCTAGATCTCATATTTCTTCTTTAAACTTATGAAACTTTCAGCTATTCGTTCGGCTGAAACCAGTACAATCGACACTGTCTGTATTCAGTGTTCAATTTCTTCCCAAATTTACTCTTTCGTAACTTTACATAGCTTCATCAACCAAAATGCTGTATCCAATTGGTTATTCCAAAACAAAGATTCTTACTTCAATGAAACAATTATAAATGCTTACAATGTAACGCTAAACACTTCATGCCAACAATACACAAAATATTAATAGTTGATTGGTTACACAGGTCGGAGATTATTTGCATAGTTTATATCTATTATGTTTTTATGGATACTCCTGCTGTAAACATGGTTAAGTAGCATACATACCATCAATAGTTCCCACATAATATCTATAAACTAGGTCGATATGTGCTTGTGAAATAGTTGCAGTGAAAATATATTCAAATATTACCACCTATATTTCAATATTTGCAAGTAAAGAATGGCCTACTTTTACTTCTTTTCAAACTGTTACACTACATACTGATCAATTTGGGTCTACAGAAACCATTTCTCCTTTACTATTACCAAGTGCATTGAATAGATTATAGTACACATATGTGGAAAAGTTTCTGGGTATAATTGAATGAGATTAGTTCGTCTGAGAAATGTGTCAAATATCAAGAACAACAATAAATCACACCAGCAAACAATGACAAACCCGCTATTCCCAGAATTTCTGATCAGGAGGTGAAAATATATTGCTTCAAATCAATACATTAGTATTCTCAAATCGGGCACGACACATTCTACAGTTCCCAAATGCATAATAAAATGGAGTATTTGTTGGAACACGGGTAGAAAGGGTTTCTGATCACCGTTGGGGGCAGCTTCCGGGTCATTGCGGCCAATAACAACTCTTTCATTGCCTAGCACCGTAGATTTTTCTTTGAAATAAGATTAATATACCTTGTTGTTAAATAATACAAACCGCAATACCTACGTAGGTAGTCTTATATGCAGGGATATCGCATATACAACGGACAAACCGGTAGATTATTTCGTCGAGAGAATACACACGCTTCTCTTTATGGGGAGGTAACTCTAAGTCACACATCCGGTTGTGATGGCTCGGAATGTAGAAGTCCTGAAGGTATAAGTTCTAAACTCAATAATAAGTAGTTGTTTGTTATAATTTTAAAATTGACATACCCAAATATGTTTTTTTAATTTTTCATAACTACATATCCTTGTAAGATTCCTTGAATAAATTCACTGCATTTAGCGTATTTGATATATTTGATCTCTGTGTAAAAAATATTAAGTTTAATCAGAGACCATATGTCTCTGGTTTAATTACCCCCCCCCCCCCCCCCCCCCCCAGTAGGTAAGCAAATCAATATCACCTCGTAAAAAATGTACATATCGAAATTCTTTCATCTTCGATTGATGAATAAGTAAATAGATTTGTTGATAGAAGAAATATTGTAAATATGTATGAAGCAATGTATAAATATTTTCTAACAGTATTCCAGTTATATCGCGGCGTGTCAGCTTAATGTGGGTGGAAAGCCCGAAGTGATGCAAGTCTCAGACGTTTACTACTTCGGTGAAACCCACGGACCCGGATATGGTGCTGACAAACCTAGAAACATAATCGGGGCGAACCGGGATTCGAACCCACAATCATAGGTTTCTGGCGTGCCAAAGGGACGCAACCCTGCACAGCGAATCGCGGCGCTTTTGACGATTGGACCACCTGTGTACCCAGCTCGCTGGTCGTAGTAATGCATGGAACCTGTATAATATATACAACTGGCATTTCTCCGCACCCAGTATTCGTTTATCTGGACATTAGTTAATCCGGACGATTTCACTGAGAAGGCCACAGTCCACATAACAGGGTTTCATAACTGTAGTTATTAATCGAGTGAAATATATTAAGTTGTCATAGCGACCGATTTCTAACAACCTTTGTCTGAATGAACATTTAATTCCACAGGCTAATTACCATGCAGCCATGACGTGTGTATGACTGGAATGATTTAATTGCCATTTCTTCTAAGATGCTAATCCCTATCGTTAATCCCCATTGTAATGTACACTGATGGCGGCCGGGTCGCCTAACCTTGTCGGCACCTATTGTTCTGGACGAGTTGAGCAGACAGGCATGCTAATCCTCAGACAATAGGAGACGGCGGGGGTCGTCTCAAGACATAGATATACATTAGGTAATACAGCGGAGAATGGCCTTGACATACGACACATATAAAATCATATACAAAAATAACATAATTTTCTATAATAGATAAAATATAACTACGGTTGATTTCAACATTTCAATATACATACGGTATTGACAACATTATTGATTTTTTAATACGTACATAATTTACTTTAAAAAATGTAACCAGGGAAATTCGTTGATGTCATTATGTCAGTCAACAATACCCGATACAAACAACATTTACATAATCTGATATTCATGTACATTCATAAATACTTCAAGTTGCTCTTGGTAGTTGGTATGATAAACAAGGGAGATAGCTCTGTGGATATTGCCCTCTTTCAAAACGTGAGTTATCTGTCCTTGGCGGCCGCTATAAAATAACACGGTGCGCATGTGCTGGTCAATGGGTATCTTCTTCCTAAGCTGGTCCCTGGCTCCCTATGCGCGTCGTCAACTTGCGCCAAGCTAGGAGCCTGTACAGGCCAAAATTAAAAACACTCAGCGTGTTTATTTGACGTCACATCCGGTGATTTTCAGAAATGGCTACGCTTATGCCGAAACAGGGGACGGACACACCTGTGAAAAGCGTATCATCTTGCGTTCGCTGTGATAAACCAAAATCTGATGGCGGGCAATTTTATAGGGTGGAAACTAGACCAACAAAATCATCTGACAACAATCTCGCTTATCTTTTGGAGCGCTACGGCGGATTAAAGTGTTGTTGTTGTTGCATTAAGTGTTTAAGAGGTCGCCTTCTGCTTAGGCAATTTCGGCTGACCTGTCCCTCTTTGGGACTCCTGTGTGTGAGAAGGATACATATACTCGTATCTATTGTGAGTTCGGTGTTCACATAATTTCTGTTTTTGTATTGATATGATTTCTATTTTCTTATATTGATATGATTTCATTTTTATCCTTGGCTGCTCTGTTTATATACGTTCGAGTAGCTGTCCATCTCTCAGAAATAGAGTTAGTTTGGCCTTCGCTATTGCATCTCTTGGCTTTAGGAGATCTATGACAGATAGCGGATCTAACTGCAATTCTTGTTTTAACCTAGCCCGGGCTGGGGCATGGTCTTGACATTCTAGTAACACGTGGTCAATGGTTTCAGCCTGATTGCAAGATGAACAAACCTTGTCATAGTGCTTTTTGTGACCAAGTCTGAGGCGTGAGATAGCAATTTCAATCTTCCTTTCATTTGAGTATGAGTTTGGCTTTTGTTGGATCTTGGGTTGAATTTTGTAGAGCCATCTGCCGATCTTACTTCCGTCCCATTGGGCTTGCCATCTTTCTGCTATGGAGGCTTTGATTTTGCTTTTTATCTCTAGTTTACTAAAGGGAATAGGCTAGCTTCGCCAGTGAGTCTGCTTTTTCATTTCCATGAATATCTATGTGAGAGGGGATCCAACACAGCTCCACCTGTTGCCCTTGGTCCGATAGTTTTGTATATTCGTATAGAATATTGTTGACTGTGTTTGGCCTGGAGTTTGAGTTTCTGCCACTGATGGCCTGAAGTGCACTTAGCGAGTCTGATAGGACGACTGCCTTTGCTTCCGGAAGTTCCGGTATGAGTTTGAGTGCATGATGAATTGCCTCCAATTCAGCCGTGAATACTGACTGACCATCAGGCAAGCGAACTGAATGTGCTTGGGGTTTGGAGCTGTGGATATGGATCCCGTAACCAGCACTGTTGTTGAAAGTATTCTTGGATCCATCAGTGTATATATGGGCCCAGCTGTCCCAGAGTGACAGACATGTGAAGAAGGGGGGTTATATACATGTGATAACTTATGTTTATATAAGCTTGAATGATGATAGATTGATGTTTACACAAGAGATAAGGATGAAGTATAAAGCCCGACGATGTAGATATAAATAAAAAAAAGGCATGCTAGTAAAAACAAACAGTGACTGATATTTTAGCAATATTCCAGCAATATCACGGCGGGGGACACCAGAAATGGGCTTCACATATTGTACCCATTTCGGGAATCGAACCCGGGTCTTCAGCGTGACGAGCGAACGCTTTAACCACTAGGCTACTCGGCGCACCGTGGTGTAGGGGGCACGGGTGGCCCAGTAGTTTAAGGCACCGCGATCCGCTGTGCAGAGTTGCGTCCCTTGGGCACGCCAGAAACTTATGATTGTGGGTTCGAATCCCAAACAATAGGGGATGACAAAGTAGACACTATTTATGGATAACAACTTCTTTATTGACTGCAAAGGCGACATTTCGGTATAGATCCTTATACCGTTGTCAAGTTAATGTAATGACGTAAGAACAACCCGCGAAGCACAATGACATATAAACATTCACGCTTGTAATTTATCATTTAACTTAAAAAACATAAAATATCATGTCAAAGTTATAAAGCCATATGCTTTCCTAATGTCCACCATATAGGTAGTTCTGTGAACTAGATACTCTTTATGGAGGGGTGCGTGGGGGTGATATGAAAAAAATCTTATATGAATTGGAGGTTCACCCTCCACCAACTGTATTTTTGACATATTTTTTATTTATGTTTTAAAACTGCCAATGTATATATGTAACCATGGGGAGCGGTATTAATATAAGCATTGTTGCTTGTTTACCAGTCCCCATTTTATTCTGCATGTATGTGATGATGTTATGAAATAAAAAATATGTTTAACACCCCTCCCCCAATAACATCTGACCAGTCCTTTAACTTAAAAAACGAAGTTAATTTTTAGAAAAAATAAAATTACGTTTTTGATGCACTGATTTTAATTTCTCACTTACATCGAGTTCAACACAATTTGAAACTTCAGTCAGCTTACAGGGTAACTGAAGTTTTTATTCTCAGTTAAAAGGCGACCCTGTTCTTTGTGCACAAGGCGAGGCAGTAGCTCCTGTGAAGATCTGGGGTAGACTAGATCTTCAGCAACCCACGTTTGCCGTAAAAGGCGACTATGCTTGTAAGAGGCGACTGATGGGGTCGTGTGGTAAGGCTCGCTGAGTTGGTTGATGCATTGCATCGTATCGTGTCCCAATTACGAGGATCGATGCTCATGATGTCAATCACTGGATTGTATGATCCAGACTCGATTATTTACAGACGACCGTCATATAGCTGGAATATTGCTGAGTGCGGCGTAAAACAACAAACAGTAGGAGACCGGACAACACACTGATGGCACACGCCATTCGTGACCAACTCGTGTTATTCCGGGACAAGCCGAATAGCGACTCGTGCCCCTCTCGTGACCATTTTTGTGACCGGGTTCCGTCTAGGCGCAAACGGGCATACCTAAAACAGTTGTCAACTCGTTTTGTAATGGTTCACATATATTTCCCCATATATCATATTATATATTTCAGATGTCGGGATGTGCGGAATTATACAGTATGATTGAACACATTTAACTGTGTCTTGGGTATATTTTTAGATGCAAGACATATGTAAAATCAAAAATTATTTCTGAGGGATTCTTTGACGAAGAACTTGAAATCATACGCGCATTCTGATTGGTTTGTCGTATTTTCGCACATAACATTCATCGATAGGGGGACGAGTCTTCTTGCAGGTTACGGAAAGGGGCGAATCGTGACGAATGGGCACACGCGTGGCGGGGCTTACCTCCCTTGTATATGCCAACACTGAAACGAAAGTAACTTCTGTGAAACAACTCTTTACTGACGTGTACACTTCAGACGTGTTTTCTGTGGAAGGTAGGTTAATATCGTTACGTATGTTCTGACGTGATAGTTTTAGTCATTTACAGAAATTAGATTTTACACTGTTCAGTACAGAACGTATTGTATAACTGCCAAGACCTGCAAGAAGATTGTAACGACCAGATCGGATGCTTTACACCAGGTGTTATAGATTATTCTCTTTTGTGAATTGCCTGGTACAGTCATATATATTGTGTGTAATATATGTGAAAGTATATTTCACAGAATCGTTGTTGTTACCGTTATTAAAGTTTCAATTATTCTGCAAAAGTCTGTTCAAGTATTTTGTTTAAAATAATCCGAGGAACTTTTTTTCTCAGCGAATTGTTTATTTTGGTTTACATGGCTATGGAAAACATGTATCACTACGCACGATCTATACGTAAGATTTCGACAAGTTGCTGATGTTAATGTTTAATGCAATTATTCCTTAATTTGGAAGCAAAAATGTGAAAATGATAAATAGAATTCATCACTCGTGTTTTTTAATATGGGAAATATCAAACTCGTCCCGTTAATCGGTATTTGCCTCTCCAAAGGCTCGGCAAATACCGATTAACTAAGACTCGGTTGATATTTCCCATATTAAAAAACACTCGTGATGAATCCTCTATGTATGTACTATATGTGAAAGAATATATAGATATATATGCATGTAATATATGTGAAAGTATATATATATATATATGTAATATATATGAAAGTATATATGTATATGTAATATATGTGAAAGTATATATGTATATATGTAATATATGTGAAAGTATATATATACATATATTTGTAATATATGTGAAAGTATATATATGTATGTACTATATTTGAAAGTATATACAGATATATATGCATGTAATATATGTGAAAGTATATATATATATGTGATAGTATATATGTATGTATGTATGTAATATATGTTAAAGTATATATATATATATGTAATATATGTGAATGTATGTATGTATGTATGTATGTATGTATGTATGGGTGTATGTATGTATGTATGTATGGTTGTATGTATGCATTACTTTCACACATGTTACAATGTTTTTCCCAATGTTAAATAGTCTCTTATAACTTTAAAGCGTGTGGGTTGTTACTGTATAAATGCTTTTATACTAAGACATTTTTAAAGAGTGTATTCCGAATGTATTATATATGTAAGAGGTGACCCTCACATACAGTATCTGTCAAGTCGAAGAGGCGACGTGACTCAATATAGAGTCACGCTCGACTGCACACCTTTCCCCGTCACCGTCTGATACTGCTTATAATGGTGCTTGTGTTTATGAATATTTGGATATGCGTCAGAAGTTTAACTTTCGATTGTTGATATAAATACTTTGGAATTAATAATGCAACATTGAAAGCGTTATTTTAAACTGTTAATGCATTAAGAAAAAAAGATCAAATGGCGGCCCCGTCAAGCATTAAAACACTTATTTACCTCCTAGTTGTGTGCCTATAACACGTAGCGGAAGGTCCAGGGTTCGATCCCGGGCCGCGTCATACAAAAAGACGTTAAAAGATTGTACTTGTTGTTACCCTGTCTGGCGCTCGGCATTAAGGGGCTAAAACAAGGACTGGTCGGCTCGGAGTCAGTATACTGTGTCTGAGTGGGGTATTCATGTTAAAACTGCGGCATGGTATCTCAGTGAGCTAGCACTATAAATCGGCATCAGTCCGGACTAGTACAAGTAGCCACACACACACATACACGTGCATGCACGTCGCTATATAAGTGCAATAATCTTGGACGCAACGTTAAACCCAATTTCACCTCACCTCACCTATAACACGTGGCTGTCATGTTTCGTCGTTTCCTGGCAGACATTTTGTACTATTATTTCTGAGGTTGCATTTCATGCGTTCTATTTCAGACAGTGCCTTAAGTTCTCCTTGATTAACACTGGTTAACACAGGTTGAAACTTGTTAACGCAGGTTGAATCTTGTTAACCCTGGTTGCCAGAAATGTGGCAACCTTGGTTGACTCAGGTCACTTAAAGTTTAATAATAAAACGCGTCTTGTAACACCACTTTGTTTAGTTAAGGGGAGCTTAATTCACGGACTGCCGTCATTGTAATAAGTGAGTGAGTGAGTTTGGTTTTACGCCGCTTTTAGCAATATTCCAGCAATATCACGGCGGGGGACACCAGAAATGGGCTTCACACATTGAACCCATGTCGGGAATCGAACCCGGGTCGTCGGCGTGACGAGCGCACGCTTTTAACCACTAGGCTACCCGACCGCCACCATTGTAATAACAATCTTATCAGTTGTGGTAAACACAAGACGAAGTTGAGCCCAAAGAATGTGTTGCATATAAACTACTACATATATAGATATGGCGTAGTTGGTATTTATTTGTGAGGGAATATTATAGTCAATCAAAGCTAATAAGCCAATAAATGTTATTAAATGGACAAATTAGTCTAAACAAAGTCAAATATATGTCACATTTTGGTAATTTAAAAACATTATATTTTTTACTTCAACAACCATTTCTGTAAATATTTGCCAAAGCCTCCTGGAGGTTTAGCTTAATGAAGATGTTTTGGGGCTATTTACCAAATGTAAACAAAGACACGTGTGGCTTGAATGCATCATCGCTCCTTCAAGTAACAACCTCATTTTATGCATCAAAATACTGTTATTCATATATTTTCCGGTGTGAAACTAACAATCTCCATTTTCACCATGTTTTTAAAAGCCTCATTTTGCCATATTTAAATAACAAAGATTATATTTATCAAAGTACATAAATCATGACGTGGGGGCACGGGTGGCCCAGTCGTCTAAGGCGCCGCGATATTCGATGTGCAGAGTTGCGTCCCATGGGCACGCCAGAAACCTATGATTGTGGGTTCGAATCCCGGTTCGCCCTGATTATGTTTCTAGGTTTGTCAGCACCATACCCGTGCTCGTGGGTTTCACCGAAGTGGTAAACGTCTTAGACCTGCATCACTTCGGGCTTTCCTCCCACATTAAGCTGACACGCCGCGATAGAACTGGAATACTGTTAAAAGCGGCGCTAAACCCAACTCACTCACTCACTCACTCAATTATGACGCACATTCTGATTGGCTTGCACTGTTTCGACTCGAGCCTCCTTGTAGGTTACGTTGCGAGTGTTGACCAATTGTGTCACCAAATATATAACCGCGATGCTGTTGTTGTTTACAACTCTGATATATATCGTGCATCTGATTTTCAGGTTATAGGTTCGCATCCCATTTGTGAAGAAGAATATAAGACAATCTTTGTAACACTTTGCTGTCAGACGAACAGGAATTCATCGAAGGTAAATTTACTCCAATAATGTTGGCCTTTATTGAGGCATTCGTCACCACTCGCCTCTTTCCGTCACCTGCAAGAAGACTCGCCCCCCTATCGATGAATGTTATGTGCGAAAATACGACAAACCAATCAGAATGCGCGTATGATTACAAGTTCTTCGTCAAAGAATCCCTCAGAAATAATTTTTGATTTTACATATGTCTTGCATCTAAGATATACCAAAGACACTGTTAAATGTGTTCAATCATACTGTATAATTCCGCACGTCCCGATGTGCTTTAAATTGCATCTGAAATATATATAATGTATGGGGGAAATGTACGAACCATTACGCAACGAGTTGACAATTGTTTTAGGTATACCCGTTTGAGCTAAGACGGAACCCGGTCGCAAAAATGGCCACGAGAGGGGCACGAGTCGCTATTCGGCTTGTCCCGGAATAACACGAGTTGGTCACGAATGTTATTGAGGTATAGACTTACAGACCGGTGTGCACACTTTGCGCAAATTTAAACCATATTGAATAAAGTAATATATCAACAATAATAACTTCACAGACTGTTTATTTAATCATTAACAAAAAACAACAACACGAAATAAGTGACATCGTTCAGCGCAATAATGCAACAAAAAACCCGCTCATTTAAATATCAAACAAGATGAAACAGTAGTCCGTTAGTGGGCGTGGACTATTTCTGCTAAGCCAATCAAATGCCACAGAATGTATTTACTTTGGACTGAACCGAAAATATATAGAATCTATCTACGATTGAAGAAAATATGATATCAGAAATAATTCGTAAAGCTCATAGTAGTAAGCTCATATTTAGCTTCTTTGACAGGCATTTAGAAGTTGGAGTTCTAAGTAAGGATACGAATTTATGGATAAAGAAGTTGTTCATCCATAAATTCTTATCCTTACTCAGATTTAGCTGTTACGTCAAGCATGTCTTCTGTCCCTGAAATACAAAGTATCTAGTTATAATTGAGTGAGTGAGTTCGGTTTTACGCCGCTTTTAGCAATATTCCAGCAATATCACGGTGGGGGACACCAGAAATGGGCCTCACACATTGTACCCATGTCGGGAATCGAACCCGGGTCTTTGGCGTGACGAGCTGACGCTTTAACCACTGGGCTACCCGACCGCCCTATGTAGTTATAAGAATTTGAAGATGTAATGTTAACCTATATGCTATCACCACGGCATAACGTCTTGTACACATAAAGAAAGGATGGCCCAACGGTCAAAGGCGTCCCTTTGCTGCCAAGATCGTATTCGAATCCAGTATTCCTATAATGCTCCTTGGATAGGCAACACCATACCCGGTCGTTGGTTTCACGAAAGTGGCAAGTATCTTCTACCTCCACCACTGTAGGTTTTCCATTTCACTAAGATGACGTGAGCCAGGCTGACCCCAACACTCTATCCTCTGTAAACAATACCACGTTAAACATTGGTGACTATGACAAGGAGTGTTTCTGATAACAACTTCTTTATTATGGCCGTACATCAGGTGAATGACATGGGGGGTCAATTGGAGGGAATCGATGGACATAACACTTGTTATCGGGGAGGGGTACAAGGTGAAGTGTTTATACAATAAAATGAAATGTCCCTTGCACTGGGGAAGGAAACTCTCTGATCTCGATTGACTGATGTCTAGGCTCCTCCGATGAACATTTCGTCTTAATGCGTGCATGCTTGTGTTTCAGACCACCACGTCAGAAGCAATGGCCGACATGGAAGTTGGAAATGATATTTATCAGAAACTCCTGGCGGTGAAGGTCGCGATAATAGTTCTGTTTACATTGTTAAATGTACTGTGCTGTAAGAAGGACACTGAATACTTCCGGCTGGTGCTGGTTGGGGTCAGTTTGTCCTTTGTTGGAGATTTCTGTATGATGTGGAATTACTATGTGGGGATGGGTTTCCTCATTGTTGCTCGGGTGCTCTACATTGGAACATCAAGTGGGAAGTTGCACAATCCTTTGTTAGCTACCTTACCTTGCATCCTATGCTGTCTCCTGGTGTATGTCGCTCGACTTGAATTTAAAGGGGGTCTTTTTGTTGTTCATGTGATCGTAGCCATGGTAGTGCCATGCATAGCATTTGCATCCGCACAAGAAAACATGGGGCACATCTGTAAGTGTTTCGGCAGCACAGTGCTGATGGTAGCTAATATTTTATACTCTGTTTCCCATGACTTTGGCATACCAAATGTTAATATAGTGTCAGAAATTGTTTCTTTGTTTGGGCATGTTGCTGTAATGCTGTCTGCGCTTTGTTTGAAGCAAATACGAGAGGTTGAATCTGATTGGTCACTAGAAGAGGCGTAGAAAGGACATAACTCGTAACAGCCACTGGTGGCGCTACGATCGAGCTTAGGAATTCAAGCCTAGTTCGGCAAGGGTGGAAACTGGACTTTTAAGGTCAGTTAACTCTCTTGCCTCGGGAAGATGGGTAAAGTTGGAATCGGAATATCGACTCTGATTGTGCAGAGGTTTCTTACAAATATGGAAATATTTTTTGTCGCTTTTATACATTATCATGTAAGGCATATCCTAGGACTATTGTGCCCGTTCCAAAACAATGGTGGATGTTGTCTTGCTACAACTCTCACCCTACCCTGTCAGCTGTATAGTTTTGCTATCAGGTCAATGTGTGAACCTGGTTTTTGAAATTGGACTTATTATGTGACAATTGACAACTTTGTAATGTTATTGTGAAATAGAAAATAGTTTTCTTGGTGATTATTTTGAAACTTGTGTCGTTTATTTGGTTTTATATTACCAACCAGAAATAAATATGTTGCTAACACTCCGTTCAGAGTTGTGTTGTGTGGAAGCAGCCACAAGAAATGTACGTGTCCAATATATATTCCGGGAGGATGGCTGGCCCTCTGGTTTCAGCGCAACGCTCTGTTATAACAGATCCTATATTTACAGTGCATTCACCTTGCAATCTTAGAATCTCACCTCTCAACAAATCAGGTTCTAGGTTTCTGGCTTTGGACATTATTGCGGGGAGAACTTGGCTCCACGTTGTTCCACAACTGGATACTGGTCACCCTGACTAGGGACACTGACATACAGGTACAGACAGAAGGTTATGGTCACACAGTGAGGGAGGATTGTGTGCAAGTCGTTTTTCTTCATGCCATCACTTGGCCCACTATTGTGCAACTCAGTTTTCTTCATGCCATCACTTGGCCAACTATTGTGCAACTCGTTTGTCTCCATGTCACCACTTGGCCCACTTTTGTGCAACTCAGTTTTCTTCATGCCATCACTTGGCCCACTATTGTGCAACTCAGTTTTCTTCATGCCATCACTTGGCCCACTATTGTGCAACTCAGTTTTCTTCATGCCATCACTTGGCCCACTATTGTGCACATCGTTTGTCTCCATGTCACCTCTTGTCCCACTATTGTGCAACTCGTTTGTCTCCATGTCACCACTTGGCCAACTTTTGTGCAACTCGTTTGTCTCCATGTCATCACTTGGCCCACTATTGTGCAACTCAGTTTTCTTCATGCCATCACTTGTCCCACTATTGTACAACTCGTTTGTCTCCATGTCACCACTTGTCCCACTATTGTGCACATCGTTTGTCTCCATGTCACCACTTGGCCCACTATTGTGCAACTCGTTTGTCTCCATGTCACCACTTGGCCCACTATTGTGCAACTCGTTTGTCTCGATGTCACCACTTGGCCCACTATTGTGCAACTCGTTTGTCTCCATGTCACCACTTGGCCCACTATTGTGCAACTCAGTTTTCTCCATGTCACCACTTGGCCCACTATTGTGCACATCGTTTGTCTCCATGTCATCACTTGGCCCACTATTGTGCAAATCATTTGTCTCCATGTCACCACTTGGCCCACTATTGTGCACATCGTTTGTCTCCATGTCACCACTTGGCCCACTATTGTGCACATCGTTTGTCTCCATGTCACCACTTGGCCCACTATTGTGCACATCGTTTGTCTCCATGTCACCACTTGGCCCACTATTGTGCAACTCGTTTGTCTCCATATCACCACTTGGCCCACTATTGTGTAACTCAGTTTTCTCCATGTCACCACTTGGCCCACTATTGTGCACATCGTTTGTCTCCATGTCACCACTTGGCCCACTATTGTGCACATCGTTTGTCTCCATGTCACCACTTGGCCCACTATTGTGCACATCGTTTGTCTCCATGTCACCACTTGGCCCACTATTGTGCACATCGTTTGTCTCCATGTCACCACTTGGCCCACTATTGTGCAACTCGTTTGTCTCCATATCACCACTTGGCCCACTATTGTGTAACTCAGTTTTCTCCATGTCACCACTTGGCCCACTATTGTGCACATCGTTTGTCTCCATGTCACCACTAGGCCCACTATTGTGCACATCGTTTGTCTCCATGTCACCTCTTGGCCCACTATTGTGGAACTCAGTTTTCTCCATGTCACCACTTGTCCCACTATTGTGTAACTCAGTTTTCTCCATGTCACCACTTGGCCCACTATTGTGCAACTCGTTTGTCTCCATGTCACCACTAGGCCCACTATTGTGCAACTCAGTTTTCTCCATGTCACCACTTGGCCCACTATTGTGCACATCGTTTGTCTCCATGTCACCACTTGTCCCACTATTATGCAACTCAGTTTTCTCCATGTCACCACTTGTCCCACTATTGTGCACATCGTTTGTCTCCATGTCACCACTTGGCCCACTATTGTGCAACTCAGTTTTCTCCATGTCACCACTTGGCCCACTATTGTGCACATCGTTTGTCTCCATGTCACCACTTGGCCCACTATTGTGCACATCGTTTGTCTCCATGTCACCACTTGGCCCACTATTGTGCACATCGTTTGTCTCCATGTCACCACTTGGCCCACTATTGTGCAACTCGTTTGTCTCCATGTCACCACTTGGCCCACTATTGTGTAACTCAGTTTTCTCCATGTCACCACTTGGCCCACTATTGTGCACATCGTTTGTCTCCATGTCACCACTAGGCCCACTATTGTGCACATCGTTTGTCTCCATGTCACCTTTTGGCCCACTATTGTGGAACTCAGTTTTCTCCATGTCACCACTTGTCCCACTATTGTGTAACTCAGTTTTCTCCATGTCACCACTTGGCCCACTATTGTGCAACTCGTTTGTCTCCATGTCACCACTAGGCCCACTATTGTGCAACTCAGTTTTCTCCATGTCACCACTTGGCCCACTATTGTGCACATCGTTTGTCTCCATGTCACCACTTGTCCCACTATTATGCAACTCAGTTTTCTCCATGTCACCACTTGTCCCACTATTGTGCACATCGTTTGTCTCCATGTCACCACTTGTCCCACTATTGTGCAACTCAGTTTTCTCCATGTCACCACTTGTCCCACTATTGTGCAACTCAGTTTTCTCCATGTCACCACTTGGCCCACTATTGTGCACATCGTTTGTCTCCATGTCACCTCTTGTCCCACTATTGTGCAAATCAGTTTTCTTCAAGCCATTACTTGGCCCACTATTGTGCACATCGTTTGTCTCCATGTCACCTCTTGTCCCACTATTGTGCAACTCAGTTTTCTCCATGTCACCACTTGGCCCACTATTGTGCACATCGTTTGTCTCCATGTCACCACTTGGCCCACTATTGTGCACATCGTTTGTCTCCATGTCACCACTTGGCCCACTATTGTGCACATCGTTTGTCTCCATGTCACCACTTGGCCAACTATTGTCCACAGATGATGGTGCAGACACTTGATACACCTGTGTTAATTCAGTACAACAAAGCTAAACGAAAGTGATCGATGTATAAAATTCTATACTGACTTGTACACTGTTCTCCACTTGATTGTCTGGATCTTCACTTGATTGTCTGGTTTGTTTCCAGGCCGCCGTCGCATGGCAGGAATACTGCTGTGCGGTGCCAGGCAATAACAAGTTACTGTTTTAGTTACTGGTGGGTGCTACCGGTAGAGTAGGACATGCTTACCCATTTCGCGAACACCTGGTGTCATCACTAATCTTCAGTGGTCTATTCACATCATGTTTAAAGCCATTTTGACCTTTACCCCAAATGGTTGGTTGGTTTGTTGTCCAGTGATTGACATCATGAGCATCGATCCACGTAATTGGGATCAATGACATGCATCAACCAAGTCAGCGAGCCTGACCACCCGATCCCGTTAGTCGCCTTTTACGACAAGCATGGGTTGCTGAAGACCTATTCTACCCCGGAATCTTCACGGGTCTTACGCCAAATGGAATCTGTTTCGGCAGATAATCTAGAGTGGATATTCTCTTGCATTGACAGTTTATATTCTCTTTCTTGTTTTTTTTCATGTAACGTGAGTGGATTAGACGTTTTATAGTAGGAAATAAACTGAAATGTCCAGTTACATCACGTTTACAATCGTTATTCTACCACCGCCGCACATGCAGGTAAATACACAGTAAATAAAAGGCCTCCGTCAAACAGGCAACAGCTGAAAGATTTAATGATGACAAACAACCCTTAAACCAGTAATGTTGAAACCTAACAACACCAACAGCCTGCAGAGGTATTCTTATGTCAGCTGACTCCTACCTCGCAATGATTGTATGAAAGTAATAGAGCGACACATCGTATACAGGTTTGTATACACTGTTATGAAAGGAACGTACCTTGCACAAACTCGCCAAGTATTGTCGATAGGCTTGGCTGAGTTTTCGGGTATGTCAAGGTGACATTTTCACTATACCTATTTTTATACCGACACTGTTTATTTTGAGCATCACAAATATGACGAAGCTGTTTATTGGCTTGAAATCTAAATACTAAGAGAATTATATTTTGTCGGGTGGAAAACCTGCAGATCTTTCTGCCTTATGGAATTCGGATTTCTAATTGCCAATTTAATTTTGAAATGCTCCCTAGCCTGGTTCTATGTGAAAGCTTTTTCAGCATCCCTACATAACCCGGGTAAATGCATACACCCATGTTTGATGGCGGCAAATAATGAAACAACCAAAATAGCTGGGCAGATATGTCAAATAGATGTTCACTTCTGGAAGAAAGCATTAAAATTTGTACATAGGGATTATTGAGTATGCAGAATCCGATTTTAATTGGATACACGCTGGCAAACCAATGGTTCCCACTGAAATTGAGATATCCAAGATGGCCGCCATCCGTATTACAAATTTCGATATATGGCCCTAACTTTAGATCTGTTTGCATACACCCATGTTTGATGGCGGCAAATAATGAAACAATAAAGACATGGCTATTCGATGGGGATGTATCGTAGGTGAAGGGTAGGTCACAAGCCGCCTCAATGGACAGTTTCACAGTGAACAGTAATGAGCAGACTGAAGAAGGTATTGCCGTGATCAGTTCGAGTGTGTTCACAGATACCAGACATTCTCAAAAGCGAGAGCGAGAGCACCAATGCACACCCATGCTCGTCGTCAAATCAATGTCACGTGCACGTCGCTATATAAGTGTAACGATGCTGAACGTGACGTCTATAAACCCCATTGCATCTCACCCCATCTCTGGCTTATCAACTGCGATGTTTGCAGTCAGGAGAATGTGTCGCAAATTCATTTTTTCCCCTGTTCTTACGTCTCTTCTTACACAGACTTTTGTTCCAATGAACACATATATCTCTACAGCCAGGTTCGAGACAATGTCAACGGACAGCATCGATGTGAGAAGCCAGCATGTTGAGTTTGTTACTAATCAGCGTAGTTTTATTCCTGGAATGGTTTTGCTTGTTTGTTTGTTGTCTGACGCCGCACTCAGCAATATTCCAGCTATATGACGGCGGTCTGTAAAATAATCGAGTCTGAACCAGACAATCCAGTGATTGACATCACGCGCATCGATCCACGCAATTTGGCTTGATGACATGCATCAACCAAGTCAGCGAGCCTGACCACCCGATCCTGATAGTCGCCTTTTACGACAAGCATAGTCACCTTTTTACGGCAAGCATGGGTTGCATCAACAAATTTACTATTGTTCTGCCATTTCACACTACACTACAATTAGGGGAATGTTGGTAGAAGCGAAAGAGTCTGTTTGCAGTTGTCGAAGTTGTTGGTTTGTTGTATAACGCCGCACTCAGCAATATTTCAGCTATATGACGGCGGCCTGTAAATAATCACGTCTGGACCAGATAATCCATTGATTGACATCATGAGCATCGATCTACGCAATTGGGATAGATGACATGCATCACTGATCCCGTTAGTCGCCTGCTACGACAAGCATAGTCCTGCTTGACAAGGGTATAAGGATCTATACCGAAACGTCGCCTTCACAATATTAAAGAAGTTGTTATCCATAAATTGTGTCTACTTGATATGACGGCGGTCTGTTAATAATCGAGTCTGGACCAGACAATCCAGTGATTGACATCATGGTGCCCATTTTAAGCTTTTCAAATTTTTGGTAATTGACGTGAACATACCTGAACGTCATTCTTATTTCTGTAGCAATGAATGCTTTAAAGCTGCTTTGAGCAGATTTCCATCATACCAAGGTGTGTCAGGTTGATGTGGGAAAAACGTCCTATTTTCGTTGTACCATAACAAGGCACTGTCTAGGTGATCTAGACACATTTTATATTTAAGTTACACCCCCATAAAAAACAAAATGTTTCGTAATATTGCCCTATATTGTCCCATCTGAATGGATTACATTAGAGCATTGAGGATACAGCAATGGATACATTAGGACAACGCCTGAACACAAGTTTATCCATCAGATTATTGTAATGAATATAGGGTAGGTGTGTATAATTTGTTGTTGGGATATATATTACTTATTGAGACGGTTTCTATCCAGCCGGTATTTTCAGAAATGGATATGTCAGCCCGAAGGATGATCTAGAGAGAATGACCGGAAATCGAAGAGTACAAAAAATGATTATTTAAGCACTGTCCAATCCAGTGAATATCTTCTTATGTGAGAACCTTGTCAAATTATAGTACACTTCGTGTCTTTGCATGTGTGTGAAACCAAATCCCCCATCCCTTGGACACGCATCTGGTTCAGTGCAAATAACATTGAACATAATGTTTTCCAAACAGATTGTTATAGATTGTAGTATAGGACAAATTACTGATTTCAATTTGTAATTAACGTTATTGTACTAGTCGTTTCAAGCTACAACAAATAAAAGGTTTCCACTGAGTCTAGATATTCAAATATCATATTAAATATGCAAGATACTGAAACTTTATCTTGAATGTAATTACCTTAAGTAATACTAATAATTTTACCCACAGTGCAATAACTGGACAAAGCGTCGATGCACCCAAACCACTCCCACACTGACCATTAATTACAACTATGTACATTGCATTGAGGACTGAATGGGGATTTTGTCGGTTCATTCATGTATAATTAGATTGACCTTGACCTCATTGAAATTCCTGCATTCTGATTAGCTAGATTGGTCACGTGTTATTGCATTCATTTCCCAATGAATGTAAAAAACTAAGCCACGCCCACCGAAGCGGACTGTTTAATTATAAGCATTGACTGTGTATTTTCTTTGTTCATTGAGGCATGAATCGAAAAACCAATGTGTAAACTTTTGTAAGAATCCACTACGCTGTTCTCGGCCCTTGGGTCTCAAAGGGTTGTTTGGACAATGAATATGCATGAGTTTCGCTAAATGCCCTGTGCATGACGATACACGTGAACAGAAAGGGAATTCCCTCGACTGTAACACTGAGATTCCCCGACACTGTTTAGTAATAAAAGTAGTACACTTGTGGGCGTGGCCTAATTTTTTTACATTCATTGGGGAATGAATGCAATAACACGTGACCAATTCAGCTAATCAGAATGCAGGTATTACAATGGACACAACGAAAATTTAATTTTTATGTTATGACCACGATAACAACGGACTGTTTATAAGGTAAAATCAGTGTACGTTTTATATGTAATGACCATTATAACAGTGTTATGTTTATATGTTAAAAACAATGTGCATGTGTACTGGATGTGTAATGACCCGACGGTGCGATGGAGAAATTAGGAAGTTGATAGCCCCACCAGGCGTGTATTGACCAAGAGCAGAAGAAAACACCATAAAAAATATTTTATTAAAAGAAAACAGCACAGCGATTAACTGTCAATGCTAATGGTAGAGGTGGCAAGGCTGAAGGAACTACTGACCAGACTTCCATGATTCCAATGAACGGGATGTGGAAAATAAATGTGTGAGGATTTTCGGCACTCTTTCTCTACTTCTCTGCTTATATATACATCATGGACGAGTGAGTGAGTTAAACTTTAACGTAGCATCGGCATTATTTCAGCCACATAGCGACGACCATCATGTTCTATAGTTGTGCCTTCGAGGTTCAACCCAGTGTTAAATATCATTACCATCGGTTAGGACGTTCACGTGCTTTACAATATCACAGTGAATACCATTAGCATCAAGAACTACACATTTTGCACAATAAAATATTTATCCTAAATATCAATGTTATTAAGAACATTCACTTTGTATAAAACAGGTTATTGTTAATACCAATCTCATCCGGAACATTACATCATGCACAATAAAGCAATTATCATGAATCGGCATTAAGGTGACGTTGCATCAATATAAATAGCATTGACGTTATTTCAACTCCTTTTATTCTTTCTTACGGGCATGCTTAAACAAGGTACTAGTACCAAACGTCGCTTTAATATTGCTGGACGTTGCATTAGTGATATATTGCAGCTATTCACTGCGAGCTTTGTTAAGAACTGATAAATTGAATTTCATACTCACTATATACCATTCTGAAGACCATATAATTTTGTACACTTACAATAACGATTACGGTAACTACCAATCAAATGAAGAACATTCACTTGTTCAATAAAACGACCATTCTGAATACCACTCTCACGGACCCAGAACATCCACTTAGACAATAAAACGATCATTGTGAATACCACTCTCACGGACCCAGTTCATCCGTTTGGTCAATAAAACGATCATTGTGAATACCACTCTCATGGACCCAGGTCATCCGTTTGGTCAATGAAACGATCATTGTGAATGTCACTCTCACGGACCCAGTTCATCCGTTTGGTCAATAAAACGATCATTGTGAATACCACTCTCATGGACCCAGGTCATCCGCTTGGTCAATAAAACGATTATTGTGAATGTCACTAAGATCCAGAACATCCACTTTTTTTTAAAGAAAAAGACAATCGTGAACACGAAGAACAGCAAAAAGCTTAATGAAAAATGATTCTTGCAGAACTAGAACATCACATTTTGTACAGTAAAACGATTATTAAAGTAAAGCTCTCGAATGCACAAGGTGACATTTTGAATGAATATTTAGTGATTACAATTAGCCCCATGAACTCATCTCAAACCAAGGATCTACCAATAACAGCTGTTCTAGACCTGGAACGATGTCTTCAGTTGCGCCGTTCACGCTTCAATAGCGCCCTCTCCAGGCCCATCATCGGCGCTTCGAATACAAGAGAGACAACAAAGGATACACCGTAGGTTATAACGATGAAGCCGAGAAAGTTGTACACCTGTAATGGAAATAAATGTGTTTGTTTGTTTGTTTGTTTGTTGTTTAACGCCGCATTCAGCAATATTCCAGCTATATGACGGCGGTCTAAAATATTAGAGTCTGGACCAGACAATCCAGTGATTGACATCATGAGCATCGATCTACGCAATTGGGACATGTATCAACCAAGTCAGCGAGCCTGACCACCCGGTCCCGTTGGTCGCCTTTTACGATAAGCATAGTCGCCTTTTACAAGTATGGGTTGCTGAAGACCTATTCTAACCCGGAGTCTTCACGGTCCGAAATAAACGTGAATGGGTTTTATGTGACTATGTCACGATACGTCAGGCAACAAACACTTTGTTTTTTATGCAAAATGTGTGAGTGGCAGGTACTACCGATGGGTAGCATATGTCTGACCTTGGACACCTGGTGTCATCACTGATTTTCATTGACCCTTTCACAAAATTTTCACAGCTATTTTCCTTTCACGCCCAATGGAATCTGTCTCGGCAGATACTTAAGTGAGATTTACTGTATAGAAATGTACAAATATGCATGTCGATAGTTATAGATTACTAACAATGAACCAGTGAAGATCCGGGGTAGAACAGGCCTTCAGCAACCCATGTTGTAAAAGGTGACTATGCTTGTCGTAAGAGCGGCTAACGGAATCGGGTGGTCAGGCTCGCTGACTTGGTTGATGCATGTCATCGTATCCCAATTGCGTGGGTCGATTCTCATGTCAATCACTTGATTGTCTGGTCCAGACTCGATTATTTACAGACCACCGTCATGTAGCTGGAATATTGCTGAGTGGGGCAAACAAACAAACAAACAAACAAACAAAACTTACAATGTTGACGTCGGATATGAAGAAGGGGCTCCGGTGTGTCATATACTGGTACATTATCACCATCGGATGAGTGAGGTAGGCGCAGTACGTCAGGCGACTCAGAGTCACAAAACCATTCCAGGACATTAACTTGTTTACAAAACCTGAAAGATGGTCAAATATGGGATAATGTACTGAATGGTTGTTCCTATAATCATTTTGTAGAAACACATTACCCTGTCTTTTAAGATTCCAAAAGCACTGGTGTTTAATTATGCTTAATCTTGACCAAATGGTCTTCTGAGGATTTCAGTCTTCTTCATTTAAAACTTATATTGTATCTTTGCCTTTGGGTTAGGTGTCCTGTTTCAGCACCATTGACGGTGTGTTGTGTGGTCACTTTTACAAAGGCTTAAGACCCGTGAAGATTCCGGGATAGAATAGGTCTTCAGCAACCCATACTTGCCGTAAAAGGTGACTAACGGGATCTGGTGGCCAGGCTCGCTGACTTGGTTGATACATGCCATCGTATCCCAATTGCGTGGGTCGATGCTCATGATGTCAATCACTGGATTGTCTGGTCCAGATTCGATTATTTTACAGACCGCCGTCATATAGCTGGAATATTGCTGAGTGCGGCGTTAAACAACAAACAAACAAACAAATACAAAGGCTTAAAGTGGATGGGATGTTGTACTCTGCATAGAGGGCAAAGGTGTCCAAGCAATATCAGACAACACGAGACACAAATGACCTTTTAGTCTTGCCACGGGGGCAACAATTGTTCAGTTTGTAACGATGTAGGCGATCACTGGGAATAAGTACCAGTTGTAGCCCTCTTACAGAATAGTATTTGCGAGGATACAGTAACAGGCAGTTAAGTAACATAGAGAACATATTCACTTACTGAAAGTTAATCTTTCCATAAGACGTTCTTTAAGGCAGGATAAGCCCTTTGCAACACAGCCTATCTGTGACTTTGCAACCAAATGTTTTCCTATTGACATCCAGTGTAACTTTATACACGTATAAGACAAAATTAGTCTTTCAACTGCCACCCCGGGTAGATGTGTACATAACCTGGCCTTATAAGTAATGGAGAAACCATGACACCGAAGGAATGGTATGATTGTATAACCGGGTAGGCACAGAAAAGCCTCGGACGCTAGGCAATTGTAAAACCTGGGGAGCAATTGTAAAACCTGAGGAGCAATTGTAAAACCTGCTGAGTGGTCTTACTACAAAAGAAAGGTCGTCTGGGAGATGGTTACAACACCACGATAGGTTTATAATTGCAGTAAAATCACACAATATAGGTAGCTTCCCCAGTTCCATTTCTGAGAACAGGAAGCTACTAAACATACCAACCGCAGTTCTGCATCAAATGACACTTACTTGAAAATATCTGTGACCACACATTCAGCATGTGTATTAATGCTAAAACAGGACTGAATATTGAAAAATAGTTTAAGTTTTAATTACTTGATGAAATCTTACACAATATTATCAAATCACAACTGCTAGCCTTTTCACTGCACGCTCAATCTACGAAAGCGTCTTGCCGCAGAACTAACTTGAACTGACTGTGTTGGACATGTAGACCTACCCCCGTTCCCTGTTGCACACGCCACCACGACCCAGCACACCGCAGCTCCCCACACCGTCCTGTGAGCAGAGTTGTAAAATGCTGCCACGTCACTCGGCATCGGCGTCCCATTGGCTGCTTCGTACGGCCCATAAAGCACCGCGAGAGCGGAAGCAGCAGCCAGAACCCAACCACACAGTACTGCTTTCTAAAATAAGAATTACTTGTCAAAGAACAGAACATCTTACAAACATTATATTTTTTACTCATGTTAAGTGTGGGAAATAACACCTGTTAAACATATGAACTGCAAACAACGATTTTCTTCACAGTTTCTTGGAAATACAGACGTTTAATTTTTTAGCTTTTTAGGTACATTTCAACCGTTTGTTAGGTGACAAGATAATGACAGCTTATGATTTCTCTATTAAAAAAGAGAAAATGTCTCAGGTTTTCTTTAGGCACTAATTATAACATCTGGACCTGGGCACCAAACCTTTCAGCACAGCCCCTTTTTAACTTCACAACTACTGTCTTAATATTAACATCACTTCGTGAAATTAGGCCCTGTTGACAAAAATCTAAAATTAGAGATTTTCCAGAAAACAGAAACAAAAGATATATTGCCCTTTGGTTTTCCCCAAAGTATTCGAAGGACATGCTAAAAACGACCTATTCTAGTGAGTGAGTGAGTGAGTATGGTTTTACGCCGCTTTTAGCAATATTCCAGCAATATCACGGCGGGGGACACCAGAAATGACCTATTCTAGAAATCAAAGGTAAAAACACATTTACCCCAGAATTGTACCCAAAAAATGTTTTTAAGTACATGCTGAAAAGCTTTTTTTCAGAAAGCCTAGAATTTTTTTTTATTTTGTCAAAGGATTTTACGCAAAAATGTTCGATGTACATGCTAAAAAAGACATTCTCCAGATAACACAGGGAAAACATATTTTGCCCAAAGATTTAACCAAAAAATGTTAAATGTACATGCTAAAAAAGACATATTTTTCCCAAAGATTTAACAAAAAAATGTTAAATGTACATGCTAAAAAAGATATTTTTCCAGAAAACACAGGAAAAACATATTTTGCCCAAAGAATTAACCAAACATTTGTCGATGTACATGCTAAAAAAGACATATTTTGCCTAAGGATGTAAACCAAAAATGTTGAAAACGACCTTTTCCAGGTAATAACCAAGAAAAACATCTTTTGCCCCGGGATCCTACCCCAAAAATGTTCGCTGCAAATGCTGTACACATAGATATGTTTATAGTTGTGACCGAAACAATATTCTGTCGAAAACAAAATCATTCTGGAAAGTAGTTTCTAACGTACCTTGTTTAGGTGGAGCTTACAGTTTGTTCTGTACAGAAAGTACCCGGCCACCATGCCGATTAGGTATGGGCCCATCCGACAGTAGGGAGTCATGTAGTAGGCGCCATAATCATCAGGGCCCCTGCAAATAGAATTGTTTTGTTACACTGGCAAATACCTAGAAGGGTTAGGGATCGACCATTTGATATTCTAGGGAGGGGAGGGGTGTTGGGTTGGTGTCGACATTAGATATGTTTTCAGCTACAACTACAAATCAAGGTTGTTTTTTTACATTTAAGGTATGAGCCTGAATTTTTTCAAAGAAATGTTTTGTTTGTTTGGATTTCAGCAAGATGACCTCGTAACCTTGTCGCAAATAATTGAAAAGTCAAATTAGTATATATCGTTGTTCCAACGATTAACTACTGACTTATGCCTTTTCTAAGGGTTAGGAACACACGTTTTTCTACCTTTTTAAGAAAAAGAATATGGTTGAAATACAGAATAACAACTCGGAAACCAATGGTAGATATTATGAGTAACGTCCTACGTTTGCACAGGGGTACATGTGCACTAACAAACACAGCTTAAAGTTCTGTTATTGTCTTGTATTCTTGCCGAATGAATTGGGTTTTTATGGCATCCTACACTACTACACATTTGAACAGGACCACGCCTTTGACTGAAAATGACTATTTTGGTCCTTAGCAGTCTATAAATAAGAGCGAAAGTCAGCCATCTCCTACGACAGCACATGATTCCAGACATTAGAGATTCCATCGCTTTGTCACAAAGATCAAGGGTGAAAGGGTCACACATCACAAGAGTCATCACTCATAAGGGTCACAAGTCACAAGGGTCGCAAGAATCTTAAGGTCACAAGTGACTCACAAGCGTCACAAGTCACATGTGACTCTAGAATCTCAAGTCACAAGTGACTCGCAAGGGTCACAAGAATCTCAAGTCACAAATGACTCACAAGGTCACAATGGTCACAAGAATCTTAAGGTCACAAGTGACTCACAAGCGTCACAAATCACAAGAGTCACAAGAATCTCAAGTCACAAGTGACTCACAATTTCAAAAGATAAATTGTTTATATAATATGATTAATGTGCCAATACAGAATGCAGTGTCACTACTATGAATTAATACAACGACAACTAGATAGCTACTAGATAGAAATCACTTCAAGCTAAACCTACGGTGTTCCCTCCGTCTGGTATAATATACCCGTGGTCATGTTGTTCAGCCTTGATATCAAACCAGCAGTCGTGAGAGTAGCAGCCATGAAGACACCGATCACAACCATACCGAGGATCTCCGAACTGGAATTAAAGGATACAAACAGATGTTGTTTTATGCAAAGTCAGCAATATTCCAGGTTCATCACGGCGGCCTGCTAATAATCGAGTCTGGGTCAGACAAACCGGTGAGTGAAAGCATGAGCAATGACCCCCAACCAACAATGTCACACGATATGACCATCCGATCCTCATCACTTGGCTCTTACGACAAGCATGGGTTATTGGTGATTCATCCTGCACCCGAGTTACCCCCCTTGGGGTGTGAGAGACGGATAACATTGTAGTTCAAACACGGAGGTCAAACCCTATCTGCCGAAACAGGACACCCTTGGAAAACAGCCATCCTACATAAGAGCCATGGTTGGTTGGTTTGTTGTTTAACGCAGCACTCATCAATATTCCAGCTATATGACGGCGGTCTGTAAATAATCGAGTCTTGACCAGACAATCCAGGGATTGACATCACGAGCATCGATTGACGCAATTGGGATCGATGACACGAATCAACCAAGCCAGCGAGCCTGACCACCCCGTTAATGGTCTCTTACGACAAGCATAGTCGCCTTTTACGGCAAGCATGGGTTGCTGAAGACCTATTCTAACCCGGATCGTCACGGGTCCAATTATTTGTAACAACATTAAATCATACGTATAAATACGTATTATATTAATTACTAACCCTGGAATATGTATCATATACATTACTAATAATGGAATAGGCATCTACTAATTAATTTAGATAACTTACCTCTTCTGCTAATTATTGATGACTTATCACTTATACAAAACCGAAATTACATATGATACTAATTATAATAATAATGCCACTCCAAATTAGCAAACTAAACTGTTTTGTTTTGATGGTTTGATGTTTAATTTCGCCCTCAGCAATATTCTAGCTATACGACGGTGGTCTGTAAATAATCGAGTCTGGACTAGGCAATCCAGTGATTGATATCATGAGCATCGATCCATGCAGTTGGAATACGATGACATGCATGAATCAAGTCAGCGAGCCTGACCATACGATCCAGTTAGTCGCCTCTTACGACAAGCATGAGTTGCTGAAGATCTATTCTACCCCGTATCTTTACGGATGACATACATATGTAACTGTACATTACCTAGCGTATATATATTGAAGAGATCTGAATCATTATAATACAGTCAGAAATCGTCCTCAAAGAAGTGTTCATTCACAAAATAAGAGACAACAGCGCTATTTGGAAAAAAAGAATCAATCCAGAATTAAATATAGTTGTATCTGCCACCATAATAAATAGTTGGTCCCTGAGACATGTTATACACACAACATCGCATTTTAAAAGGTATAACAAGCATATATACCTCTTAACTTTTCACAGGTATAATGGGGACTGAATTTGACTACTAACTCCAATCTGTTGTCATACAAATAGTGTTCGATGTTGCCATGGAACGGATGCACTGTCATCTTCATTTAAAGTTCAGTGCTCGTAACAGTGTGACTCATTATCCCTAACCTTACTTACTAGAAGAGTGGAATAAGAATGAGCGGGCTCAAGACGTAGAACTGCATGTCGTTTGCCAGATACCAGGCCCATGTGAAACACTGTAAAATTAGAGTGGTCAGCTAGCATTAACATCCATGTCAAAGCCACAACAATGAGTTGAGTTTCAAGTAAGACTTACCTATTATGCTAATTAATCATAAGATTTAACACATATATATATATAACCACACGTGCAATTAACATGGGATTCAAATAGAGTATAGAGTATGGTCACACGCCACTTTTAGCAATATACCAGCAATTTCACGGCAGAGGACACCTTTATCATCTTCCCGAGGCAAGAGAGTTAACTGACTTTAAAAGTCCAGTTTCCACCCTTGCCGAACTAGGCTTGAATTCCTGGGCTCGACCGTAGCGCCACCAGTGGTTATTACGAGTTATGTCCCTTCTAGACGGAGGACACCCTTATGGACTTCACACATTGTACCCAATCGGGCCTTCTGCGTGCCGAACGAACGCTTTAACCCGGTTAGGGTTTACAATATAAAACTAAAAAAATTATCACATGACATAATGAAAACATGAACTGTAGGATCCAAAAATATGTTTGGGTGTTCCTTTCAAAGAATAAGTTGTATCACAGAAGGATAAACAAAATCTCAGGGTCAGGTCATTTCTCACAGGGGGGTGGTGGGTGTCGGGGGCATGATTCACTCCAGCCTCCAGGAATCCAGCCTGTCAATTGACCCGCGTGTTGCACCAAGCATTAACAATTAATTGGTACATTTTGTAGACTTTAAACCCTCTTAAGCGTTTATTGAGTATACATGTATATATATCAAATACATGTACTAATCTTCGTCAATAAAGAAAACCATAAAACAGTTCTACCACATGTGACGCGAAAAATAGAAGGACAACATAAGCCTCGTTCTGGCATTAAACGGCCTCGTTCTTGCTTGGAAAGAGCGCTCAACAGCTACCATTGAGTAAACGGGGAACATTCTAAATGATCACTTTATGGGCTATCACAGAAACATTGGCCATATTTATGCAGGCGCCTTGTGTGATATGTTAACTACCATGTCGTTTCTGTTGACGAGGTTGTTAATGTAAAGGAGGTTGGTCCACCAGTTGTCTCTGCACTGCTGTTTCTGAACACCTGTTTGAGGCCAAATAGGTCCATCTCCGAGATAATGCAGCAGGCATGTGTAAAACATCAGCATCATCATGTAAACTGGAGTCAACCTATAATAATGATAATAATAATACAAATAATAATAATAATTTACAGGATGTCTTACAGATATTGTGTCATCATACTGCGCATCCAATGACATTATTTACATGGAGCAGAAATGAGCTAGAAAGGGATGTTGGGGTTGTAAGGATCAACTACTAGTTCAGAAAATGACCCTTAAAGAGGCTAAAACCTACCACCGTAACCTCTCAATGTGTTGAATAGACTACACAAAAGCTAATTATTCTGTACCTCACGAATGGATTTTGAGGTCACTGGAATGTATTGACTTCCCCGAGCGACTACTTGTTTTACTCAAGTCTTTAATGAATTGCTGGTCAACTCAACTTGAGATGTAATCGCAGGGGCAGGTGGTGAATTTGGAACCCATTTCTACCAGAAGAGGACTATTTCAGGGCGATTCTTTTAGTCCTTTGCTTTTCTGTTTGTCACTAATACCGTAAAGGTTTTTTGCTCAGCAAAGAGGAAGGTTATCACCCGTGACCTCCTAAGCACAGATCCCCAACACTCCTTACTCACCTCCTTTACATGGATGACCTTGAACTTATTGCCAAAAGAGGATCCACACTAAAAACAAATTCTGCTTGTTGAGTCCTTTTCTAATGATATCGGCATGACCTTTGGACTCGACAAATGCAACATTCTTCATTTGAAACGTGGCAAGGTAGAAGAGCGAGGATCAGTCAGTTTAATTGGGGAAGGTCAGGCCTATACGTACTTAGGGATGCAGATTAGGGACAAACTCCAGAATGCCCATATCAAGGGCAAACTTCGGGCAGAGTACATATGTAGACTAAAGAAAATCTGGAGTTCAGAGCTGAACGCTCGCAACAAAGTCAAAGCCACAAATACTTATGCTGTACCCGTCCTTTCGTATTCCTTTGGTGTTGATGATTAGACGAAACAAGAAATTTAGGGTATTGACATCATCACACGAAGAATCATGTCAGACATTAGATCCCACCACCCCCGCTCTTCCCTCAATCACATATATTTACCAATTATGCAGGGAGGGCGAGGTTTGATTAATGTGGAGGATCTTCATGATATAATTGTTTTGTGCACTTTTGCACACATTTATTTGTCTGATGATCCTCTTTTGAAGCATGTCAAGACTCATGATGAAAACAAGGCATTCCACAGTTTTCTAAAACGAGCCAAGGATGTGGGACATAATCTCAATGTCGGTGTTGATTTTGTTGATGGTTCTGTACTGCTGGGCGGTACAGACATGAGTGTCAACCAAGCGAAGTGCCATATCAAATCGGCCCAGACTCAGTTGTTCAAGGAGAGGTCTGAACGACCACTGCTGTCTCGGCTGCGTGTAGAGGGGGCAAGGGCCCTGAGCTGATGATGAGCGTAACCAGCCTGACTGTGACAGGACCACCCAAACCCTCTTTGCTGCATTTTCTATTTTAATCTGTACATAATAATAATATTCATAGTATATTCATAATGAGCTTGGTTTCACACATCGTGACGGGTGCTGGGTGATCAGAGGCACATTTCAAACAAAGTCACGTGCCTAAGGATGGATCAATAGTCTCAGGCGCCTGAATTCTATGTTCAGATTGCGTCCATTCGGCGTGCTATAGACTTTATGCTGGTGGGTTCGAATCCCATATTCGCCCTAATAATGTTTCTAGATGTGTCAGCACTTTCTCTAAATAGGTAAACGTCTACGACTTGTATAATTTCGGTCTTTTGAAGGTCGAGTTAGGATTGAGGCTCGTTCTGGCCCCCTGGAAATGTCAAAATGGTTTGAAAATTATCAGACAGTTCAAATGGAGAAGCGGCTTCTTTGCTTTTCGAACTTGCAAATCTTATACTTCTGACCTGATCAAATGATGAATATGACTACAATGAGGCCGATATTTCGAACTTCAAGTAAAAATCTAAGTATCTGTATCTTCTACGAACATCAGCTTTGGTCAAAGACTTGCTCTTGTTCAAATATTTGAAACCCGCTTTCCTCTACAATCACCTGTGCATGTAGTGTTGTCACGAGTCGCAAACATCCAACTGGTTTAAGAACAAAGACTAATTCTCATTCATGTGAACACATCTGATAACTTTCAAAAAACAATTTCTAACAGTTTTCTCAGCACAAATCATGTGGACCAAAATAGGACCTCATAATAATAGTGGGACTTTTTCTTAGTACGTTGATGTGATTTAAAGAAATATATGACGTTACAGGCAACAAGACGGCTATTAATACATTCTTTTAGACGTGAGACTTATCTAAGAGCTTTCATTTAAGTCACTTACATGAGTGAGTGAGTATAGTGTTACGCCGCTTTTAGCAATATTCCACCAATATCAGAGCGGGGGACACCAGAAATGGGCTTCACACATTGTACCCTTGTGGGGAATAGAACTCGGGTCTTCAGCGTAACGAGCGAACGTTTTAACCACTAGGCTACCCCACCTCTCCTCACTTAATGAAGCATACTTGAATTTTCTTTTTCTTAAACATAAACGTCAATGTCAGAGAATAGCCAGTCGCCAGTATTTGACTAAACAGATTCCATTGAGCTAAAAGGTGCTGCAAATTATATGCATGGGGTATTGAAAATCAGTGATGACACCAGGTGTCCTGCCTTAACGGTAGCTTAAGTTACAGAGTAGGGCTGGGACGAGTCCAAATTAACTACCAGGGTACCCACCCCCCTATTACCCTACCCTACCCGGGTACCCACTCTAGGTCTCAGGAGATGTCTCAAAATGTCCTATTGGGAACATTTTTAGCATAGCCCTGGCAAAACGTATTTAGATACATGTATTAAACAATCTGGTCATGCATACACTGAAGTTCACTTAAGTTATATGCTTATTCAACCATATGAAAAGTCAGAAGGAATGGGTGCATGGTCAGAAAGAAAAGCGAACATTAATGACTTGTAGTGTAACCATAAATTCCAGATAATTTTAGTCATGAGACAATATATCACGGGTCCGGGTAGACCTGTTGGTACCCGGGTCCTACTCTGTACCCACCCGACCCGGGTACCCGAGATACCTCTCCCAGCCCTATTACAGAGCTGCCATGTTTTTAAGTGAATATATCTGTCCACATGAAAATGATGAACCGAACGCGTAAGTAAGCTTAGGGTTGTGGAGACCTATTGGGTTCCTCACAGGGGTGTACAACAGTTGTTTAATGCCTACCTCCAGAATCTGTGGAAGTAGAACATGGCCCAGTTTAGTTTCCCCCGTCCTTTCTTCAGCTCCTTCATGGCCAGATAGGCAACAAGCAGTCCACTGGTCAAGAAACGAAAGGAAGTTCAATAAAATATTGGTGAAAAGTTCTGTTTTTAGATTATTAAAGCCGCACTCAGCAATCTTTCAACTCTATAACGGTTACCGCCTCCGTGGTCTAGTGGTAGAGCGTCCACCCGGAGAGCGGAAGGTCCGGGGTTCGATCCCCGACCGCGTCATACCAAAAGACGTTACAAGATGGTACTTGTTGTTACCCTGTCAGGCGCTCGGCAATCAGGGGCTAAAACAAGGACTGGTCGGCTCGGAGTCAGTATACTGTGTCTTAGTGGGGCATTCATGTTAAACTGCGGCATGGTACCCCCCCCCCCCCCCCCCACCCCACCCCCAGCGTATCCAAACTGAGTAGATCGATGCTCATGATATCAATCAAGGATTGTCTGGTCCAGACTTGATTATTTACAGACCTCCGTCATAAAACTAGAATATTGCTGAGTGCGGCGTTAAACAACAAACGAACAAACACTTACTATGAATGAAACAGCGATAATTCGAATGTCGCTAATATATGTTATTTAATGATTGCTTGAGTCGCATCACCTTAATGTGAAGAATGTGTCGACAGATACGAGAGCATTGAGGATTCCATGGAATGTCCACCTGCTGACATTCTCCTGGATGAAGGGGGCACGATTTGCTGAAAGAGAGAGCCATATCTCCGTGTTTTATGGAAACGAAAAGTTAACAGAATGATATTATGATTCATGCAACAGAAATTCAGTAAGAATATATGACAATGCAAGTTGATACGATAAGTACAAAGGGAATCTCACCTGAGTGTCTTTTGATATCAAGTATATCAACACGAGTTGATAAAAGTGGAAAAATTCCGAGGCTTGCCAAGGTTTTTGCCACTTTTATCAACGAGTGTTGATTTATTTGATATCAAAAGACACGAGGGTGAGGTTTTATTTATCATCCAACATCATTTTTCAAACTTTTTCAATTTGTAGACAGTAATTAGCAGTGTCTTCAGTGTAAAAAGTACTGCTAACAGCTTCAGTAGCAGAGCCATTTGTGATGTCATTTGATTGTGGCGTCATGGTAACCAGTGATGTCACAATGGTCTGCAAAGCATTGTAATGTAATTTCATTGATCTCATCCAAGCGATATCTCCTGTAGGAGCCAGTTTTGGATGATAAAGAGAAATATCATCAAAACTGACGTCAGACTGAAATCGTCCGGATTACCAAAAGGACGAGGTGTGACTTGCATTTTGTTAAGCACACAAACATGTCTGAAAAAAAGCTAAAAAGACCGATTTTGCCATCTTCAAGAGAAAATTTTACAAGTCTCTGGGCCAAGGTAACTGCACACCATACATTTGTTCTGTCTTTATATCCTTAGACAATTAACTTCGGTTAACAACTTAAAAAGGAAACAAAGCCTAATCCTCTGTCACACACAATTCTTTTCCGTTTCAAGACATTTTTCTCTGAAAAGAGGAGCCGTACAAATTGTTTTTTACAACAGTGAAAACAGTGAAAACACATGGCACTTACAGCCCATGGTCATAAGAGTTGAGAAGGCATGTCCCAGAATGACCCACGTCATGCTGAGGAACCGGATGCCATGGACAGCTGTCAGGCTCCCCGCTGCTTGTTTCGTATCCAGGATCTTTGCTCCATTTGTGTAGGCAGAGAATGACACCAACATTTTAATCCCCAGTCTTTGGGATGGTTCTGCAGAAAGAGAATGGGAACAACCGAGTTCGCGGGAGATGGTTCTGTAGATAGATAATGGGAACAACCGCGTTCACGGGAGATGGTTCTGTAGATAGATAATGTTTGTTTGTTTGTTATATTCCTGTCATATGACGGCAGTCAGTAAATAATTCAGTCTGGACCAGACAATTCAATGAGTGACGTCATTAGCATCCCAAAAGCCGCTTACACCCAAACCCACGAGGTGGTTCTGTAGACAGAGAATGCTAACAACAGCTTACGCCCAAACCCAGGGAATGCTAACAGCAGCTTACGCCCAAACCCACGAGGTGGTTCTGTAGACAGGGAATGCTAACAGCAGCTTACGCCCAAACCCACGAGGTGGTTCTGTAGACAGGGAATGCTAACAGCAGCTTACACCCAAACCCACGAGGTGGTTCTGTAGACAGGGAATGTTAACAGCAGCTAACACCCAAACCTACGAGGTGGTTCTGTAGACAGGGAATTCTAACAGCAGCTTACACCCAAACCCACGAGGTGGTTCTGAAGACAGGGAATGCTAACAGAAGCTTACACCCAAACCCAGGGAATGCTAACAGCAGCGTACACCCAAACCCACGAGGTGGTTCTGTAGACAGGGAATGCTAACAGCAGCTAACACCCAAACACCCAAGGTTGTTCTGTAGACAGGGAATGCTTACAACAGCTTTCACCAAAAAACACAGCTGGGTATGTAGACATCCTTTTGAATATCAACACATTCAGCCACTTAATGAAAAATGCCATCAGCATTTATCTGCAAATATTTTGTTCTGATATACTGAGAACAAGGGACTAACACCAAAAGCTTTATGATTTGAAGAAAAAAATCATCAAGAGAAGAAACAGACATGACATCTTTTACCTTCCTCAGTCTTGCAATTTCTGAGTTAACATTGCGAAATATACATTATGAGAGAATTTAATAAAGCGTATATGTGTTGAGTCCCACTACTAAGTTTACATAAACCAAGTTTTTAACATAAATGATTTAAGACCATGATAATGTTTTTTCAATATGGATGCCGTGGCGGCCATATTGAACCTCGGATTGAATTGAACCTTGTGAACAAATTGGGGTGTCATCATTGGAGGGAACAAGTATGTGCAGTTTCAGCGTCATGGGTCCAGTGCTTTCTGACATGTTTACGACTGTGGAAAAACAGGTCATGATATAAGCACACTAAATTTCAGTCAGCTAAGCTAAACAATTAAAACGGGTCGCATTTGTCTTATTCTGTCTGTTGTTTAGGCCTATGAGGGAACATACTTTCTGTAATAATTAATAATTATCCTTCTAGAAAATCGTTTGACAACCTATGACTTCAGTACAAGTTGATCATATCACTTGCCTTGCATACTATCGCAAACGAAATCTACCTGTAGGATAGTACGCTTGTCAAAGTCCATAAATTATCATTAACACACAGTACACAGTTTGTCTACAATTTGTATATACGGTTTCCTGGGCCGTGTGTTTCTTAACTATGCACAATGTCACTTCACACTTACAATTTTTATAATGTAGTTCTAGATTTTACTTTGTTTTGCGTATAGTGTTTTAGCGTGTCCCATTTACCTACATCTAACAGAAAATACGAAATAGTGCTAAGCTGACATGCATGCAATGTTTATTTTGCAGCATAAGTCTGTTATGATGCGTTGGTGATGACATGCGAAAAAACACAGATTCAAACAAAGCACACGCGTGAAGAAGGCTCAGTGGCTCATTTGATTGTGGATCTTCGTATCCTGAGGGCGTTGAACGCTGTTCATACTATCAATCACTGGTTTGTCTGGTCCAGACTCAATTACGTATGTGAAATTTTGTCGATTCAAGCAACAAACAAACCCAATGAAGAATGAAGATTTCACATGTACGGTTTAGTCTCAAAATATTACCCGATGCTTTGTCTTGTGGTTTATAGATGGTTTCTCGGCCGGCGGTTTTACGACTTCTTTCATCTTCCTGTATGGCCTCAGCATCTTCAACGCTCACAGAAGTTGATTCCGACAGCAAAGGGACTTTTTCTGAGTCAACCGTTTCTCTGCGATCAGCGGTTGTCGACGCCCCTGCGTGTTTATAACTTGATTTCGAAATTTCATCTTTGCGCATTTGAATGAAAATGACGTCATATCCGGTTCCAAGTACGACCAGCAACGCAAATATTGAACAGATGACACTAGAACGAACCAATATCATCGTGAAGAGATACAGAAAGTCAAGTTTTAAATGTCTGCTATTTGATACACATGTAAATCCTGATCCGGAATCTCCGATGTGGTCAATGAATACATTGCATGGTATGTGTGTTGTTCCTTATAATGCATGGAGTGATATTGTTCTTTACAATGCATGGTATCAATATTTATTCTTATAATGAATGGTCTGAATATTGTTCTTTATAATGCATAGTTTGGGCATTGTTTCTCATACTCATCTTTATAGTACATGCACTGGTTCTTAAGCCAATCATCTTCCCGAGGCAAGGGAGTCAACAGACTAAAAAAGTCTTCGTTCCATCCTTGCCGAACTAGGATGAAATTTCTGTCCAGCCAAAATATAACTCCATAATTCCAGCCGAGTTTGGCAAGGGCGGAAACTGGACTTTTAAAGTCAGTTCTTCCTTGCCTCGGGAAGATGGAGTTAATCAACTATCAGCTTTCTAACACGATTCGGCTTTATTTCTTCACCACTTCGATCTAAACAAAAGTAAAAACACACAGAAGACAAATGTTACTCAGATAGTACACTGTTGTCAATGTAGGCGACAGATATGACAGGATCCACAACAATACAGCGGAATGAGTTTTAATGTATTCCATTCCATATTCGGAACTGCCCGTATATGTTTGTTTTCGAGATGCAGAAATCAGATATTTTGCTCTAAATGTTTGGCTCGTTTCTACAGAGTATATAGAATCCTGGACGCGGACTGATTGATTAGAAAGCTCACCCGACACCACCTCCAATGTAAAGATTGTCAGATCTTCACACAAAGGTATCGTATTGGAGTAAAATAGATAGGTTTAAGGAGATTGAAAGATACCTGTTACTTACATGGCAACAATGGCGTCAGTGTCAAGGGGCTTGTCCTTTTCATAACAGGTAACACTTGCCAGAAGGGATATGTTCTGAGACATCAGCACTGATAACAAAGAAAGGTCCAGTTAATAAATAACCGAAACGGAGATAATTTAGGGGCCATTCGGCATATTTCATGATCATGTATTATCTTCGTTATCATACCCTGGAAGCAATGGAAGAGGGATATTGCATCATGTTACTGTAATCCTTGGAGTGCTAGATCGGGCGGTGGGGAAGCCTAGTGGCTAAAGAGTACGCTCGTCACACCCAAGGCCAGAGTCCGAGTCCCATCATGGATGCGATGTGTGAAGCACATTTTTGGTGTGAAATTGCTGGAATATTGCTTAAAGCGGCGCAACACTACACTCACTCACTGTATCAATGTAACGCTAGATCCGACTGCATAAAATGTGACGAGCGAAACTAAGAAACAAATTTTCTTATGGTTCATAGCATAGATATACAATTAGATACCCAGCAAGTGATGCATGAACACAATGCTGCCCGAGTTTACCTATATGATTGCAGTGAACCAAGGTGAAAATGCATGCATGGAAGGATGAAGCAGTCTACGTTGAAGTATAGAAGAAGTTACGACAGTTTTGTAAAACAGCCTTTCGTGGCCTTAAAGCATGGAGTAAGAAAAGGTGATAGTTTACGGCCGTTAGCGATGGCTGTGACGTCTTGCCCAGAGCAGGAATCTGGCATGCACATCCCGAGGGTGATGTATGTCGGGGTGGGATTCATCGGGTTCGTCTGAAGTAAAACAAAAGTCAAGAGCGTCACTGCGTGTCGAGAATTAATCACCAGAGTATCAATACATTCTTATTGCAACTACTAAACTTTGCTCCTTGATCAAAACAGGTTTTCGGAACGACCATTGGATTTTCAGCTGTGGTAATCGTAAGCGGGCCGGAATTGTGGTTTGAGATCAGCATTTGTGTTTCTATAGTTTAGGAAATCAATTATTTAACTTGACATAAACAGGTACTTTGTATTATACACTTTAATAGAATCTTCTGTACAGGGTGGTCATGTCTTTTTAATTTTCTTTATTCGTTGGCATCCGTCAATCTCAGGAACGTCCTGTGACCCTGAAGTTTTTTGTAGCGTGGCCAGGCAAGTGAAATCGCCAATGTTGGAGCAGAGAGAAGAGACTCAGGTTTGCGGCGTGGGAAAGAACTCCAGCTTTCTGTGACTTGGTCACTGCAGCTAATTCCGAGGATGCGTTTCATGATGCGCACGTGGAAGGTATTGTGTTTCTTTTCATATCTGGAGGAGAGGGTCTAATGTGCTCGGGATGCAGGATCAGCAGAAAACAACCTTGACCGGGTCTCGGACTTTACGCACTTTAGATTTAGCCTACAGGCAAGCCAGATTGAAGAACTACCCATCACATTTTCAGTGGGTGGTCGAGGGTTCAAAGGCGTGTTTCAGCATCACTGAGAAGTTTACAAACAGGGTAGGGGCAAGTACACAGCCCTCCCTTACTCCACTGTTGGTGTTGGAAGCCTCAGTGTATGAGCCGTCAAATTGCATGGTGCCTTTCATTATGCAATGACTGGAACATGCTGAGGAGCCAATCACGGCTCACAAGGCTGAAGGCTTTTGTGAGGTTGATGAAGGAGACATAGATTTGCTGCTTCTGCTCTCTGCACTTTTCCTGCAGCAGTCGGAGTGTGAAGACCATGTCAGCTGTGGGTCGTTCTGCCATGAATCCATGCTGTGGTTTGGGATACATATTCTCAGCAAGTTTCTGTAATCTGTTCAAGGCCACACAAGCGAAGAGCTTTCCGGTGATGCTCAGGACAGAGTTCCTGTGGCAGTTGTTACAATTGATTCTATCATCCTTCTTCTACAAGGTGACAATGTTGCATAGTCTATCAAGTCCTGTGACACAGCTCCCTCTTCCCCAAACTGGCAGAGAAGTTCATACAGGTGGATTAGCAGGAGTCCCTTTCTGCAGTTGTCAGCCTTTGGAGGGATCAATTCTGAGTGCTTACTCTCAAAACAGATACTCTTGCTCAGCTCCTCAACCGAGGAGTCTTTATCCAGCTCCTCCATTACTCTCTTCATCTGCTTGCCTGTCACTGATCGTTTCGCCTATTAGTGTCAGTTTCTGCATATTAGCTTTGCAAGACAATTTCCAAATTTAGAGATATTAAGTATATTCAGATATTTTTCTGAACCAAATTATGTGCTCAGTACGCACTCTTGCATTAAAATCGCCAAAGATTAGCAGCTATTCTTGAGTGGCGATTCTCTTCATATCAGTGTGGAGCTGGACGTAGAACTGGAACTCATCCTTCACCTCGTGTTTTGAGCGAAAGTCAGGAACGTACACACTGATGAGGGTTAGAGGCATATCGGATGTGAGGAATCGGAGGGACAATAGTCTCTCTGTTCCATTCTTGCCAAGCTCTATCGTTCTGCGCAGTGAGTTGACAGCAAAGCTGACGCCATGCTCACTTGTATGTTCAGGAGAACGTGTAGTATATCTCACACAGAGTGCCAGGCGTTTCCTGAAGCATGATGTATACTTGTAGTTTTCTAGCCTGCCTGCTGCCAAGCTTGAACCATCGAAAGCAGCCCCTGTCAACATATTCTAAGACAATCAAGACAGACTAATCACTGGTAGTGCGAGTTCCTGTTCCAGGGCGCAGGCTGTCGAGGGCCAGCTGTTACAATATTTTGTTCAATTTCCGGTGCTCCCTAACCGTGATATACCTGGAATATTGCAACGTAAACCAATACCCACTCACTAACCCTTTTCTGCTATGATTTTCAACCATATGGAACGAAAATATTTGTAACTAAAATAGCAAAAGAATGTATCAACTGATTTCCTTTCTTCATTTATTTGAAATCGTTTTCCCTGTGCATTTGAAACAATAAATCAACCTTGTCATGTGGAATTAATGATTTATTGAATTTATTTCACATGTAATGTCCATGAAGTAGTGGGACATACATTGACAAAGTGTTGGTATTTTGACATGTTTCTCAAGTATTAAACAGTACATCTCCTACCTGATTCGGGGGCATCAGGAGAGCTCTACAATACGTGGCACCGAAATCCACCTCAGTCCTGTTGGTTGTGACTCCAAGACATTCATCAAATGATCCCAGCCAGGTGAGCTCTCCCTTGAGAATGGCACTGCCAGGCTTACCAAAAGCATCCAACACTGTGAATATACCAGTGGTCAAATATCAGAGTGCGTTGAAGCCGGGTTGGAGTCCAATACTGCCAACATCATGAATACGAATCTTTTGTGCGTGAGAAACATATGCATACCTTGCAGATACGATATAATTAACCAGTGCTTGAATGATTGATTGATCGATTCTTGTTTAAGGCCGCACTCAGCAGTATTTCAGCGATATGACGGAGGTCTCTAAATAATCGAATCTGGACCAGACAATCCAGTGCTTGACATCATGAGAATTGATCCATGCAATTGGGATACGATGACATACATCAACCAAGTCAGCGAGCGTTGCCAGCCGATTCCGTTAGTCGCCTCTTTACGACAAGCATGGGTTGCTGATGACCAATTCTAACCTGGATCTTCACAGTCGTGTGCTGATGATATCCATCACTGACCTGCCTGGTTCAGATTCGATTTCTTCTCCATACCTGGAATATTGCTCAGTGCGGTGTTAACAGCAAACAAACTGTCAAACACAGAAATTCTTAACCAGAAGCTGTTCTGGAAAATATAACAATCAATGTTAGCTAAGGATCACCATAAGCATCTACTGAAATAGCCCGAGACAATACTGCGTGACATGTTTAATGAAATATCCAGATCCCTGAAGCACACACTGGTGTCATCGTGCCTCGCTGTAGGACATGGAGATCGGTTCTTCCAGCTCTACTGATCCAATCCCATGTCACGATTGGGCCCCTTCCATAGCGGTCATGTTCGGCTACGTTGGAATCCTGAAATCTCCTTGTCTACACCACACGAGGGTAAGACGACCAGTGAAGTCTAGACATTATCTAGTATTTCATCAGTGAAAAAGTACTGGAACCCAGACCTGGTCTTTCCAAGCGACGTGATCTTCAGCCCAATCCAAATGTGCCTGCCTGTGATGTCGCCCGGAGGTGACTGGATACCAGCTTCAATGAGAGGACCTCTTGGCGTTCCCCTGAGTGAGGTGGCAGTCACGAAGTGATGATGACGTGCTGCAATGAGGAGAAACCTGTCTTCCCGCTGTGTGGTTGAAGATCGCCTGCATGCCCTGCCGATCACACTTTGGCTGACACCAAAGCAGTTTGCAACATGACGTTGTGTTGACCCAGTTCAAGCATTCCCATGCATCTGCCTAATTCTTCCACCCTCATACGTCTTTGACGCTGAGTGGGCACGGGTGGCCCAGTCATCAAAGGCGCCGCGATTCGCTGTGTAGAGTTGCGTCCCTTGGTCACGCCAGAAACCTATGATTGTGGGTTCGAATCCCGGTACGCCCCCAATTATGTTTCTAGGCTTGTCAGCACAATAATGAGGTCATGGGTTTCACCGAAGTGGTAAACGTCTTAGACCTGCATCTCTTCGGGCTTTCCTCTCACATTAAGCTGACACGCCGTGATATAACTGGAATATTCTTAAAAGCGGCATTAAACCCAACTCACACACTTTGACTCTGAGGGGACATAAATACATTCTCTTGCAATCCTCAGAAGCAAATGCTGTTGTGATCTATGATAATGAGCAACGATTCTGTCACGATACACCCAAACACAGGTTTTCAAGCCCCTCGTGCCCATGACAGCATGCATTTGTCCGTTCATCACGAAATTCAGGTCCTATAGGGGTTACCCAATCATTGTTTACCGGGATATTTCAATCTTAACATGTTGGGGGATTTTGTTGTTAGATCAAAACTTGATTATTAGCGAACGTTGAGTTGTATCGATGGTTAGAATGTGTCGTCATTGCTTCGTTGTATGTATCATCATGACGTCGTCTGTGTATCAGGCCATGTTTGGGCCCATTCTAACGCGGAATCCCTACGGGTCACATCCATGCTTTGCATGTAGCGATTCTGCATTAGTTTATATGGCGATAACCGTGGATATGAGTAGTGCAGTTATCGCTTGGGTGCGATAATCACCCGATAGTACAGCATATTTGTATTCCCTGTAAATATGTTTCTTTGTTGTTTCACATGACACTCTGGGAGCAACACGCTAGGCCAAAAGCTAAGATTAACGATTGAATATGGTTACTATGAGTTTTTTCTTAATGAAATGCACATTTCCAGCTGCCATAGTTTGTTCGTAATTAAAATTGTAACATGTACTAGTATATGTAATGTACTTACTCTGCAGAGCCCATTCTTTATTTTCCATAATACCAGTGATCACATTCTGGGTATGGTTCATACAGACATCTTGTGTGTCCTGAAGAATCCCTAGCATCTGGCGGAGATTAGCAACTTCCTGGGGATTTTCTTCCACTGGAGCATTCGCAGCCTCTTCCTCAAACTCTCCCCTGAGAATGGTCTTGCTTTCTTTGTTCACATTTTGTTCGTCACGAACACTAAACAATTTCTTAAAAGCTATATCTCTGACTAGATTAATAATACTTTGAGACTCGAAATTCTCTTTTAATAGGCCATGGTTTCCTTCCATGTCAAGATAGGCATCCTCTTGACCCAATGACGAACTTACGCAGCCAAGTAAGGTGAATAGAAACAGCTTCTTAAACATGGCGGTCCAAAATGACTGTGGCCTACTAATAGAGTGACTGATCCTCACGTTAAACGGAAATCAAACGCTTGGCGCAAACTCACGGCGCGCAAACATGTTACCTTTACGTGATTCTCAAGCTGAGACACAACCAACTTCAACGCACACCCTCTAACTGTGACAGCTATTGTGTCTGTGCGATATTGTCATACGTGTATGAATCATAGTGCCATACCCGTGGTATATGATAACAATATCTCCAAGCAGGGACACATGTAGTTGATAAGCTGAGTATGTGCACTCGACAACCAGTTCGTGTGAACAGCAATGACGCATGCCATGTTTGTGTGGCTGTTATCTCGGTCAACTAAGGAAGGCATGTTTACACAACTTGACTGGGACAGAGACCATATATGGTCTCTGACTGGGAGTAGAATGTTGTAACCGATGCGTAGTCTGACTGTAACAGAAGTAGGTGTTTTGTGTCCCCCCCCCCCCCCCCCACACACACACACACACACATTTGTCCGACGAATGGTTGTCTGATAACTTTTTATATTTTTAACTTAACTAGTGAATATTGTTTTAACGAAAACATATTCCAGTAATTTCACGACGGCGGAAACCAAAAATGATTTCACAAATTGATGAAGACGATATGCAGATATATGTGTACATGTACTTAGTTATATATAGAAATGACGAGGGGACTGTTTACTGTTATCTGGGAAGGAATGATCTGCATGTATCATGTGTACCGACACACGTATGGGAGCAGTTTATTTTCAGGTTAAAAAACATTCTACTTCGAATGAAGGTCGAAATGAAACATCGCCGAAAACGTTTCCTCACATAGAGTGCTTACTATCTATATTTTGACATATTTGTTTTGAATATTTGTGTTTTCACAAAGTTTCTTTATTTTCAAAATAGCTTCTCCTTGCTTTTGTTATCGTTTTAAAAATCATGAGGTCAGCGAGAACGTGTTTAAACTGGGACGTGGAGCTTAATATCTGTGGATATGGCTTTCATGAATCAGATTGCATTTGTTGTGGTATTTTTATCAAGCTACTTCTCGATGTGTGTGTGTGTGTGTGTGTGTGTGTGTGTGTGTATGTGTGTGTGTGTGTGTGTTTGGATGGATGGATGGATGGATGGATGGATAACATCAACTCAAGGCACTGATTCGCTACAAGTCATGATTAATAATTGACAATTGATCCCAAAATAGAATGCCAATAAAAAATATATAACTGTACATGTATAACACTGTCTGCTGCAAGTAGGCTTAGGTCAACACAAAGAAGCTTTAATTCCAAATTGGGCATGGGTGGCCCAGTCATCTAAGGCACCATAATTCGCTGTGCAGAGTTGCGTCCCATGGTCACGTCAGAAAAACTATCATTGTGGCTTTGAATATCCGGTTCGACCAATTAATGTTTCCAGGTTTGACAGCATCATACCTATACTTGTCGGTTTCAGCAAAGTGGTAAACGCTGAGACCTGCATCACTGGGGGTTTCCTCCCACAATAAGCTGACACAGTGACATAACTAGAATACTGTTCCAAGCAGTGTTAAACCTAACTCACTCACTTTAATCATGAGGCCTCCCCAATGTCTTAACTGCAAAATGAGTGAATGAATGTTTCACAATATCATGAGCAACATATCATATTAATAATCAGCAATAATACAATTATATCAGGGTGGACTGTGTGTATTTATGTCTGGACCAGACAAATCTGCAACTGAAAGCAAGGGCAAACAATCAATGCCAACTCGGCACGATAGTACACAGTTGTAGGTTAAGTCACTGAGCCTGACCACACAATTCTCTGTATTACCAGCATTAGAAACTGGTTTACCTGCAATCCAATCAGAGCTCTTGGAGTGAATGATATTTTACGTATTCTTCCAGCTGATATCACAATAACCTGGACCAATCAATGACCAGTACAATGCCACACGATCAGCCAAATCCCAGAGCTGAGGCTTAAACCTATTTTGAGTACAATTCGGCAATATCTAGTGATGAAATGAAAGCATAATTTCAAAATGCAGTAAACACATTGCAAATATACTGATCCACACTACAGCATACCAAATGTAACTTCATTTTTATAAAAAATATGAGTTTTCAATACATTTCAAAACAAGAACAATATATTGAACTCTCCAACTACAAGCTACTCAGATACTACATTTCTTTTTCATGTTTTCAGAAATAGCTGACTGAAGGCATCACCTGGTTTTTCAACATGACAAACATAGTTGCCATATTATAACATGCTGGACAGGTTAGTCTTGTTAGTCCAGTGACTTTAGAGATGTTGATAATCCATTTGGAGACAAACAAGGGTGTTTAGTAAAAATAACCAACACAAATAAATGTCAATTTCAGAAAATGGAATTATGTAACAGGTTGTGTGAGCACAAGCCAAAGGCCATTTAGACCAATGGTGACATACATGGTCCTGTAAAATGAACAAGTCTGTATTTCAAAATACACTGTATGATAAAACAATAGATAAGTATATTTGTATATATTTCAAATGTGGAAATGTTTCACATAGGCAACATGGCATATGTGGATTTGATGCAAAGAATAGTGTCATAACACATCTTGAGTGAGTGAGTGACTTTTACACCTTTTTTTGCAATATTCCAGTAATATCACGTCGGGGGACACCAGAAACGGACTTCACACAATATACCCATGTGTGGAATCGAACGTGGGTCCTCGGCGTGAAGAGCAAATGCTTTAACCACTAGGCTATCCTACTGCCCCTAACACATCGTAAGTAGTGGTAAAACAACTGCATCAAAACTTCCGGTGTTCCTGAAAGGATTGTCCAGTGACTCTATTCTGTACACATGACTGAGGTTGTCTTTTTCTTCTGGCCGTCTCAATCTCTCGTTTTGTGCGCAGTACAAGTTTGCTGAAATGAAAAGAAACAAGCCATTTAAGAGAGGACCACATGTTGAACAACAGATGCTTTATATTCATTTCAGCTGTTGAATAATATTTATAAAGATTCGTTTTGATAAATGAATACCATTAAGTGGCATTATCATTTCACTAAATGTTTGAACAGTTGTCTATGGTGCCACAATTCATCGATGTGTTTCTTTGGCAAGCAAGAATCTTTTGATTGTGATTTGCCCTGATTATGATGCTTGGTTTGTCAGCACCATATCCTCACACTTGTGGGTTTCACCAAAGTGTTAATCATTCAAGAGGGATGGGTAATGGAGGTTTAAAGCATCACAATATTTTATGATGCACAAGACTGTATTGCAATATATATCACAATATATTGTATAATTCTAAATTTTGAATTCAAAAGCAATTTAAAACACCAGTGAATGAAACAAATTTCATAAATTGAAGAAAACAAGATGCTGGTACAACACAATGTTTACTCATTCAGTAAATATGCATGGATGCAGGCTCTGGATGCACGCTCCGGGTATTTGACAAGTGTATAACATTCAATATATATACATTGATAAATATTGCTATTTGAAATCACCTTGAATACCAAGCATTGAAAAATGATATTGAGATATGTATCGTGGACAGAACGATTCTCTTTTTACCAATATGCTACCAATGTTAATCTGTACTATGGTGACACTGTAAACTTTTTACACCAACAAATAAAGTCCTTTGGCGTTTCTGTGCTCTCAGGTTTATATTCCCGCCATTGCTCATTTTCGTACATCACCGGAAGTATTTCTGCTTCGTGTTCAAACCAGACGATCAACCGGACCGACCCAGGATATTTACAAACCAAATAGTTATCAGGTAATAGCATGCACCATTAAGACCTGCATATCTTCATGCTTTCCACTCACTTTAAGCTGAAGGCTGTGATTTAACTTAAATACTGTTCCACCCTCAGTCAAACACAGACATTGACAATGACGAGTATTGTCCAAATTAGGTTTGATTAGTTCAAAACAACCTGAGCTGGTATTTATTGGTGCTTATACAGTGTACAGTACCCATGCAAAATCCAAAACTACCAGAGGCACGAGCCTACTCCCTTGCTCATCTGACATGGAAGCTGAAAATGGTAGCAACAGCAAGAATGTGAATGTTGTTGAGGGTCAGACAAAAAATCAGATAGGTGAAAGCAAAATAAATTCCCAGAGGTCTTGTGCATAGATATTGCATTGCAAGGTTTAGATGTTACTTTCTAGTTGCGATGTGGTTTATGCAACAGTCGCATCCTTAATCAGAGTAGGGCTGCAATTCATCCCCAAACAGGATTGTAGTCACATATTGACTTTGCTACAGTATAGTCAGAGTTCACACATGATGCATTTTATGATAGAAGCTGCATGTGTTATTTCATATTCTTACATATAAGAGGAAATCTCCCCACGCAAATGTCATATCATTGAAAGGAAACATATCTCACTGAAGATACTTACCTCCTATCCCTGGGAGTATAAATCCAATTATAAAATCACATTACATATTGAATAATCATAAATTGAAAGAATTATGTATTACGTGTCCGAAGATGAGTAGAATTTGACCAATAGTGACTACACCTGTTAAAACATATTAACTGAACAGGCCTTACTTCAGATATGACAGATCTACAATGAGATCATGGATGATCTTCCTTCCTTCCATCCGTTGCTTCTGAACTTCTTGCAGCACCATCAGTTGACTGTAATAGTTAGAAGTGATCTCCATCTTGTTATGTGATGTCACGAAACTTAAGGGGAAACTCAAAGATATCATGTCCGAGGAGAAAACAAGTCACAAATAATAAAAATAGAGCACAAAACTTCAAAATGACATGTGTAAGCATATTTGTCTGTGTCTTTATTAATGCCACACTCAGCAATATTCCATATTCCAGCTATATGTTTATATAATGGTGGGTTCATTCTCCTTGTAGGTTCATCAAACAGACACCTGGTGGTCTCCGGTTAATATATCAGGGAGACAATATTCCACTGCCTGGCTGGGTAAAGATATTGTCATCTGAGCCTTTTGTGAAACTTAGACTGTAATTTAATAAATTCATTAACTGCTACATTGATATACACTCAAATTGTTTGCCAATTCAAATTCGCCTCTGCCCAGAGCAGCAAGTGTAAGGGAGGTAACTCCAATGCCTTTATCAATATGAATGTACAGTATCAATATTCGAATATGTTTATGATGTTTATCATGCACTCAGTAAACTATACTCTCACTAATAATAACCTACCTGTACTTCAATCTCATACTTTTAAAAGTGAATTAAAATGGAAAATCACAGAATATTTCACACTGAAATGTTCATTCACAGATCAGTTTAAAGCAATCATGTGTGTTCAGTACTGTTTCCTTACTTTGCTGATTCCTCCAGACTGACTGCCTCACACAGTTGGGAGTCTGTGAAGTCCATGTCCGCATCTACATCCTTTCCTGGTGCTGTACATCATCAACACACAAGAGTGAGTGAGTCAGTCAGTTAAGTTTTATTTCACTACTACTACTACTACTACTACTACTACTACTCAGGGTTAGAAACTAACAGTTTTTGTCCACTGGTCCTTATAATGATAACATATAGCAAACCTCTTAAAATGGGCCAATTTCTACTAGTCCTTAGGATACCTTTACTATTGGGGAGTTTGGTAAGGACTACAGGACTAGTGCCAATTTCTAAGGCTGCTACTACTACTACTACTACTACTACTACTACTACTACTACTACTACTACTACCACTAATGTGCATATTTATAACGCACCAAATCCACATCCTAAAGCATGGTTAAAGAGCTACATATAACCCAGGCTGAGGGATCAGCGTGCACTTGATTTTCATTCTCATCTCCCTGGGCAGTATACTACCCAAGCTGCTTGTGAGGTGTTAGAAGGATAACAGTTCCTATGCCATCTCATCCAACCTAGCTGGTACCCATTCACTGCTAGGTGAACAGAGGCATATTTCGTTTACCTCAGGAGACGACACATGCACTACATTTGCTTCAGTGTGGGGCAGGACTGAAGCCATAGACTCTCTCTGGGGACCAGTGCTGCTTAACTTCAGGCCACACTTTCTTTCACTTGCTTTACAGATTTTTATAGGAAATTACCCGTCGGTAGGTGAAAAAGAAAAGAAATGGCAATTCAATTTTTCCTCTCCTCTTCTACAGGTCGGCTGGTATAAATAAATAATGCTTTAATGTGGGAGGAGAGCCTGAAACACAGCTGTCACTTCAGCAATGCAAACCAGACAAATCAAGAGGGAACACTGTTTAGACTTCGGAGAGTTCTTGTCTTGCACTGTCAGTACAATCATAAATAGGGTCACTGATAAGATCCCTCACAAACCAAAACGTCTTGAATGTGTACATTGTTTTGTTAAAAACATGGGACATTGATAGGACATTGATAAAACTAACAATTGAAGTGCCTTATTCCTCTGCCAGTTCTTTGAAAGTTAGATTCCGTTTCGAAAAAACAAGTCACCTCAACCTGGGAAAACATATTTGTCATAAGAGTGGCCAACACCTTGGATCGGCAAAATGATTTGGAGTAACCTCCCTTCCCTCTCATGCAATATTATATATGACAGTTCATCATTTATACCGGTAGATGTCAAGTGCAGGGAGTCAGATCGCAAGTTTAAATAATCCTTGCAAACACATAGAGCTTCTCTACGTTTCTAACAAAAATCTTGTTTGTTTATAACATTTCAACAAAATTTACCATCATTAAATTTGTAAAGCAAGTAAAAAAAGATCTGGCCTCACCTGATTTGTGACATGTGCGCAGCACCCCACGAGGCATCAAGTATCCCGATACCAAGTCAGCGAGCCTGACCACCCGATCCCGTTAGTCGCCTCTTAAGACAACCATAGTCGCCTTTTACAACAGGAAGACATATGCTAACTTGGATCTTCATGGGTTTCCAATACTGAGTGTTATTCCATATTCAATAGATTCCACTGACCATAGTAAGTCGCAATTTCATTTAAGGAATTTATGGGCATAACAGAATTAAGTACAAAATTATAAAAATCCCAAAGTGAAGACATTTGGGTACCAAGGCCTGTTGCTGCTGCAGTGTTTCCTGGTATTTGCATAGCAGGGTACTGTTTCAAGTCTACAATGTGTTTTACATGGAGGATGTGGAGAATGAATTCTCTTAATGATTCTCTTTCATTTGATTCTTAATCATTGATACTTTAATCAATCATTGTTTCTTACTTAATCAATGACTGCATATTTTAAACCTAGTAACCATCTATCTTCAAATTCAAATTTCAAACAAAACCTGACATACAGCATATGAACAAGAATCAGTTACTCTGTATTACAATTGCATTGAATGTAATGTTAAATAAATGTTAAAATACCTCTGAATTTAAGAAGATGGGAACTTTAGAAAAATCTTAAAATCTTAAAAAAAAGAATTTGCATGTCAAGGACACATAGTTCCTTAATAAATTCCTGCCAAACCAACATCTGTCAGAAATTCCTCATTTAAGTAGAGAGAGGGGGGGTCGGTTGCCTAGTGGTTAAAGTGTTTGCTTGTCACACCGAAGACCTGGGTTTGATTCCCGACATGGGTACAATGTGTGAAGCCCATTTCTGGTGTCACCCGCCATGATATTGCTAAAAGCGGTGTAAAACCATACTCGCTAATTCATTTAAGTAGATGATGCATAGGCATTCCTTTTGTGTGCAAGTATATCAGACTCACATACCTGCAAGTATGTCAGCTTCCTCGTTCTTCACTGCTGCAGTTCTCTCCTCAGCAATACCAATATCCATCTCAGGAGGAATGATCTCATCTGCACTAACTTCACCCTGTTCACTGGATACCCCTGACTGGCCCTGCAGTATCTCCGTTGAATTCTTCTTGGTCTCAGTATGTTGATCGACCAATTTATCTTTGTACACTTCTTTATTTTTTGTTATGCTTTTGTCCATTGATGAAGGATCAGATGTCTTATCCGACTCTTCAGCACAGCCTGATTCAAGCATTGGATCAATTGGGCTTTCTTCATGTGTAGTCAGCGAGAAACACTTTCTACCCTTCCTGTTCTCTTCATTTTGATTGATGTCTGCTCCCATTGTTTCTGTCAGCTTCGTATCTTGCACTTTTATTAGAGAAATTACCTGTTCAGACATACAACCTTGGTCTGTATGACCTTGATCAGCCTCCTCCATTTCTCCATGAGCTTGAATATCCTCCATCTTTTCTACTGACGCCATATTTGGCTTCAAAATGTCACCGTCTGTTTCAGCTGACTTACCATCTTCAATGCACTGCTCTAAACTTTTCAGTATATTTTTGGAAGGAATCAAGGAAACATTCTCTGCTTCATCAGTTAATGCTGGCACTGGCATTACATCCTTCACATGCCCCCATCTCTCCACACTGACAGGCATACTTCCACATGATACACCAGTGGGCTTCATGACCTTTGTTGTGTCAGCAGCTACCTTGGCCACATTAGCAAAAGAAATTATATTTTCTAATACATGTGCCGTTTTGTCAGTCTTGTTTGGGGAACCCTCCACAACCTGAGGATTTGTTATACATCCAGCTGGATCACTACCTGTTTCATTTAACAAAGTTTTAGGAGTAAGGCCACAGCCTGGGTGTTGATCCTCCTGTTCTGGCAGTTCTTCCTTGGGGCTAATGGAAACTTCAGTATTGACTGTGTACGTGGATTCTTGTGTTCTTGGTTTTGTTTCCAGATGTCCATGTGACACTTCTGCTTCTGTTTCTTTTTCTGTGTGAAGAGGTGATTTATCAAAGGCTAAAGTGTCACATCCTTCAATTTCTTCCTGTCTCTTATTATGAGACCCATTGTCGTTGCATTCTGTCCTACAACACCAAAATTTCTTTATCAGAGTTGAAAATGAGTAAATACTAAATACTGTTTACACTTGTATGCTAATTTTTGACAGAAATATGATTGAAGCTGTGTAAGGTCCAACTGAAGAAGAAGTTGTTCCAACTAGTTGAGTGGCTAATCCCATCACACAGTGCCCACTTGATCACGGAAATGATGACATCACATATCTTCACATTACTGCTTTATCATAACATCTGAAGACATCGTGGGGATTTCACTCTTCCAAAATGGTACGGACATGATATAAATTCGGCTGATAGATCAAGGAAACCGAACCATTTTGATTGCACAGCCGGGACACTGGCAGTGCGAGTGACCTACTGTTGGTCTGATATGTGACTTTTCAAATTTTCTTATAGGTGTCCTGCGTACTAACAACATTGCACTTGAATTACCATAAGTTGAAGAAATTCTTCCAAAAGGATCTTGAGCAATGGTGCTGTTATGTTTGCAAACACAACTGCAGCTTACAAGAAGAATGGCAAAGGATACCAAGGGCGACAATCCAGCATTTGATATCCAGTATGCTCAGATGTTGTGCCTATATTGATGCTCACGGGGCATGGACCAGATTTTGACTTCACTATGAAGACTGAATTGAACAACAACATTTCTTTACAATTAATTTCTGAATAAATATTGGAGTTCCCTTTTAATATTGTTCCCAGTATACCTTGTATGTAATCAGTTTCACTCTACAACTTTAGACACAAGCCTGAAGCCCAAGTCTAGTAAACTCTGTTCGATCTAGTCAGCTAATAAAAATATGACAGCAGTCTACAAATAATCCAGTCTGGATCAGATATTTCAGTGATTAATATAATGAACAACCATTCCCACTTTCTGGGAATGATATGCCTGGTTTGACATACTATCAACCAAGTCACCAAGCCTGACCATCCCATCCATAAAGTCACCTCCAGGTTGCTGTCTAACCTGAAATCCCCACATGCGTCTTGATCAATGAATGCATCTGATTCAATGGCTGTCAACTAAAACATCCACTGAGATAGTTGCTGTCCAGATACTGTGGAGATACCTGACTAGACACTAGGGCTAGTGAAAAACACATTGCCATTTGCCCAGGCTTTAGTTTACTAGCATGAAATGGCTCATCATCTACAGACTTGTTTCCATATATCCCAAGTTAAACACGTTACTAACAGTTTACAGCATATATACAGTGTCAGAACCATTGCATTGCTCTGCGGCATGTTTACACACATAAAGTGTGCATTAAATAACAAACATTAATTTCCATTTCAGTGATGAATTTAATGACATTATGTGTGGTGCAGCAAATGCTGAATGTTGCCAGGAATGTATTTTGCCTATTCTCTGTAATAGTTTCAACTGATGTCATATTCATGTGAGAAAAACACTAACTACTTGCAAGCCATAACCTTTTGTAAGCTTGTAAAGAGTGGAAATTTAGTATCGTGACTCAAGTATCATAATATGTATCCAAACATGACATATGCATTTTGACATCCCTACCCCAGATCATCACCATAATTACAAATCAACAACATTTAAATTCCAACTGTGGCTTACTGTTCAGGTGCAGGCTCAGTTACCTTCTTCCTCTTGGTAAATGAAGGCACAACCCTGGACTGTGAATCAGTCTGTCTGAAATACAAGTTTTATCCACATGAAGTCATACCAGTGTTTTTTGCTATTTTGAAGGTTGTGTTAAACTGAAGGTGCTAAATCGAACAGTCAAGCAGCCTCTTAGTTAACTTGTTTTTGTATAACAGACAAAAAAAATCTTCTAAACTTTGAATATATGTATGTGGACATACTTAAGTTATTTACATTTTGAAAATCTGTAAAGTGAAAGTCAAGTACTTGACATTACAATTTACTATCCAGACCATTAATGTTCATCATTGTTCAAGGTTTGTGCATCTATGTCCAATGTCCATGCAAGTATCTAGATGTAAGTATTCCAAATAAGGAAAGAATGTTGTATTATCATTAAAAAAAAATGTATCAAAATTGTTGATTTGTATGTAGATTTTGCAAATGGATAGATAGTACTGGTACTTGCTTGTGTTGTTTACTATTTTTATGAATGTACAGTAAACTATGGTTATAACAAACTCAAAGGGACCACTAATTTTAGTTTGTAATATGAGTAGTTCATTATAAGCATATATTCAGCATATATACAATAAATGGCCGGGATTAAAAAATAAGTTTGTTATATCGGTAAGTTCACTAACGTGTTCATTATAAACATAGTTTACTGAACTTACTTCAATTCATCATTGTTGGTAACACCCTTCTCCTGGGAGCACTGGTTTTCTTGCTCTGCAGAAAATGAAGAGAAAAACTACTACAACATTAAATTTACAGAAACTAAATGAACATATATAAGATGCAAGATGGAGGTTTCAAGTTTTGTAAAAATTGGCAGAGCTCCAGATACCTGCGTATCTGCGTGAAATACGCAGTAAAATAAAATCCAAGAGTATCAATTACGCAACGAACATTACAGATACGCTACAAAAATAAAACTTGTGCGTATCATCAAAATATTGTGAAGTAACCCTGTGTATTCAATTACCAAATCAGCAACTGATTCTGAAATTATAAACGGGCATTCCGTCAACCTTGCCAAACTCCACGATGACAGTTACATCATGATCATTTGCCATCACACTTTCTTGTGGAAGTGTCGTGGTATTTTTGAGTCCTATAATGTTCTCGAACCCACTCGACACCAGTTTGCAAGGACTAGATTAATAGTTTTTTTAAAATATTTAACTTAAATACCCACATGTGCAAAAACTAGTTGGTAACAGAAATTTGAATACTCAGATAGAATTACTGATACCCAATGATTTTAAAATGTATGGGTAAAATACCCACAACACCACAAGCTTATCTGGAGTTCTGCATTGGTAAACAAAACCAACCCGAGTTATGTTATTGGCCGAAATAAAAAATTCCAAGAACCAGTCTGTATAAGAAGAGCTTCACATACGTGGCCGGTTGCCTTGAGTGACATATGTTAATATCCATTAGATGACAAATTTAAATGACATAAATGTGTTTTAAGGATGTTGGCTCTGAAACCCCTCAAACCATTGAAGAATTTTTATATTTCCCATCTTTTCCAACTGATTGACCATACTCTTTGCATATTTTGCAAAATAATCATTCTTATTATCCCTGTCATATATTACCCACGTTTTGTACTTTGGAAGAGGCCAATTACTGGGAATGCCACATGCTGATTTATGTTTAGATAATTTTGGCTTTGGTTCACCAGTTTCAGTCATGTCTGCATTTAGACTATTTTAAAACAAACATAATCATATTCAATATTGAACATGTATTTGTTCATTATTATCTGAATATTTCTCTTAATCTTGTCTCAGAATTATACAAAAGCAGATGCATAGAAAGCTCCTTTTGGTATAGAGTGAGTGAGTTAAAATTTAACGGCGCATCAGCATTATTTCAGACGTATAGCAGCTGGTATAGAATTATCAAGGATAATCACATATGGTTCGACACACTGGTTACATGGCACGCTTTATATTTTTAATATTTTTTAACAGTTCTTGGAGAAATAAAGTTTAATATCCTGTGATCACAATATTTAAAAAGGTTGAACTCATTATACAATACACAATGTGAGGAATAATTTGTATATCATTTGTAGCTTCACTGTTCTGTATATCATACGACACAAAATATAAAAAGACGAAAAAAATTCTTCTAAAAATGTGTTCATACTGTTCAACAATTTTTTTTATCCATTTTGCTACAGTAGTCCGATTATTTACAGTAATAGATTCAGTTTTAGTTTCAAAATAAAATGAAATGGCTTTTCAGTAACCTGTTTTTATGAAATTACAATATTGAGTATTACACGATTTCATTTCATCTTTTAACACTTGTCTAAATGAAAAAAATATTGCATTCAACGGTATCAATTTCTTGTTCAAATGTTCAAACAAACAGGAGATTAACACAGGTTCATACGTTTTGTGGCCTATATTTTTACGTATGATATGAAATGAACATTGATAAATTTTCATAGTGGAATTATTAAATTATGTGAAAAAATTGCATAAAATACATCTTGAATCTGAATCATAATTGAAACTGTAAACAGCATGATACAATGATCATGTGTGCTTTCATTCAAGGATCTTCACCTCAAAGAAATTATCAAATATGTACAACAACGTTGACGTATGACACCAGTCACACCACTAGCGATGACCAACTTTTACAAAATGGCATGTTCACTGACAACAGCATGCGGGGCTTTACAAGGGGACTTTCGTTGGTTCTGGGATCGTATGTACATAAAATGTGACATGTAAGTAATCAGAAACATTCTGACAATCTGTGTACTGTTATTTGTTGTTATATTTTTCATTGAAAGCAAGAGAAATAGTAAAACATTCTGATAAATACCGCTGGGGTTGTGCATGATTTTGTTTCAGTCATCGCGTCACGCTGGACGAAAACTTTAACAATTTCTGTTGAATTCAACAAATGATTGCAATGTATTTTTTTTATTTCCCTAATTTTTCGTACACTCAGTTTTCCGAGCACAGCGTTTGTTTTCACACCTAATCTTTTTTGCTTGATTTCATCTTGACACTTGGTATTGGTGACAAAGACCCATTGACATTTGAATCTAAACTGTATGAGGAATTTAAGGATGTATGTACATCATCAGAGTTTGAAATATATGTGATGTTATTGGCGTCTTTAATACCGATATGCGTGAAATGAGATTTTTTGTAAACACTATCCAATATTGCAGAAAATTCACTTTGGCGTTTGTGTCTGCATATTTTCCAAAACATTTTAAACACTTCTAGGGTTATCAACGACGTTTTAGAATGAACATTGGATATTTGATAAAACACAGATACCCGTGATCACCAATATGCTATTTTTTAAATTCATTTCTTCGAATAAATATCCGAAATTTAGATTAAAAAAATATGCTGTAAATAACACTGAGAAAGGTGATTTATTAATGTGTAAAAAATGGCAACATTTACAATGTACCTAATTTTCAGAGGTCATTTTCAGTAATTTAGCTTTGCCTTAAATGACATTTGATGATATCACGGAACAGGGAATTTCCCACAAAATTCAAAACTGTGAAGTGTATTTGTCTGCATGATGTATTTTAAATTTTATTCTACTTCAAAGTGAGGGTTGAAGAGGAGGGACATATATATCCCTCTGGCATCCAGGGGGTAAAGAAACACTTGTAGTTCTTTCTGTAACCACGTTCTCTGAACAACTGCAAAACATCTCATTCACTTATAAAAGACACCTTTCTCTTAAAAAACAAGCCATCATCTGAGTATGAACAATGTCTGTGTTATGCAACGGCCCCTAGTATAGCGCAAGCTATCTAGATAAAAATGGCCGTCTGAAAACCTATGATGTCCGAAAACCTATGATTCAACTATATAAATCCAAACACACTTTTGCTAGGAAACTTCAGTGCTGACCATCCACTGTGGGGCACAAACACATATACAAAGAAATTTGGCAAACTCATCACAGACTGGCTTGACAGCAATAACTTAAGAACTTTAAATGATAATGAACCAAGTTATCCTACTGATGATCTTCAAAATCCAACAGCAGTGAGTAACTACAGCGAACCTTTGAAATAAAAAAAAGCTGTGAAGTTCACAATGACACCTGGGGCAATGCCCACTGACCCATAAAAATATCGCTTACCATCTCCAAACCACTACAAGACCCATCTTTAGATCAAAATGCCCAGCTAATACATTTCAACTTCAATAATGAAAACTGGCAGCTGTTTATAGAACTCTGCAATCAAATAGACAGAACACAAATAAAAAACACAAACATAGAAAGTATTAGAAACTTCATGTACAAACTTTACAAATAAAATCAACAAAAATCCAATAAAACTGCCACTAAATGTATACCCATCTCTAAAACCAACCACTCACGTAACCCAGTCCCCCGGTGGAGCAACGAAGTAATACATGCTAGAAAACAGAAAAAAGCCATAAAACGTAACTCCAATAAAAGCAAAACCTTTATTTAACAAACATCAAATACCTTACCACAAACAAAAATGCAAATATAATTGCTGCGCACTTTTCAACAACAAGCAGCTCCACAAACCACACCCTTAAATTACAAAATACCATAAAAATTATGACTTCACACACTTACCATTCAACCAAATAATAAATATACAAGAATTACAAACTGCAATCACTACATATCCCAGTTGCCTGCAGGGAGTCACATTTGACCAACACCTAACATGGATACCTCATATTCCTAACTTGATAACCTCATGTCAAAAAGACTTGGACCTTATGCATCAGTGGCACTGATTAGGGGCCGGAGAAAACTCCCTGCTAGAAGAAATCTGTTGGCAGAATTAGGCAAACTGTTCATCAAATAATGACTTGAAAGTTCCTAACTCAGTTACAGTGAAAAAGAAATTTGTGGTACTTACCTTTCGATGGAGCTTTCCTTTTCTTCCCTCTTCCTTTTGCCTTGTTGTTCATGACGACTAATTCTACAAAAAGAAAATAGGAACCATTTACTTCTTTGTCTAGACAAGTGACATTTTGGTATCATGAAAGACTAATCATAACTCTTAGCGAACATTTGCCTAAACGCTGTAAACGGAGCCTTTGTGGTTAGCAAAGTAGTGCACAATTCTAATTAATAAATTTATGCTTATTAATTGTATTTCTTACTCAAACTTATACTAGGCATTAAAGAGACAAGCACATGCTCTAATTCATAAACACAAACAATGAGTATTTTATAAATGTGCAGACAATATTGCATTTGTTACACTGCTCTGTGTGTTAATACTGTTAAATAGAAGGGTAAACAACCCAATATGGCCCTAAATAAATCAGTTTCTAGTGTGATTTGTCTTATCCTTCCTGGATGAATAACTGCTATTTGTAGTAATTGTCACATTCTATGCAGGGGTCAAAATTAACATAAATTTGCTAGTGCAAGACATAATCATTAATCAAAATTGATTTTTCAGAAAAATGCCATCTGTCATAAATAATTTTATAAAACATGTTTTTCCCTTCCCAAAACTGAAATTTGTAAGTAATAAGATACAAAAACACATGCAACCAATCAAGTATTTTCATTTATGGAATAAGTTTCTTAAACTTTCAGACCAAATCTTTAACATACATTCCTTGACAAAATAGAGATGATACTATTGTTTGGAAAAAAGCAATTATCAGCAACAAAAACATCACCAACTCAAACAAAGCTTACACAATGTGTTTGAATTGAAGTGTGAAACAATTGGCGCCCATGTCTAATTCTGATGCAAATGATATACTAGGTGCATCGTGAGCTCACTGAGCTGAAAGTCATATGTAGTGAAATCTTCAACTACCATGTCAAAAATGTGGCTTTGTACTATAGTTTCATGTTTCCCATAATAATTGTCTGTGTGATGTGGTCAGTTTTATGGAGGACAGTACGGTATCTTTGTAACATTCTTTTATTGTAAAAAATACTACAACATTTGTACTGTAGTTACTGAGATGTAAAATTTGATTTTTCTGCAACCTCTCAATGGCCACTTGGGAGGGGATGGTGATGTTTAGGATGAGGTAGATAACCAAATGAAAATAACTTTTCATTATCCATTAGATCTTACACACTGTGTCTCCTCATTTTGACATGTGGCTTCTGAGAAGTATACTAAGGACAATTTTCTTAAAATTTTCTTTTCAATATTAGCAAATTAATCCTTTTTTATAAATGGCAAAATTTATATTAATACAAATGACAAAACCCTTTCAATTTTTACAGGTGAATGGGTCTTATGTGTTTGATACCTTTATCATGGGCATTAACTATGAACAGAAGTTTGGTAATAATGGTTAATGTTTAAAACTAAAATAACTGTCAGAAGCTGGTAGTTATTTATTGAATATACATAAAGCAGCATTAGAAATTGGCACTAGTCCTGTAATCCTTACCAAACTGCCCAATTGTAAAGGTATCATAAGGACTAGTAGAAATTGGCCCATTTTAATGGTTTTGCTATATGTTATCATCATAAGGACTAGTGGACAAAAACTGTTAGTTTCTAATCCTGTAAAGAATTAAAATAAAACTCATGGTCATATTTAATGCCCATGATGCCTGTGTGTCAGCCCATGTCATTTTGTCTGACGTTTAAGGAATCCTGATGGTTAGTAGAGCTTCATTCTTTAAGTTGTCTTTCTCATATATGTTATCACTATTCTGGCTAGTAAACATTTCATGTCCTGCTGCTTTGCTGACTTGGATTCTGAAAAAACGTGCAAATCTGAAAGAAGTAACTTACACACAACATGAAAGCAGAAATATCTTGAAAACAATTGGCAATGTAGGTCTCTGGCCACAACAATCACCTCAAGGATGAAAACAAACCCTAAATACAGATGTAAATACCGTATTCGACGTAATAAGCGCCCAGGGCGCTCTCAAAATTAGAAATAGGGGACTCTTATAGAATATCATTTTGGTGAATAAAATAAAGTTGAAAGATAAATTTCGTGGTTTATGCTGATAGCCTGAAATGTTTATGTACGACAGATCTATTTTTCCAGGATTTAATTGCCCATAAGTTAGAGTGCCTATAACGCACGAGTGGGTATTATATGCGAAAAGGGGTCGGAAGGGGTGTTAACTGGGATTGTTCACTAGCCAATATATCAGCAAATCTCGACCTGGGCGCTTATTAGAGTGGGGCGCTTATTACGTCGAATACGGTACAGGTCATGTATCTACACTGTCGAGGCAGTGGGGTAGCCTTGTGGTTAAAGCATTCGCTTGTTACACTGAAGGCCCGGGTTCCATTCCCAAAATGTTCATAGTAGTTATTTTTATGATCATGAGATCAATTCAGAGTGATATTCTGATGATCTACTTCAATCAATGATTGACTGGTTACCTTAAAAGATCCATGATTGATTGTAAGTGTCAATAATTGGTTGTGGAGAAAAACATATTTATATATTAACTCATGATAGGTAGATCTTTTTTATCCCAATCAACATGATCTATGTTCAACCGTCCATTCAATCCATACGTAATCAAAATAAAGACACATATAATCACATTCGAAAATATGCAAATACAGTATTTAAAAAAGAATAACGATAAATCTTGTCCATATTTTATATCACTAGCCTACATAAGTTTGTTGTATTTATTGTATACTTTAAAAATCCAAGGTGAATAAACGAGACGGTATTCGTGGAATTTGGAGGGGTGGAAATAGGAACACGCCCGTGACCTACTTATTGTGCATGAACACCAGACCATGGGGCATAGTTAATAGCTATACTTTAACTGAAATAGTTTGAGATCAAGTTACTCCAAAGAGGCATGTGTTCATTGTCTACCTGCTTAATCAACCCGTCTGAAACGGAGTCTTGTTTATGTCGTCTGCTTGAACCGGAAGTTTGCTGCCGTAAACCTATACAATATCTGTTACCACATTTCATTATTAAAGTACTTGTTTATTTTTATTAGATCTGTATGATTTGACCCCCCATCACGTTTAATGCTAAGCTTTGCATGCTTTCTTAACATTGATAAATACAGAATATATTTACGACATACTGCAGTCGAGAATCCCGACGCACCCACAGGCCCCTGAAGCAGGATAGTGAAAAATGAAACACTGGACCCATATATATATATAAATAGAGCGCGGAGATTTTTGTATACTTCCGTGACCCACAGCCGCGACTGAGCCAATATGTCGATAAAATCGCCCGATATAGGTAATAAATTGCCAAAAATAAAGGTTTGTGGCATGCAGGTCGTATTTGGAAGGAGGTGTGGAGGTATTGTGAACATGACATGCACACATTTCCATTTAATTTAAACGATACAGCCGATTTCAACTTCGGCCAAGATGGCGAGTGACGTACCTTGTCTATTTATATATATGGGTCCAGTGTTTCAGTTATATCACTATCCTGCTTCAGGGGCCTGTGCGCTATCTGTCCTCAGATCTTTGTTTAGCGGTAGCGAAAACTAAAATCTGATTTTAATGAGATTGAACAAGTTTAAACACCTTCGCTTTCGTGATGTACAATATAGTCGATATTAGCATCTTCACAATTTGTGAGCTTTTGTTTGCAGTATCTATGCAGTAAATTATTAGATCTAATTTAAACTCTCCACGGTCGAACTTGATATTTATTGACTTGAAAACTGGAATCTTACGCACTTTAGGATTTTAGTGGTAGATGGTTTATCACGTTGTGAGAGTGGTGTCCCTTTGTTGACACGATGCACGTTTTTAATATATATATATACCGTCAACATGGTCAAGGAAGAAAGAAAGGCTGTTTTAGATGATCATGACATCCCCATGCGTATTTATGACAATCTAATAACCTGTTAGTAGACTACTAGTAACTTTTGTCTGTTTAATATGATATTCTGAACTGCAATATCCTAAAATGAGCAAGAAATTGAAATTCAGGGGTGGATTATAGGACAATTGTTTCCTTTTTCATGGTCAAATGTGCGTTCAGTGTTCATTTCAAAGTTGAATTGAAAAAAATACCAAAAAAACATTTGTTGTATTTTAAGTTCATCTCGAAACCTTCTGGAAATAATTTGAAGAAATACTATAGTAGGTATAGTTATATAAAAATTTCAAATGACTATACTTTCTTGTAGATCTATTTCACTAGTCCTGCACCCTGACTGTGGAATATATTTATTTTATGAAAAATAAGCACAATCTAGAAACGCATACAAAAGCAGCCAGCTCTAGCTAGCTCTATCAGCATAGGGAAAAATGTTTTTTTAAATATTTTTAGTGTCAAGAAGGATGTTGTGTAATATAAGGTTTCATAGACTTAGTCTAGTATTTCACACATGCTAGCAAAGAGCCCTTTTAAGTAAGTGTTTCACACTTATACGTACTTTGTGACGTAAGCAAACCGCGCTCTCACAATTATCCGATCTTTTTTTTAAAAGCATCTATTTTTTAATCCCTGGGAGGGCTTCGACACTCTGCACTGTTGTAAAATTGGTTTTGCTTACACTTAAAATTAGCCTAGATGCGCTCCTGTCTCTCCGACTAACTTAACTGAGAGTGAGTGAGTTAGTTACGTTTAATGTCGTTTCGAAGAGTATTTAACATCACCCCCCTGATGTGTAAGTATTAAATGTCATGTGACAGAAACATTAATTTTCGTGGGTTCGAATCCCGGTTCGCCCCGATTGTGTTTCAAGGTTTATCAGCACCATACCCGCGCACGTGGGTTTCACCGAAGTGGTAAACGTCTGAGCCTTGCATCACTTCGGGCTTTCCTCCCACATTAAGCTGACACGCCTTGATTTAACTGGAATGCTGTTAAAAGCGGCGTTCACCGTAGGGCTACAAGGTGCAATAGGGCGGATTGGAAAGGTAAAGTCAGGTTTTGTCTATAAGGTTTTCGAAAGAACAGATTTTCGAGATATAATTCCAGGTCAGAGAGGAGAGGTGAAATGGAGTTTACGTCGCGTCCAAGATTATTGCACTTATATTTCGACGTGCGTGTGTGCGTGCGTGCGTCCAAGATTATTGCACTTATATTGCGACGTACGTGCGTGCGTGCGTGCGTGTGTGTGCGTGTGTATGGCTGCTTGTATAATGCCGAGTTTATAGTGCTAGCCCACTGAGATATCATGTCAGGGTTTAACATGAATACCCCACTCAAACACTAGGCGACGAGTCCTTTTTTAGCCCCTCAATGCCGAGCGCCAGACAGGGTAACAACAAGTACCATCTGTATGTCTGGTATGACGCGGTCGGGGACGCTCTAGCACGAGGCCACGGAGGCGGACCCCGAAGCCCCGAAGCCCCTCAGAGCGCTCAGTCTGAACAAGTCCAAATTGCCCCTGTAATACGCTGCTTGGGTGGATTGCTCCAAATTTGTTTTTTTCTCACGAGCTGCCCTTTATACCGGTATAGTGAGTGAGTGAGTGAGTGAGTTGGGTTTAACGCCGCTTTTAACAGTATTCCAGTTATATGCCGGCGCGTCAGCTTAATGTGGGAGGAAAGCCCGAAGTGATGCAGGTGTCAGACGTTTACCACTTCGGTGAAACCCACGAGCACGGGTATGGTGCTCAAATCTCGGCGAACCGGGATTCGAACCCACAATCATAGGTTTCTGGCGTGCCCAAGGGACGCAACTCTACACAACCAAACGCGGCGCCTTAAACGACTGGGCCACCCGTGTTCCCTAGTACAGGTGTAATTATGTAAACAATATGTTAAGTTCCTTTGAATATCCTGATGAGAATAGATGCAGGCCCCCAGCAACGTACATACATACATACATACATACATACATACATACATACATACATACATACATACATACATACATACATACATACATACATACATACATACATACATACATACACACATACATACATACATACATACATTTTTAACATTATTCCAGTTATATCACGGCGTGTCAGCTTAATGTGGGAGGAAAGCCCGAAGTGATGCAGGTCTAGGACGTTTACCTCTTCGGTGAAACCCACGAGCACGAGTATGGTGCTGACAAACTTAGAAACATAATCGGGGCGAACCAGGATTCGAACCCACAATCATAGGTTTCTGGCGTGCCCAAGGGACGCAACTCTGCACAGCGAATCGCGGCGCCTTAGACGACTGGGCCACCCGTGCCCCCAGCCGGAATATAGAAGAGACCGCCGTTAAGCATCAAACACACGTGTTCTAACTCAGCTTCGATGTCGCCTCAGCTGAAAGTTTCTTCCGATCTAGTTTACCCGTACTGGTAAGTGGGAATGCTTCGAAGAAGACTACATATTTGGGGACAACATTGAGAGTTGAAGTCTGAGCAAGTGCAAGCTCCTTCCTACAGAACATGATGACGTCTTCCGTCGTTGTTTCAGCGCCGGCTTGAGGCTGCACGCACGCACAGATCTCATGATGCATGACCTGGTCGGGAACTGGAACAATGGCCACCTGCTGCACCCCGGGACACGCCATCAGCACCTTCTCCAGCCACGTCGGGTAGAGGACATAGGAGCCGTGCATGATGGCGTCGGAACTTCTTCCTTCCACTGCCACACTGCCATCTTTGTTCATATATCCAATATCACCTGTGTGGAACCAGCCGTCGGTAACAGGAATGGGTTCATCACCGGCGTAACCCATACAGAGAGTTGGAGACTTGACCAGGACTTCTCCACGACTCTCGTTGTGCAGAGCTGTCGTGGACTCGCAGTCTACTTTCAGCTGTACACCTGGGAGAGGGTACCCAACGGTGAAGTCTCTGAAGACAGCAACACTGTCGATGTCCACATTCAGGGATGCAATATACCCTAACTCTGTGGCACCGTAGACTATCTGAAGTGAGTCTGCAAGGAACCCAACTGCACAAAGGTTCGCTCGTTTGATCGGCTGGCCTCCAGTGATGATTTTCTTGAATGGTGGTCTATTAAACCCCTTCTTCTTAGCTTGTTGGTACAGCAGTTCAACATGAATTGGCACAGCGTTAAATACACTGACGTCCTCTTCATTAACGGCATTCCACATCAGAGAAGCGAAATCCGTTATTGGTCCAGCTCCAGCGTCAACCAAAACGCGAGTGCAGCCAGTGTACAGGAAGTGTGCTGGGTACCCGCCAGCCCACCCTAGAGGCGACGAGTGATATATCTTGTCGGGTGCACTGAGTTCAGTACATCTACTGAACATGTACCCACTGTTCAGGATATTTCTATGTGATTGTTTCACCAGTTTCGTGTAGCCCGAGCTACCAGATGTTGTAAATATTGTCGCAAGGTCCGTTGACTTTGTGCGATCATAGACGAATAACTGTTCTGATCTCAAACCTGCCAAGAAGCCTTCGCTGTGCCTTTGAATTCGGCAAAGCTGAACAATTTCCAAATCTTTGACAAAATCCGACGTAACCTTTAAGAGGTCCTTTCCTGATTCCAGAATAGTAAAATGTTTCTGTAAGAGGCCCCAAGCGCTGTCCGATCTTTCAAGATCGGAAATTAAGATCTTACACCCTACACTGTTGATGCTTTCTGCTAGATCACACCCATCTTCTCGTAGAACCTGCCCATTCATAGACACCCCTCCTGCCAGATGGACTCCGAACTCCACAACTATTCTCTCAGGACTGTTCGGGAGAGCAATACAGACGACCTCACCAGGCTTCAACCCTCCCTTGGTCAGTCTGGACGCAAACCTACTGGACAAGTCCAACACGTCCCCCCTTGAGAGGGTGAACCTGCCATTTGAACTCCTGAAGATGAAAGCAGGTTCATGGGAATCAGTCTGTCCCCAATACTGGATTCTGTCCACTATTGTTTCATCTGTAAACCCTTGGCGGTCAGTGTGTGCCATATTAGCTTGTAGCTGAAACAATATACACTTTTGTATATCCAATATAGTTTGTTTAGTTTGTTTGTAGTTGTTTAACGCCGCACTCAGCAAATTCCAGCTATATTACGGCGGTCTGAAAATAATTGAGTCAAGACCAGACAATCCAGTGATTTACATCATGAGCATCGATCCATGCAATTAGGATACGATGACATGCGTCAACTAAGTCAGCGAGCCTGACCACCCGATCCCGTTAGTGGCCTCTTACGACAAGCATAGTTGCCTGTAGCCAACCGTGAAGCGGCCGCAACCGTGATAAGTCCCTATGTCAGCCAGTTAGCTGGGTCACAGTTTGACCTGCGTTTACTGTTGCGAAAATAACCGCGTGACCTTGACCTGTTATTGCCACAGACGGTTCCGCCCTTGATTGGGACAGCTAATCCACATCAAACATACGAACTGTAAGCCACGTAAAGTTGCACATGTGTCATGGTGATATGAAAACTATTACCTCCATCAACACCCGATACTCATTGTGGACATCTCAAGACGGGCATAGGTACAATCGGCAAACCTCGCCCCTTTCCGTAACCGCAAAGAAGACTCGCGTTTAAACGTGAGAAATAGAGTCACTATTCGTGTCCAACTCGTGTTGTTACGGAAAAGGGCGAGTGGTAACGAATGATGGGGTCACATGTCCCCATACAGCAAACAGGCCTCTGCCCAAACACGACCACGGATGCACAGTATTGCGTCTCTGTGTTTAGTTGTCGTTAGTCATACATATACGTTGGTTACTTATTCCGTTTTTATCCGAAATATATTCAAAATATACTTGTATACACCGTTTTGAAAATAGTTCCAACCTGTTGACTGCAAACAGTTATTTACATTGCTAATACATATATTAGTGATATATCGTCGTCACACATCGCTACCAGATTACCAGCTTTATGCAGGTTTTTTTCCGAATGACAAGGCGTTCATGGTCGCCGACAGCAAGCTAGGATGTTTTCATCACGTGGCGGTCATATGCTGGCGAGGTCGACGGGTCAAATTTAGTCAAGGCTTACACCGTTACAAGTCACCACGGCGGTCATGTGTGCAGAAATGTCGGGTCGTTTTGAGACGGGACGTATTATACCATGAAATTTCCACGGGCTGTAATGGTAAAATGTTCAAACGAATCAAAAGTGGGACAATATAGTTACCTGTGTCGTACACCTGCCGTCCAAATGAATTCAGCTTTCCCTTAGTGCAGCCAATTGTTTGTTATCTCTTTTCCCTTTGACGGTGTTAGGTCACAGAAAAAAAATAGTATTTTATCAGCACTTGATAAAAATATACACAAAGTTAACGTGACACATTGCCAGCCTTGGATCGAGGCAAACTCACACAGTCAACAGAGCATTGATGCAGGGTGGATACCTCAGCCTCTTTGAGGAATATGACGGCGGGGACACCGGAAAATGGGCTTCACATATTGTACCCATGTCGGGAATCGAACCCGGGTCTTTGGCGTGACGAGCGAACGCTTCAACCACTTGGCTACCCAACCGCCCCTACCGCCTCATTGATTAGAATTCCATTTCTGAGGAAGGATTAGCCGGAGGTGCTGCAACGTTGCTAACGTCGTTCCATTTCATCCCTGACATGTGGTAGGGGCGGTTGGGTAGCCCAGTTGTTTGAGCGTTCGTTTCATTCCTTTTCTTTTGCTTTTGTGGACAAAAGCCCCACGGCGCACAGAGGCATTAATACAATGCAGATATTTCGTCGAAACCGCATTATCAGTGGTTCATATTGGGAAAGGGAGGTCACTCTAATTTCAAACGGGAGCTATCTCCGTTGTTTTCGTATTTGCGAGTAATGGCGTCACCCACGCTGTACGTACGTTGTTGGTCCAGCTATTAAATGCCCAGCTTATCCCTAAGGTAAACGTATTCTTAATTAAATGTTTGAATGCATTATATATTTATGTTTCCATCCGTACATCTTCTAAGATTGGTTTAGTGCTGATAAACATTTTCTAAAATGTGGGACCACATCTTTCCCGTGATCTATGGTGTTCGAAACAAGTGGGCCCACGTACATTTGTATTTCGCCTAGCTTCGTTAGGTTGTTTCGTTAGTTCTGATAATCAATTCCTAAATGTGGGCAGACGTTCTTCCGTCATATTGATTGCAACAGGAGGGACCACATTTATTAATCGCGAAATTCTACTTAAATATTGAAAATCATTTTCTCAAATGCGGGCCCACATTGTTCCCGTCATATATGGTGATCGAAACAAGTGGGCCCACATTTGTTTATCGCTTAGTGGGTTGACGTTCTTCCGTCATAGTGATTGCAACAGGAGGGACCACATTCCAAAATCGCTAAGCTTCATTAGCTTGGCTTACTTAAAACCATTTTCTAAAATGTGGGCCCACAATGTTCCCGTCTTATAGTGATCGAAACAGGTGGGCCCTCAAATGTAAATCGCTGGGTTTCATTGGGTTGACAGAAGTCATTTAGGCTAGTGGGCTCACATTTGCCATTACTTTGCATGGGTATGTGACATTATATATTATTTATATTTTCTAATATTGATGGGAAATATCTTTATAAATCATTTCGTGTGACGTTAATTCCACGAAAGGCACAAACATCTTTGAAGTTTGAATAACGTCATCATAGCTGACCACACTAGTTTTACAAAAATAGTTACAAAGCAAGAAACTTAAATCTACTTCAAATTAAATTTACAGAGGCAATACCACCCATTCTACCTTTTCCAGTATAACACATCAATCTGATCATAAGTGTTGGTGGCGATATAAGCCTGAAAATATGTCTACGCTTGAATTGACCTCGGACATGATACAAGCCTCAAACTTGTTCCATAAAAGGAATAACTCATGAATATTAATGACCCCACCACCTAGTTTGGCGATGTTCGTAGAAGTGAGTTCTGCTGTATTGCCATCGCATTTGTACATTTTAATCCAATTATAAGTCATAATAATTATTTTAAATAGACAAAATAGCAGTTCGTAATGCGGGTTTGTTTACGTAGTACATATTCTCAACAACAAGTGCGTTCAGTTTCGAATGTGGACCCACCTCGAACTTTCGATTAGGCAAACGGAGTTAGCTCCCTTCTCGAACCACCGATAATGCGGTTTCGCCGATATTTCTTTATCCTTTCGAAGCCTAGTTCGTTTTTGAATACACATTTTCGGCAACCAGTCCTCAAACTTTCAAGAGTGAAATTCTTGCCTTATTTCTCCCTAGGAATTTTATTCCATTTCCCGACAAGTATGACTTTTGAAAGAAACTATTTCACCAATGATATTGGTGTTATTGCACTGCATATGTTTCTTGATACTTTTCCATATTTTTCATAAATAATCCTTAACAAAGGAACTCTTTATATTGGCAAGTCTCCAGGCACGGTATAGCTCATTTATCACAACACTATTCAAACCCAGCAGCCCTTAGCAAGTTCAGTCATGCGCATACCATTGTGTCCAACGAACATACGAGAAGTGGTTCATGTGAGACGAGAGCTGTGAGGTATGTACCCCCTTGGCACACTTGCTTGAAACAAACAAAGGACGTCACAGCTCTCTCTTCTCTCGTTTAAAGGTAAGAAATGTTTAAATATTAGTGTTTTTTACGTCTAAAGTAGAATTGTTTTCGGTTCAGTTTGAATCAGTACTCCCGTGTAACGATATTTAGGCAATAACACCTTATGGTGTGTTAAGTGTGTTGTCGTTGGTTCCTCCAGTTATATCTTTGAAATGTGAAATCAATATTCCTTTTCTATGTTTCGACAACTATATTCTTTGTTCATCAATATATGTTCAAATGCATATACAGCCTGTATGCTAATTTAATTACCGTAGTCATTTAAAGACAGTCAGCAAAGTACATTCAAACGTGCATCGATTAAGTATACAATTACGGTACTCTCTCAATTATCTGTTATTATCTAGCTCTCTCAATATATAGTAAAGCAACGTCTAATCGTAATACATTACAGTAGTCACCAAAATCATCGCTACTGAACTTACTATGTCTCGGTAAAACTGAGCTATACCTTCTACCGTGTACCTTCTTCCCAATACGTGGTTATTTTCTTTACCGTACTCTCCGAAATTAGTACGTCGGTAAATTTATTACAAAAAAACAACAGGTATGAATGTTTACCGTCTTTACCGTAGTAAATGTTATGTTTTCACCCAACCCTGCCATTCGTCACAACTCGCCCATTTCCGTAACCTGCAAGTAGACTCGTCCCCCTATCGATGAATGTTATGTGCGAAAATACGACAAACCAATCAGAATGCGCGTATGATTTCAAGTTCTTCGTCAAAGAATCCCTCAGAAATAATTTGTTATTTTATATATGTCTTGCATCTTAAAATATACCCAAGACACAGTTATATGTGTTCAATCATACTGTATAATTCCGCATTTCCCGCTGTGCTGTAGCTCTATACCGAACCGCCGCTTTTTACAGTTGTTATCCATAAAATTGTGTCTACCTTGTCACCCAACCACTCTGCGCAGTTTACCGTATATGCTCTAGGTATGTATTCCCATTATTCAAATTAATATGAACAAGTCATACATATTTACCGTAGTTAACAAAATAGGCGCTCGATGAGTGAGTATGGTTTTACGCCGCTTTTAGCAATACTCCAGCAATATCACGGCGGGGGACACCAGAAATGGGCTTCACACATTGTACCCATGTCGGGAATCGAACCCGGGTCTTCGGCGTGACGAGCTAAAGCTTTAACCGCTAGGCTACCCGACCGCCCCGATACCACATATAGAGTTGTCTCCTTATAGTTACTCAATTTATCTGTAAACTGTTGTCATTATCGTAATTACTTTAGTAAAGGTTGCATTAATTGTATAGTAACTCTGTGTTCATTTACCGTACATACTCCAATATAACAAACATAGTATTTATTCCCAGGCTTAGATTGAAACTGTATTAGGATATTACTATCATCATTATTATCATTGTGATATTATTTTAATTAACCGTACAAACGCCAATTCCCCATACCTAGTATTTATTCCCAGGCTTAAATTGGAAGTGTATTAGGATATTATCATAATTATTATTATCATCGCATGTAATTATTTGATACGAATTAATGTATTTTGAATGATATGACCACACACTTGCTAGAATATACCCAAAGAATTCACAGCTCTCTCTCCTCTCGTTTCAAGGCTTGCTCCCAATAGGTACTTCCCCATATCGAGGCCTGACAGTACTTTGGTCACTTATAGTTTACAAGGGCGTACGTTTCGGCCCTCGCATGGTAGTTCAGGGTGATGACGGAAGACAAAACTCAGGGGTGAAGTTTAGACGACAGCAGCCATGTTTATTGCTATTTCAAGCCTACTTTGCTGTGCTAAAATATGAGAAGACTTTCACACATGTGATTAGTCCAATCAGAACACGTTTGACATAATCAACATCCGGGTTCCGAAAACGTCGCTGTTATGGCTACAGCCCTCACCTATCGAAATTTGGGCTGAAGATATTTCAAATATTAAGCGAAGGCAAATAGTTCCGAAGTGGTTCAAAGTTTTCAATTAACAAGTACTTTTTTATATTAAAATTTGAGGGTAAACGTCATTGCTTTTTATCTGCAAAGACTGAACGCGTATCTCAGTGACTGAGATGCAATGCTATTTTTAGTCAACCTCTGCTGAGCGTTTCATGTTACCGCGATGTGCAATCATTATGTTACTTAATACAGTAAACTACGGTTATAACGAACACGCTTATAACGAACTGACGGATATAACGAACTTACTTTTAGGTCCCGACTATATGATGTAGTTATGCTGTATATATGCTTATAACGAACTACGGTTATAACGAACTAAAATTAGTGGTCCCTTTGAATTCGTTATAACCGTACTTTACTGTACTGTGTTGTCTGCACGCCTCTACTATTAAAGGGGCGACATGCGGCTGTAGCATGTAACTTTCCTGTGATCATTTTGTGTGGCTGTCAGGGATGAAAGCTCAAATGTTTTCATTATCGGATCGACCAGGTAGTCATTGTGTAGCTATGTGGCGTTTTTATTACAAAGGACATAATTCGAGATCTACACAGGGTGGCGCCACGATCGAGCCAAGAAGGGTACAAAAGCCTAACGGTATCACTTTGGAAGCAAAACTTGATTTTTTTAAATCGAAATTTCTTTTCTTTTCAATTATTGCTTTATTTTTGTTTCAAAACTCAAAAATTTTAATTTTTTCCCGTTGCTTCGATTATTTTCTCGTAATGTCAATTTTTTTTTTTTCATAATATAATAGTTCGATCTTTTAAAATAAACTTGTAATAACGAAGTAACGAGGGAACAAACCGAAGAAATAAGAAAAAAAATCAAAATTTCGAGTATTTGAAATATATTTGAAGTAACAAGAAAATCATCGAAATAACGAGAAAATAATGGAAGTAACGGGAAAATCTTGAAGTAATGAGAAAAAACTAAAATAAGAAGAATAAACTTGAAGTAACGAGAAAATAATTGAAATGACAAAAACTTTTACAAGTAATTTAAATTACGAGAAATATATATTTCTAATATGATATTCAGGGTAGGAAGGCCCAGCTTATAAACTCTGTGTCTACAATAACGAGTAAGAAACATTTAAATCAATATATGGTGAAGAAAAGCCAAAGATTAATTTGTATTAAACTCGTTTAAACGTCATTCGCAAAACACAATTATACGTGTAGGTAGACCTTATATAGATCCCCATTTTACAAGTTATATAGGCATTAATTATGCACCAGTTTAGGGCATATTGAGAAGGCGAAGCGCAATTTGTGCATATCATGTGCATATGTATGTTACTGAAGTTAAGTCACGTGAACGAATTAAGATAGGACTTAGAAACAAGTCCTAATATTTCTGGTCCGGTGGGGTAGCCTAGTGGTTAAAGCGTTCGCTCGTTACGCCGAAGACCCGGGTTCGATTCCCGATATGTTAAAAGCCCATTTCTGGTGTCCCCCGCCGTGATGTTGCTGGACTATTGCTTAGGCGACGTAAAACGATACTCACTCACTTTAATATTTAAATTATTAAACGGATTAATCATTCTTCAAAGTAACATTGTTTTAATTCCACATGGGCATAGTTACAGTAATGGATATTTACAACCTGTTACAATTGTTAATGTGACAGAAATCTAAAGGAACTCACGAGATGACTTTCAGTTATTGTACTTACTCCAAGTACAGCTGCCTACACACATCACAGGTCAGTGAGTGAGTGAGTGAGTGAGTGAGTGAGTTGGATTTAACGCCGCTTTTAACAGTTTTCCAGTTATATCGCGGCGTGTCAGCTTAATGTGGGAGGAAAGCCCGAAGTGATGCAGGTCTAAGACATTTACCACTTCGGTGAAATCCACGAGCACGCGTATGGTGCTGACAAACCTAGAAACATAATCGGGGCGAACCGGGATTCAAACCCACAATCATAGGTTTCTGGCGTGCCCAAGGGACGCAACTCTACACAGCGAATCGCGGCGCCTTAGACGACTGGGCCCCCCAGGCCCCCCACAGCTCAGTGATACGTGTATCTATGTCCATCCCACTAGCGAATTCTTTCTGAATGGAGTGTTGCATGTTTAATGTGTTTACATATATTAATATCCCACGCATTTTTACACCAGTCATGAAATGTACCATGGTGTCTTGCAGGAGATACATCTAAAATGGAAGAAGCATGCAAAGACCAGACTATTGCTGACAGAATCAAGCTTTGGGGAGAAACAGATCCACACACACCTGCCTTTATTTTCTGGAGTCCTAACGGTAGATGTGTCCTGTCTCGGGGCGATGTCCTGGATCTGTCGAGAAGATTTTCCGCCAGGCTGACTCAGAAAGGTGTCCAGCCGGGCGATGTGGTGTGCGTGTCTCTTCCGAACAGTCCAGAGAGAGTTGTGGTGGACTTTGGCGTGCAGCTGACGGGTGCTGTGTCCATGAACGGACAGATTCTACGTTCAGATGGGCAAGATATCCTTGAATCAATGCGCAAAGCAAAATGCAAAGTCTTAGTTATTGATCCAGATGAAGGGAATGATGCATGGAACATATGCAGGAAACATGTGTCCATTGTATCTGAAGACCAACACATGCCTATCGCCACGAGTGTGGAGGTCCCAACACTGGCTAACATTGCATTTTGTAAAACCAGAAAACCAGAGTCGTTATTCCTGAAAACTCTCCCTTCAATAGAAACTAGCATCATGAACATCCCGAAGCACAAGCCAACTGATGTTGCCTACATATTTGCAACTTCCGGCACCTCAGGGTACAGTAAACTTGTTCAGCATACTCACAGGTCTCTGATGGTGATGTGCTTCAGACTGACTGAAGATACAGGAATGAAAGACAAGCATAGTAAAAGCTTCAGTAGTGGTCCTCTTGGGTGGATTGGGGGCTTCCCAGTATATTACCTTTATTCCGGGTGCCCCCAGGTATTGATAGATGATACAGCCGAGGCTGTGTCCGATAGACTCCAATTTATTTGGGATGTAGCCTGCAAAGAAGACATCCAAGTTTGTACCCTCGCCCCTTTTCAGTTTATGGGCATTCTTGGACGCAGGGACATCTGGGAGTCCTCAGGAAAGAAACTTCCTATGATTGTAACGGGAGGACAGCCTCTTCACAGAGAGTATCTGGATACCATTGGACAGCTTACAGAATCCATATTTTGCCTGTATGCCTCAACAGAGGTTGGGTATGTTGCTGGCATCGGTTTCAGGGAATCCAATCTGAGCCTTTTCAAGGAAAACATGGCAGGGGTTCTTGCTTCAGGTGTGGAGGCCAAAATAGTTGATTCAAATATGGCCAGTGTGGCAGAGAACACTCGTGGAGAAATTCTCATACGTTCAGAGACAATAACTGCAGGATATGTTGATGTTCCTGATAAACATCCAGCCTTTCTGTCAGACGGATGGTTCAGAACAGATGATATTGGGTTCATTGACGGCAAAGGTTGTCTGATTGTGGAAGGAAGAAGTTCGGATGCCATCATGCACGGTCAGTACATCCTCTACCCCACATGGCTGGAAGAAAAGCTTGCCAGATGTCCTGGTATTAAGCAGAACTATATTGTTCCGGTGCCAGACAAGGTCATGCACCACGAGATTTGTGCCTGTGTCCAACTGGAGGAGGGAGCTCGCCTTACAGGGGAGGATGTCATAACCTTTGTTAGAGGTGACGTGGCTGAGACCGTGAGGTCGGATATGAATGTTGTTCCAAAGTATGTGTTATTCTTTGATTCGTTTCCTGTCACAAAGACATTGAAGTTGGATCGAAAAGAACTCACCAGGTTTGCCCAAAAGAGGCTGCAGCTGGAGTAGACATCAATAAGGCGTATATTCTATCAGGAGAACACAAGTTTAAGCGTTACATCAAATAATTGTTTGCGTTTGGTGAACAGGGCTCCCTAATGTTAAGGGGGCACGGGTGGCCCAGTCGTCTAGGGCGCCACGATTCGCTGTGCAGAGTTGCGTCCCTTGGGCACGCCAGAAACCTATGATTGTGGGTTCGAATCCCCGTTCGCCGCAATTATGTTTCTAGGTTTGTCAACACCATACCCGTGCTCGTGGGTTTCACCGAAGTGGTTAACGTCTGATACCTGCATCACTTCGGGCTTTCCTCCCACATTAGGCTGACACTACGTGATGTAACTGGAATACTGTTAAAAGCGGCGTTAAACCCAACTCACTCACTCACCCTAATGTTAAACATGACATTTCGATTTTCCTGGCAAGTTTTACATAAATATTAGTGTATGCTTTATTCATCCTATATTTGCAGTGGTTTAGGCAAAGGTGAGACGAGAAGTTTGTTAAATATATTATGTAATGAATCACGAAGGAAATGGGTTGACATGTCACACAACTCACGAATCCAAAATAAAGGGAGGCAACACCCTCCGTGTGTATAGATACATTGTGTTCAGCCAAAGCATCATGTATCAGATGTTTTAACTACATGATACAATCAACAAGAAAACATTGATGCAAAGCATCAAAGTTCCCCGCCATATGTGATGCCTCACAAACGCATAATTATGATGTTACTGAAAGGCATGAAGGAGCATAATTATATTAACCACAAATAACACAACGCTGTTGTGGAAGAAATATTATTTATTTTGAGTATGGGGCAATACAGTTGATACATTTGCATAGGGAAGGTCTATTTAAAAATAGTTTCTTGTTTAAAGCCGCACTCAGCAGTATTTCAGCCATATGACGGCGGTCTGTAAATAATCCAGTCTGGACCAGATCATCCAGTGATTGACACCAAGAGCATCGAACTACGCAATTGGAATACGATTTTTTGCATCGACCAAATCGTCGAGCCTGACTAACCAATCCTCTTCGTCGCCTCTTACGGCAAGCATAGGTTGCTGAAGACCTATTCTAACCTGGGTCTTTATTTAAAAAGTAGATCGAAGGAAATGGAAGCAATGTCAGAAAATTAGTCCTTGAGGGAAAAAGGACATCGGATTACACATGAATGGTTTAATAATGTCAGCTAATGACCAGAAACGGTCAGATGCATCAATTAACTACATAAAGACGATTTTGAAGTATCTCTTATTGCTGGAAAAGAACAGCATCAACATTCCACGCACATGATTTGTAAGTTTTGTTTCCGTAAATGCGTGGCTTGAAATTTCAAATAAACCAACATGTCGACATACATGCTACAAAATTAACGTTTCCCGTATACTTCCCCGCCTTAAGGGCGGGGAAGAATAACTATTATCATACAATTGTAACACATGCATTACTTATGATGTGACAATCATAATTCAGTTGGTTTGGGTTTATAAGTATTATATACACACCCATGTTACAATCAATGTGTAAAATGACTGAAATTTTCACTTAGGCACTATTTTGCCGACTGAAAGGTATTAAGAAGTTCAAAAAGGGATGAAAAAACATAACACTAGAGTTATTATGCTAGGATTAGTAGCAAATTTGTTTATAAAATATACAGAGAATTTCATTTTCTTTTAATCCTATGATATTCAGTCACTGGGTGATGTAATAAAGGATAAAAATGTTTGGAATTAGTTATCATAATATAATATATGGAAAAATAATTGTAAAATGACTTAAATATTTTAAGTCATCCATCTTGTCATACAGTCTTGTGGATATTGTTTGTCACTCTGAATCGTTATACATCACAGATGAAGGGGTTTCACTGGTCTCTTTTCTCTTGCTCAGATGGGTAAATGAGTGGAAGGGAATTGGCAAGTCTACCATTATTGAATGATATCAGCTGGTTCCAGTTTGCCACAACAATTACTCCAGCAATGAATCTATTGCTGAATGATCCTTGCTGAAGCGCTGATGCTATTTGTCCAAGGGAAGACAACTGTATTATTTCTGATGTATACACCTGGAAATTAAGTTATCAATCGTGAAGAAAAAAACAGTTTGAATTGGAACATTATCATTTACTCTGAGGGGGCACGGGTGGCTCAGTCGTCTTAAGGCGCCGCGATTCGCTGTGCAGAGTTGCGTCCCTTGGGCACGCCAGAAACCTATGATTGTGGGTTCGAATCCAGGTTCGCTCCGATTAAGTTTCTAGGTTTGTCAGCACCATACCCGTGCTCGTGGGTTTCACCGAAGTGGTAAACGTCCGCGACCTACATCACTTCGGGCTTTCCTCCCAAATTAAGCTGACACGCCGTGATATAACTGGAATAATGTTAAAAGCGGCGTTAAACCCAACTCACTCACTCACTCATTTACTCTGAATTGTTGGTATTATGAAGAAAGACGTGATGTCACAGGCAATGTTTGGTGGGATGTGGGTTTAACAGGGAGTTTTCATGTTTCATAAATTATATTGCTATATATGTTAGGATGTAACTTCGTACATTTCTATTTTTGAGGAAGTCGTCACTCATGTATCGTATTATTCAGAGGAAAATATTCGCCAAAACATGCTCATTTTTCCTACTTTATGTTGATTTAATCAGGTGTTAATTAACAACTTGTATTGTCATGACCCGTGAAGATCCTGGGTAGAATAGGTCTTCAGTGCTGATTTAATTTCAGAGCTGGAAACTGGATGTGAATAAGCTGCTAGATCTGAGAAGGGGATGCGAGTGAAATTGGGGTGAATGGTTTATTAGATATATCCTTTGGAGCCAGTAAGAGGCAAGAAATAACTGCAAATGTTCTGTTCACATTATAAGTTTTCAGCTTTGCCATCTTTTAAGTTCCAACTTTGGATAGTCATTTTGGAAAATGTTATTTTTTGTTATTGTCTTCCATCCACCCGCTGCCTCTGAAGCTGAACATGGAGGTGAGGAAAACCATGAAATGATATGGATGTCCTCACAGACATGCACGTGCAGGTGCCATATCGGCAGTAAAACTGGGAGAAGCATGTTGTGTACTGGGGCTGCAACGGTTCACCAATACTTCGATTCGGTTCGATTATTTCCATTCGATTCGATTATTTTCGATTCGATTCATTAGTCTAATAATATGCAATAAATAAGTAACAAAACGTGTTTTTACTTTATTTTTTTATTGAACAGTGCAACTCTGTGCAGCAACAGGACAAACTCATCACCTCAGACTGTGAGGTCAATCAGGTCATCAGGGATGATCATGTTTTTGGATAAAAACACAAGCATGTCCACATTGTCACTACTGAGGTTAGCCCTCTGAGCAATCACAACATCCCCGGCTGTTGAAAAGACCCTCTCACTAGCCACACTTGAGCCCAAACCTTAGTTTTAAGATGACTTGGGATTGGTGACAGCACGTCGTCTGCCATGCTTTCAAAGGGAGGTCACTCTAATCTAATTATAACATTGTGTTGACGTAATATTAACAAAATCAGTATTTCACGCCTCTGCGGGGGTAAGTTTCAAAGGCAGCATTCATCACAAACTGATGCGTGGATGGATGCTCATGATGTCAATCAACGAATTCTCGTCCAGACTGGATTAATTTATTTACAGACCGCCGTCATATAGCTGGAATATTGCTGAGTGCGGCGTTAAACAACACAAGAACACAAACTGAATGTAAACACCATGAATAGGTCGGACATCAATACAGAGAATGTGCACTCGGAACTACTCGGGTGAGTCCGTGGTGAATGAGTCTATTGATCTATATTGGCGTCTCCACGCGGTATTGATTCGTGTGAATAGACGAACAACTGGTATCGCCGCGCTGTTGTACATAGTGTTGCTGTGCTTTCGTTACGCTACACTATAACAGAAGGGAGCTTGTGCTGTTAGCCACGGCTGTACGACAGTGTGCCTAGGTTTTCTGACGTTTATCAGGTGAGAGGTCTACAAGGTACGTATCACTAGATTGGGTGTATCTGTTTCCTAACTACTCCTATTGGGCCAGGGAGACGCTGTTGAGGGCAAGTGATCCTTTAACCGGTTTAAGATACAGACAGTACGTAGTCCAGTTAGTTTCGTATCTTTGTGTGGCCAGCTTTATGGGACAATAGGGACACTTTATAAGTAACAGCTTCTGGTGTATTGCATATAACGACGTTTCGATGTGAGGTGAGGTGAGGACGCTCTACCACTAGACCACGGAGGCGGTCGACCTTTCGATGTAGGTTCATACACCGTTATGTAGATTGACTACGATCAAGTGATAAGAGGTACATTTACATGATATATTGTGATAAGCAGCAGATTAATATTAACAACCGGTAATAGATGACAAGGATGAAACCAGATTTAAATATGAAAAGAAAAAATGAAATGTTGTTTTTTACTATCAAGCTGGAGTGACGACAACCACGTGACGAGAGGTACAGATGGTACAGTCAATATGTTTATTGACTCAAAAATTCAGTCAATATGTATCTCGAATGATTCACTTAGGCAATGTACATATTGACTGAAATTTTCAGTCAAAAATGCTCATAAATTTTCAGACTGAAATTTTCAGTCAAAATACAGATTGCCTGTAAAATGAGAGCAGATTGATTGAAATGGAATAGACTCCCTAATTTAATCTCCTCATTTAATTTGGATCTATTTTGATCTTACGAAGATGTGTTTCAGTTCTGTAACAGCACTACCGATGGCATCTTATGACAAGCGAAGGTAGGGTAATTTAAGCGAATTCATTATAAGACTTTGTGCTATCTGATTCACGTTTAAAGATATGTTTACACGCAAACGGAAGACGACAACCAAAGCTCAAGGCACGAAGAAGCACAACGGAGAGACGTTGACTGACGCTAAAGGCACGAAGACGCACAACGAAGAGACGTTGTCTCAGGCTAAAGGCACGAAGACGCACAACGAAGAGACGTTGTCTCAGGCTAAAGGCACGAAGACGCACAACGAAGAGACGTTGTCTCAGGCTAAAGGCACAGTAACGCCCGAGGAGGCGTTGGCTCGCACTGCAAGGATAAAGCAACACAATGAGGAGACGTTGGCCCAAGCTACCCCGGGAGACATGCTGAAGTTTGACCGAGGAATCTACTGTCACTGGGCGCTATGCATAGGTAGGGAGCTACACTGTTTCGTCATAACTAAATGTCGTGATGCATCGAGTGAATATATAAGACGCTCTGTGTGATTGTTTACATGTGCATAAACACAACGGGGACATATTCCAGTTTATAATGGATCCCCTATACGTTTCATACAAGGCAACTATATTGAAATATTGGGATAGTGTTCATCTTCCCGAGGCAAGGGAGTTAACTGACTATAAAAGTCCAGTTTCCACCCTTGCCGAACTAGGCTGGGATTATGGAGTTACAATTTGGCTGGACTAACGAGTCTATGCATAGTCCAATCAAAATCGCGCACCGAAATCGAAATCCGGTTCGTAAAGTGTCATGCAGATTTCGGTCGACTGCAGGATTTGCAAAGCATATGCCCCGCTAACTCGTCAACAGATATTTTCTAAATCTGTTCATGCTTTTAATCAAGGTGCTCACGTGATTTGATGCACTTCGCGATGTAAGACTCGTTTTATCACAATATAGATCTTGATTATCAATCAGATCGTCTTGACTTGGCGCCACCGTTTTGTTTGAAGCAAATGCAAGTGATACGAGAGGATAAATCTGATTGGTCAATAGGAGAGGCATAGAAAGGACATAACTCGTAATAGCCACTGGTGGCGCTACGATCGAGCCCAGGAATTCAAGCCTAGTTCAGCAAGGGTGGAAACTGGACTTTTAAGGTCAGTTAACTCTCTTGCCTCGGGAAGATGGATTGTGTTGGGCTGGGAATTTGTATGAAGGCTTCTGTTTCACTTTTCAGGCCAGCCAACTTCAACCAAGCGAAGAACTCAGCAGGGTTGCTGATCGTCTCAACACACTGTACATAAACTCGATGCAGTGGTCGTTCAGATAGCCTGTCCTTTAAATACTGATTTTGGGCCGATTTGATGGCATTTCGCTTGGTTGACATTCATTTCTGTAACGTGTAGCAGTACAGAACCACAAACAAAATCAACATTGACATTGATATTATGTTCCACATCCTTGGCTCGTTTAAGAAAACTGTGGATTATGATTATGATCATGATCATTATGATGATGTCACTGGTCTGCCTTGATGTAGCTGGAATAGTGTTCACTGCGGCGACAATCATTCAGTGAAGACTTTCACGTTTGTTTTACCATTTAAGGTGAAGGTCGTGTGATTCACCTTGCGGGCAGGGACGGAGATATGAACGATAACGCCAATGACGTGAAGGTCAGAGAGGACAGTTTCTGGAAGGTTGCTGGAGGCGATGAAGTTGACGTCAGCAATGATAAAGACGACAGATGGGAGTGAGTTCCTGTAGCTTTCTATGATTACAGTTTGTGTGTATTTCAATCTGTCCCTTATCAAGTCATCCTGATATGTGTGAACTATGCAGGATGATCGACGATCATTCAAGGTTTATTATGATTATAAATGTTGGCTGTGCACAAACTATACCCGTATTCGTTGGTTTCACGTCTAATGTGGTAAACGTTTAATACCTGCATCATGCCCGACCTTCTCCCTGCATCAAGCTGACACGCCGTGATATAACTGAAATATTGTTTAAAGTGACGTTACTAGCCAAACTACTTACTAGTAATGCATTTAACAACAATAAACAATACTCACATATATGTCTTCAGCAAATACAAAAACAAAACTACAATTTCTTCATGCCCTTTCTCCCGCTAACTGTTTAACTTTAACACTATTCACACAGGACTCCTTTCTCCTACTTTGTTCATCCATCTTTCATTCATTTTCTATTATTTCTTCCGTTATCCTCATTGACCCATTTCCAGCCTTCTCCTCCCCTTGCCTTTTCTTTCAGTTACCTCACGTACTCTGTAACGCTGTTTCAGTTGCCTCACTTACTCAAACGCTGCTATCAATACGTTTAAGTGAACTGTAGTTAATCTGTTATCTCGCGTACACTCAAACGCTCCTGTCAATACGTTAAAGTGAACTGTACGTTAATCTGTTACCCAACACTCAAACTCAGCTATCAATACGTCTTAGTGAACTGTACGTTACTCTGTTACCTCACGTACACTCAAACGCTGCTATCAATACGTGTAAGTGAACTGTACGTTAATCTGTTACCTCACGTACACTCAAACGCTGCTATCAATACGTCTAAGTGAACTGTACGTTAATCTGTTACCTCACGTACACTCAAACGCTCCTATCAATACGTCTAAGTGAACTGTACGTTTATCTCCCCTTTGACAGTCCGTATCCTCCAGACGAAATCGTTGAAAGGGCGAAATCTCGACTGGACCGGGTTGGCTACAATCTGGTCCTGTTCAACTGTGAACACTTCACCTCCTGGTGCCGGTACGGGAAGAGCCAGAGCGATCAGGTAATGGCGATAGTAATACGTTATACATACATGGGCTGGGACGTAAACTTAACCTTAATTATATAATTGAAGTCCTCATACATAAATCAAATCTCTCGTATATACATGTGTTGTTTCTGCAGATCACAATTAACTGCAAACAATCCAGAGTAACAATTGTCTACCTTCATGCTATTGCCATTCTGACGTCATCAGTTTACCCAGGTGTGTGTACAGCATAAAAAACAACAACATTAATCAATGTTGCGAATCAAATCACTCTGAAGTGCTAAGATTTGATGGTGTTAGAAAATCTCCCCAACTAATGCTGTCTGTTGGAGGCAGCTTATAATCGGTGACTTGGAAGAATGCGTTTATTCGTACCCACTCAACATCAATCACTGGTTTGTCTGGTTCCATCCCAGAGTGCATGCTAATATGGCTGTAATATTGCTGACTGCGACGTTATCAAGCTAATTTCAATCTTTATTGGCTTTACCCCTTAAAGAAAGGTTTGTTATGAGAATCACGCATCCCTCACATCTGTGTCATCACTCGCTATGTTACCTTCGTGATGAGGGGGCACGGGTGGCCCAGTCGTCTAAGGCGCCGCGATTCGCTGTGCAGAGTTGCGTCCCTTGGACACGCCAGAAACCTATGATTGTGGGTTCTAATCCAGGTTCGCCCCGATTATGTTTCTAGGTTTGTCAGCACCATACCCGTGCTTGTGGGTTTCACCGAAGTGGTAAACGTCCGAGACCTGCATCACTTCGGGCTTTCCTCCCACATTAAGCTGACACGCCGTGATATAACTGGAATACAGTTAAAAGCGGCGTTAAACCCAACTCACACACACGCACCTTCGTGATGATGTCTTGTCTCGGCACAGGTGGACCAAGTGGCTGCTGCTGGAGCACGGGTATTCGGAGGAGGAGTGTTGCAGATATATGACATCTTTAAAGGTCTTGTGAACTCGAGCTAGCGCTGAAGCTGTGGCTGTGACGGAGGCTGATATTTCACATGTGTATGTTTCTATGACAAGGCTTTCAGGATGGATCTGTGACTAGCTGTATTTGCTATTTTGACACCTGAAGCAGAGGCTCTATTTGTGGTTGTAGCTGACAGTGATTACAACGTTGTAGCTCCTGTAGCTGACAGTGATTACAAGGTTGTAGCTCCTGTAGCTGGCAGTGATTACAAGGTTGAAGCTCCTGTAGCTGACAGTGATTACAAGGTTGTAGCTCCTGTAGCTGGCAGTGATTACAAGGTTGTAGCTCCTGTAGCTGACAGTGATTACAAGGTTGTAGCTCCTGTAGCTGACAGTGATTACAAGGTTGTAGCTCCTGTAGCTGGCAGTGATTACAAGGTTGTAGCTCCTGTAGCTGACAGTGATTACAAGGTTGTAGCTCCTGTAGCTGACAGTGATTACAAGGTTGTAGCTCCTGTAGCTGGCAGTGATTACAAGGTTGTAGATCCTGTAGCTGACAGTCATTACAAGGCTGTACTCTTGTAGCTGGCAGTGATTACAAGGTTGTAGCTCCTGTAGCTGACAGTGATTACAAGGCTGTACTCCTGTAGCTGGCAGTGATTACAAGGTTGTAGCTCCTGTAGCTGGCAGTGATTACAAGGCTGTAGCTCCTGTAGCTGAGAGTGATTACAAGGTTGCAGCTCCTGTAGCTGGCAGTGATTACAAGGTTGTACTCCTGTAGCTGGCAGTGATTACAATGTTGTAGCTCCTGTAGCTGGCAGTGATTACAAGGTTGTACTCCTGTAGCTGGCAGTGACTACAATGCTGTAGCTCTTGTAGCTGGCAGTGATTACAATGCTGTAGCTCCTGTAGCTGGCAGTGATTACAAGGTTGTAGCTCCTGTAGCTGGCAGTGATTACAAGGTTGTAGCTCCTGTAGCTGGCAGTGATTACAAGGTTGTAGCTCCTGTAGCTGGCAGTGATTACAAGGTTGTAGCTCCTGTAGCTGGCAGTGATTACAAGGTTGTACTCCTGTAGCTGGCAGTGACTACAATGCTGTAGCTCTTGTAGCTGGCAGTGATTACAATGCTGTAGCTCCTGTAGCTGGCAGTGACTACAAGGTTGTAGCTCCTGTAGCTGGCAGTGATTACAATGCTGTAGCTCCTGTAGCTGGCAGTGACTACAAGGTTGTAGCTCCTGTAGCTGACAGTGATTACAAGGTTGTACTCCTGTAGCTGGCAGTGACTACAAGGTTGTAGCTCCTGTAGCTGGCAGTGATTACAAGGCTGAAGCTCCTGTAGCTGACAGTGATTACAAGGTTGTAGCTCCTGTAGCTGACAGTGACTACAAGGCTGTAGCTCCTGTAGCTGACAGTGATTACAAGGTTGTACTCCTGTAGCTGGCAGTGACTACAAGGCTGTAGCTCTTGTAGCTGGCAGTGATTACAATGCTGTAGCTCCTGTAGCTGGCAGTGACTACAAGGTTGTAGCTCCCGTAGCTGGCAGTGATTACAATGCTGTAGCTCCTGTAGCTGGCAGTGACTACAAGGTTGTAGCTCCTGTAGCTGACAGTGATTACAAGGTTGTACTCCTGTAGCTGGCAGTGACTACAAGGTTGTAGCTCCTGTAGCTGGCAGTGATTACAATGCTGTAGCTCCTGTAGCTGGCAGTGACTACAAGGTTGTAGCTCCTCTAGCTGGCAGTGACTACAAGGCTGTAGCTCTTGTAGCTGGCAGTGATTACAATGCTGTAGCTCCTGTAGCTGGCAGTGACTACAAGGTTGTAGCTCCTGTAGCTGGCAGTGATTACAAGGCTGTAGCTCCTGTAGCTGACAGTGATTACAAGGTTGTAGCTCCTGTAGCTGACAGTGACTACAAGGTTGTACTCCTGTAGCTGGCAGTGATTACAAGGCTGTAGCTCCTGTAGCTGGCAGTGATTACAAGGTTGTAGCTCCTGTAGCTGGCAGTGACTACAAGGTTGTAGCTCCTGTAGCTGACAGTGATTACAAGGCTGTAGCTCCTGTAGCTGGCAGTGATTACAAGGCTGTAGCTCCTGTAGCTGGCAGTGACTACAAGGTTGTAGCTCCTGTAGCTGGCAGTGATTACAAGGCTGTAGCTCCTGTAGCTGGCAGTGACTACAAGGCTGTAGCTCCTGTAGCTGGCAGTGACTACAAGGTTGTAGCTCCTGTAGCTGGCAGTGATTACAAGGCTGTAGCTCCTGTAGCTGACAGTGATTACAAGGTTGTACTCCTGTAGCTGACAGTGATTACAAGGTTGTAGCTCCTGTAGCTGGCAGTGATTACAAGGTTGTAGCTCCTGTAGCTGGCAGTGATTACAAGGTTGTAGATCCTGTAGCTGACAGTCATTACAAGGCTGTACTCCTGTAGCTGGCAGTGATTACAAGGTTGTAGCTCCTGTAGCTGGCAGTGATTACAAGGCTGTAGCTCCTGTAGCTGAGAGTGATTACAAGGTTGCAGCTCCTGTAGCTGGCAGTGATTACAAGGTTGTACTCCTGTAGCTGGCAGTGATTACAATGTTGTAGCTCCTGTAGCTGGCAGTGATTACAAGGTTGTACTCCTGTAGCTGGCAGTGACTACAATGCTGTAGCTCTTGTAGCTGGCAGTGATTACAATGCTGTAGCTCCTGTAGCTGACAGTGATTACAAGGTTGTAGCTCCTGTAGCTGGCAGTGATTACAAGGTTGTAGCTCCTGTAGCTGGCAGTGATTACAAGGTTGTAGCTCCTGTAGCTGGCAGTGATTACAAGGCTGTAGCTCCTGTAGCTGGCAGTGATTACAAGGCTGTAGCTCCTGTAGCTGGCAGTGACTACAAGGTTGTAGCTCCTGTAGCTGGCAGTGATTACAAGGCTGTAGCTCCTGTAGCTGGCAGTGATTACAAGGCTGTAGCTCCTGTAGCTGGCAGTGACTACAAGGTTGTAGCTCCTGTAGCTGGCAGTGATTACAAGGCTGTAGCTCCTGTAGCTGGTAGTGACTACAAGGCTGTAGCTCCTGTAGCTGGCAGTGACTACAAGGTTGTAGCTCCTGTAGCTGGCAGTGATTACAAGGCTGTAGCTCCTGTAGCTGACAGTGATTACAAGGTTGTACTCCTGTAGCTGACAGTGATTACAAGGTTGTAGCTCCTGTAGCTGGCAGTGATTACAAGGTTGTAGCTCCTGTAGCTGGCAGTGATTACAAGGTTGTAGCTCCTGTAGCTGACAGTGACTACAAGGTTGTACTCCTGTAGCTGGCAGTGATTACAAGGTTGTAGCTCCTGTAGCTGGCAGTGACTACAAGGTTGTAGCTCCTGTAGCTGACAGTGATTAATAGGTTGTAGCTCCTGTAGCTGGCAGTGACTACAAGGTTGTACTCCTGTAGCTGACAGTGATTACAAGGTTGTACTCCTGTAGCTGGCAGTGATTACAATGCTGTAGCTCCTGTAGCTGGCAGTGATTACAAGGTTGTACTCCTGTAGCTGGCAGTGATTACAATGTTGTAGCTCCTGTAGCTGGCAGTGATTACAATGTTGTAGCTCCTGTAGCTGGCAGTGATTACAAGGTTGTACTCCTGTAGCTGGCAGTGATTACAATGCTGTAGCTCCTGTAGCTGGCAGTGATTACAAGGTTGTACTCCTGTAGCTGGCAGTGATTACAATGTTGTAGCTCCTGTAGCTGGCAGTGATTACAAGGTTGTAGCTCCTGTAGCTGGCAGTGATTACAAGGCTGTAGCTCCTGTAGCTGGCAGTGATTACAAGGCTGTAGCTCCTGTAGCTGGCAGTGACTACAAGGTTGTAGCTCCTGTAGCTGGCAGTGATTACAAGGCTGTAGCTCCTGTAGCTGGCAGTGACTACAAGGCTGTAGCTCCTGTAGCTGGCAGTGACTACAAGGTTGTAGCTCCTGTAGCTGGCAGTGATTACAAGGCTGTAGCTCCTGTAGCTGACAGTGATTACAAGGTTGTACTCCTGTAGCTGACAGTGATTACAAGGTTGTAGCTCCTGTAGCTGGCAGTGATTACAAGGTTGTAGCTCCTGTAGCTGGCAGTGATTACAAGGTTGTAGATCCTGTAGCTGACAGTCATTACAAGGCTGTACTCCTGTAGCTGGCAGTGATTACAAGGTTGTAGCTCCTGTAGCTGACAGTGATTACAAGGCTGTACTCCTGTAGCTGGCAGTGATTACAAGGTTGTAGCTCCTGTAGCTGGCAGTGATTACAAGGCTGTAGCTCCTGTAGCTGAGAGTGATTACAAGGTTGCAGCTCCTGTAGCTGGCAGTGATTACAAGGTTGTACTCCTGTAGCTGGCAGTGATTACAATGTTGTAGCTCCTGTAGCTGGCAGTGATTACAAGGTTGTACTCCTGTAGCTGGCAGTGACTACAATGCTGTAGCTCTTGTAGCTGGCAGTGATTACAATGCTGTAGCTCCTGTAGCTGGCAGTGATTACAAGGTTGTAGCTCCTGTAGCTGGCAGTGATTACAAGGTTGTAGCTCCTGTAGCTGGCAGTGATTACAAGGTTGTAGCTCCTGTAGCTGGCAGTGATTACAAGGCTGTAGCTCCTGTAGCTGGCAGTGATTACAAGGCTGTAGCTCCTGTAGCTGGCAGTGACTACAAGGTTGTAGCTCCTGTAGCTGGCAGTGATTACAAGGCTGTAGCTCCTGTAGCTGGCAGTGATTACAAGGCTGTAGCTCCTGTAGCTGGCAGTGACTACAAGGTTGTAGCTCCTGTAGCTGGCAGTGATTACAAGGCTGTAGCTCCTGTAGCTGGTAGTGACTACAAGGCTGTAGCTCCTGTAGCTGGCAGTGACTACAAGGTTGTAGCTCCTGTAGCTGGCAGTGATTACAAGGCTGTAGCTCCTGTAGCTGACAGTGATTACAAGGTTGTACTCCTGTAGCTGACAGTGATTACAAGGTTGTAGCTCCTGTAGCTGGCAGTGATTACAAGGTTGTAGCTCCTGTAGCTGGCAGTGATTACAAGGTTGTAGCTCCTGTAGCTGACAGTGACTACAAGGTTGTACTCCTGTAGCTGGCAGTGATTACAAGGTTGTAGCTCCTGTAGCTGGCAGTGACTACAAGGTTGTAGCTCCTGTAGCTGACAGTGATTAGAAGGTTGTAGCTCCTGTAGCTGGCAGCGACTACAAGGTTGTACTCCTGTAGCTGACAGTGATTACAAGGTTGTACTCCTGTAGCTGGCAGTGATTACAATGCTGTAGCTCCTGTAGCTGGCAGTGATTACAAGGTTGTACTCCTGTAGCTGGCAGTGATTACAATGTTGTAGCTCCTGTAGCTGGCAGTGATTACAATGTTGTAGCTCCTGTAGCTGGCAGTGATTACAAGGTTGTACTCCTGTAGCTGGCAGTGATTACAATGCTGTAGCTCCTGTAGCTGGCAGTGATTACAAGGTTGTACTCCTGTAGCTGGCAGTGATTACAATGTTGTAGCTCCTGTAGCTGGCAGTGATTACAAGGTTGTAGCTCCTGTAGCTGGCAGTGATTACAAGGTTGTAGCTCCTGTAGCTGACAGTGACTACAAGGTTGTAGCTCCTGTAGCTGACAGTGATTACAAGGTTGTAGCTCCTGTAGCTGACAGTGATTACAAGGTTGTAGCTCCTGTAGCTGACAGTGATTACAAGGTTGTAGCTCCTGTAGCTGGCAGTGACTACAAGGTTGTAGCTCCCGTAGCTGGCAGTGATTACAATGCTGTAGCTCCTGTAGCTGGCAGTGACTACAAGGTTGTAGCTCCTGTAGCTGGCAGTGATTACAATGCTGTAGCTCCTGTAGCTGGCAGTGACTACAAGATTGTAGCTCCTGTAGCTGACAGTGATTACAAGGTTGTACTCCTGTAGCTGGCAGTGACTACAAGGTTGTAGCTCCTGTAGCTGGCAGTGATTACAATGCTGTAGCTCCTGTAGCTGGCAGTGACTACAAGGTTGTAGCTCCTGTAGCTGGCAGTGACTACAAGGTTGTAGCTCCTGTAGCTGACAGTGACTACAAGGTTGTACTCCTGTAGCTGGCAGTGATTACAAGGTTGTAGCTCCTGTAGCTGGCAGTGATTAAAAGGTTGTAGCTCCTGTAGCTGACAGTGATTACAAGGTTGTAGCTCCTGTAGCTGACAGTGATTACAAGGTTGTAGCTCCTGTAGCTGACAGTGACTACAAGGTTGTAGCTCCTGTAGCTGACAGTGATTACAAGGTTGTAGCTCCTGTAGCTGACAGTGATTACAAGGTTGTAGCTCCTGTAGCTGGCAGTGACTACAAGGTTGTAGCTCCCGTAGCTGGCAGTGATTACAATGCTGTAGCTCCTGTAGCTGGCAGTGACTACAAGGTTGTAGCTCCTGTAGCTGGCAGTGATTACAATGCTGTAGCTCCTGTAGCTGGCAGTGACTACAAGATTGTAGCTCCTGTAGCTGACAGTGATTACAAGGTTGTACTCCTGTAGCTGGCAGTGACTACAAGGTTGTAGCTCCTGTAGCTGGCAGTGATTACAATGCTGTAGCTCCTGTAGCTGGCAGTGACTACAAGGTTGTAGCTCCTGTAGCTGGCAGTGACTACAAGGTTGTAGCTCCTGTAGCTGACAGTGACTACAAGGTTGTACTCCTGTAGCTGACAGTGATTACAAGGTTGTAGCTCCTGTAGCTGGCAGTGATTAAAAGGTTGTAGCTCCTGTAGCTGACAGTGATTACAAGGTTGTAGCTCCTGTAGCTGACAGTGATTACAAGGTTGTAGCTCCTGTAGCTGACAGTGATTACAAGGTTGTAGCTCCTGTAGCTGACAGTGATTACAAGGTTGTAGCTCCTGTAGCTGGCAGTGATTACAAGGTTGTAGCTCTTGTAGCTGGCAGTGACTACAATACTGTAGTTCCTGAAGCTGACAGTGATTATAATGCTGTAGCTCATGTAGCTGAGATTTTATTTATTGATGTGTTCACCACTTACTACAGACTACCGACGAATGTAGGACACCAGTGTAACATCTCTCAGAGAGCTGAACAGGAACGGACTGATATTACTTTAGGTAGTTGTACATGGTGTCCTCCCAATATTGTTCTATTTACTTCATATGAACAGGCATTCTAAGCCTCTATGTTTCAAACATTGTATGATTTAACATATGACCGAATAAAACTGATTCCACTTACTGTGTTTTACTGATGTTTATGTCTAGAAAGGCAGTAGGCCTTGGAAGTAAGACATACCCTTCTTTAAGGGTGTGGGGACGTTTAACCGGTAGCAGGTCAAAACGGCATCATGTCAGAACGGCCTCAAACGGTAAAGTCAAAACGGCTACAGAAAGAAGTCTAAACGGCCACAACCCATAGTCAAGACGGCCAGAAAAGAGTCATTAGGGCCACACAGAAAATAAAGAAGTCAAACTCAAGTATTGTGTCACATTACAGTAAACTACGGATATAACGAACACGCTTATAACGAACTAACGGATATAACGAACTAACTTTTTGGTCCTGACTATTTGCTGTTGTTATACTGTATATATGCTTATAACGAACTACAGTTATAACGAACTAAAATTAGTAATCCCTTTGAGTTCGTTATAACCGTACTTTACTGTAATTGTATTATGCATTAATTGTAGTACATACATTGTACGAGTTTTGGGGTCGCCATGACATGAGGCCCCGTTAAACCTTTAGCACTATGCAAGCAGTATCAGTGACGTGCCACGAAGAATGAACTTTACATTTTGCATAAGTAGACATTAGAAGCCTCTATTTTTTAAAGATTTGTATTATTTCACATATGACCGAATAAAACATTGTCCCACTTACTCAGTGATACAGATGTTTATGTCTTACAAGGCAGTAAGCTTTGGAAGTAAGACATACCCTTCATTTAGGATGTGAGTATTGTGTGAGTATCAGTGAGTATCAGTGAGTATCAGTGAGTATCAGTGACGTGCCACGAAGAATGAACTCCCGTCCTTGTCCTCTTGTAAGATACAGCGATGTGACGATCTACAATACCCAATACGGGAAGCCTAGTGGTTAAAGCGTTCGCTCGTCACGCCGAAGACTCGGGTTCGATTCCCGACATGGGTACAATGTGTGAAGCCCATTTCTGGTGTCCCCCGCCGTGATATTGCTGGAATATTGCTAAAAGCGGCGTAAAACCCCACTCACTCACTCACTCACTCATCTGCAGCTGCTTATTATGCTGCACTAGTTTGACATATGTTCAATTGAGCTTTCCTTCACGCGCTACAGAACCCCTCTGATACATAGACGCTACTTGTTGCATCCCGTATCACATTAACCTGACTACACAAGCACAACAATCTCTACCCGACGCAGAATAGCGTGCACGCCGCGTAGATTCTGAACAATCGTTAGTGTTACCCTGTAAACAGCATTTCAACCTATTTCATAACTGTTGAGAACAAACATTACGAATCAAATATATATTTTTAACATTGCTGACATCATGATGCTTATTTATGTATGATTAATGTTACCAGTAAGCTATAATGTCCCCCACAAGAACCCTCCCTCACTCACTAACTCACTCACCCCACTCACCCGCACTCACTCACCCTACTCACCCACCCCCCACTCACTCACTCACTCACCCACTCCCCTTCCTCACTCACCCCCATCCACTCACTCAACCCACTCACCCCCACTCACTCACCCTCACTCACTCACTCACTCATCCCCCCACCGCCACCCCCACTCACTCACCCGCCCATATGACTTCATGACTTCTCACAGGAGGTAAATCCACCCGAACACGCAACAGTGTGGAACATCAGTGTACATTGAATGGTGTGTTGACACCATTGAATGTTTAATCTAGGTCACATATGACAGCACACTCCACCAGCTGGTGTTTTTATATCCTTGCACACTGACAAGCAATAAACTGCCGTGTCTATAAATAGCCCTCGCAGTAACGATTCCTCGGAAATACAACTGGAAATCCCGGTGACGACATGACATCACCGCATACGTAGGCCTCCCAACGCTGTACGAGTACAGCGGCCCGAGGGAGCGGATCCTGAATCTCTGGGAGAGGGGTAAGTGAACATATTTACCCATCATCTACACAATTCACGACGCGAACGTGTGAGTGAGTATGGTTTGACGCCGCTTTTAGCAATATTCCAGCGATATCACGGCGGGGGACACCAGAAATAGGCTTCACACATTGTCGGGAATCGAACCCGGGTCTTCGGCGTTGCGAGCGAATGCTTTAACCACTAGACTACCCCACCGCCCCCGAAGTGAACGAAAACATGATAGGTGGACTGAGATAGGGGGGCACAGAGTGCAAATCGCCTACACCCCAACCCTCATACCCACCCCATCCCACCCTCCAGCATCCCCACCTCACCCGCATCCCCACCCCACCCCACCCATGTGTTCCTACTTTGACCCGGCAGTCCATGCATCTGTGTTATCTCACACCACAGTCACGGTGCCACGTGTACACAGGTCGATACTGGTGAAGACTGCGAGAGTACTACATCACATTTTTACATTGAGGTAGGTGAATCAGCGTATTCGTTTGTGGATTCTGTTCTGTGATGTCATGATGGATGCCCAGCCTGACATTCTTGTTGCAACAACGGGGTGTTTTTCGAAAAGCGACTGATTTTAAAAATATGACGCCATTTTATTGATCGAGTGTACTTTCGATTTGATAACGAAACTCGGTTTTTGCATATATCAGCATGCAGTACATAGCCCTTATACTGCTGAATGGAATGGAGTTAACGCATCTTTGCAAAGTTTGAGACGCTGTGAAAGTATGTGTGTGAGTATGTGAGTGAGAGTTTGTGTGTGAGAGTATGTGTGTGTGAGTATGTGAGTGAGAGTATGTGTGTAAGTATGTGTGTGAGAGTATGTGTGTGTGAGTATGTGTGAGAGTATGTGTGTGTGAGTATGTGAGTGAGAGTATGTGTGTTTGTGTGAGTGTGTGTGTGAGTATGTGAGTGAGAGTATGTGTGTAAGTATGTGGGTGAGAGTATGTGTGTGTGAGTATGTGTGTAAGAGTATGTGTGTAAGTATGTGTGTTGGGGTATGTGTGTGTGAGTATGTGTGTGTGAGTATGTGTGTAAGAGTATGTGTGTAAGTATGTGAGTGAGAGTATGTGTGTAAGTATGTGTGTGTGAGTGTGTGTGTGAGTATGTTTGTAAGTATGTGTGTGAGAGTATGTGTGTGTGAGTATGTGTGTAAGAGTATGTGTGTAAGTATGTGTGTGTGAGTATGTGTGTGTGAGTATGTGTGTGAGAGTATGTGTGTAAGTATGTGTGAGAGTATGTGTGTGTGAGTATGTGTGTGAGAGTATGTGTGTGAGTATGTGTGTGAGAGTATGTGTGTGAGTATGTGTGTGAGAGTATGTGTGTGAGAGTATGTGTGTTTGTGAGAGTATGTGTGTGTGAGTATGTGTGTGAGTATGTGTGGGAGTGTATGTGTGTGTGAGTATGTGTGTGAGTATGTGTGTGAGTGTATGTGTGTAAGAGTATGTGTGTGTGAGTATGTGTGTGAGTATGTGCGTGAGTATGTGAGTGAGAGTTTGTGTGTGAGAGTATGTGTGTAAGTATGTGTGTGAGAGTATGTGTGTGTGAGTATGTGTGTAAGAGTATGTGTGTAAGTATGTGTGTGAGAGTATGTGTGTTTGTGAGAGTTTGTGTGTGTGAGTATGTGTGTGTGAGTATGTGTGTGAGTGTATGTGTGTGTTAGTGTGTGTGTGTGAGTGTATGTGTGTGTGAGTATGTGTGTAAGAGTATGTGTGTGAGTATGTATGTGAGTATGTGAGTGAGAGTTGGTGTGTGAGAGTATGTGTGTGAGAGTATGTGTGTTTGTGAGAGTATGTGTGTGAGAGTATGTGTGTGAGTATGTATGTGAGTATGTGAGTGAGAGTTTGTGTGTGAGAGTTTGTGTGTGAGAGTTTGTGTGTGAGAGTATGTGTGTTTGTGAGAGTATGTGTGTGAGAGTATGTGTGTTTGTGAGAGTATGTGTGTGTGAGTATGTGAGTGAGAGTATGTGTGAGAGTATGTGTGTTTGTGAGAGTATGTGTGTGTGAGTATGCGTGTGAGAGTATGTGTGTGAGAGTATGTGTGTTTGTGTGAGTATGTGTGTGAGTATGTGTGTAAGTATGTGTGTGAGAGTATGTGTGTGAGAGCATGCGTGCGAGCGTGTCCTACTGTCCCACATGAAAAGTTTGCACTTGTTCCCAGCGACAAGTCCTTAAATAACATAATTTATCCATTATATGCAAGCACCACTACATTAATTGTTTGATCAAAACATTTGGATTAAGTGACACATCAAATATATATAAGATGACACCGTAAAGGTTAGGGGTCAAAGGGAGACTACTCTTCAACCCTTAGAGGCCAAACCGTGATGATAATTTATCAATAAGGTCACGAACGTGATCTAAACATATAATGTCCTTGCGCATCAAAATAAATGATATTAAGACACAAAACAGTGTCGAATAACGAATTTCTGTACTAGAATTTTCATGTGAAAAATGTGAGGTGGGTTTTGGAAAATCCAAAATGGCTGCTACTGACGGTATAGGTCTCATATCAGATCAGTATGAACTACTTGGATTTTTACTGACGGTATACGGGCTCGTATGGTGTCAGTAGCTCTGCTCTCTGATTGGTCAATCTCAGTATGGGGCATAATAATGCGACATGCACAGCCTGTATAACACAGGGAGACATTTGCTGAAAACCTTGCATCAGCACTTTCAACATTTGACTTTAAATCCTTCAGACTTTCCGTTCCTCCTTTGTACTGGCTTCCAAAGCTCTGTAAAGATCCGTAGAAAGAGATACATTGTCCATCACATGTACACCAAACCCCTGATTCAAAGATTAACCATAATTTGTAATACAATCAAGGAAGGATTTTCTTTATATTTACAGAAAGCTTGGAGGCAAGTGGAATTAATACCTTGTGGATACTCAAAAAACCCAGGGATTAAAAAACTCAGAAAAGTTCCAATCTGTCAAAACATTATTTTTTTTCCATTTTGTAGATCTCTTTCTAACAGGACTAAGAAAAGGGAAAACGCCATTCCCTGACCCCTGGGTTCGAAGGCCCGGGTTCGATTCCCCAAGTGGGTACACTGGTTAAACCCACTTCTGGTGTCCACGGCCGTGATATTGCTGGAATGTTGTTGAAAGCGGCATAAAACCCAACTCACTCACGCACTTGATCTATGGGGCATTTTTCACTAAACTTGACGACCATAGATATAATTAATTTACATATCTGTCTTCTTGATGATCTGTTTCTGTCATATGACATTCAAGTCCTCAGTAAAGCTTTCAAAACGTTTTGTGGTGGATGCATTTGACGCATCAGAGAAAAAAAAAATGAAGTCGGATGCAATTGCCAAGGTTGACAGTTTACTTGCCTTTGCATGTGTTTGTGACGGGTGTCACCGGTGGAGCAGGATACGCTCACCCTTTCGCGAACACCTGGTATCGCCATTAATTGATATTGATACAGACGGAATAAAACCTGCTCATGATATAGACGAAATCGAACAATTGACTCTGCTAAATGCATGTCGCTTTATTTACGTATAGGAATCAAAACAGTGTAAAATAAAACACACTTCATATACATTACCGTCACTATATGGCTGAAATATTGCCGATGTGACGTTAATTTTTAACTCACTCAGACACTCATATACATAACACTGCAGTACATAGAAAATAAACAATAAATTAAATTATTAAAAGATTGTAATATATGTTCATTTCCATATGGATGCTTATGGCGATGTGTTTTGTTTTATAATCGCGACAGTTGAGTGACCTACAGCCGGGATGACGTCCAAGGAAGTTCGCCGCCATAATGAGTCCGTGTACACTGACCTGGAGGTGGGAGACTTAGTGGAGTTAAAGCGAGGAATGTACTCCCACTGGGCGTTGTTCATCGGTAGGTCATCGTCAGTCCTCTCCAGTGTCTGTATTGTCTGATGCTACAGGGAGCAGGGGTTGTCTGGTCATCTAGGGCAGCGTCACTCCTCTCCAGTGTCTGTATTGTCTGATGCTACAGGGAGCAAGGGTTGTCTGGTCATCTAGGGCACTGTCACTCCTCTCCAGTATCTGTATTGTCTGATGCTACAGGGAGCAAGGGTTGTCTGGTCATCTAGGGCACCGTCACTCCTCTCCAGTATCTGTAATCTCTGATGCTACAGGGAGCAAGGGTTGTCTGGTCATCTAGGGAACCGTCACTCCTCTCCAGTATCTGTAATCTCTGATGCTACAGGGAGAATGGGTTGTCTGGTCATCTAGGGAACCGTCACTCCTCTTCAGTATCTGTATTGTCTGATGCTTCAGGGGGGCAAGGGTTGTCTGGTCATCTAGGGCACCGTCAGTCCTCTCCAGTATCTGTTATGTCTGATGCTACAGGGAGCAAGGGTTGTATGGTCATCTAGGGAACCGTCAGTCCTCTCCAGTATCTGTTATGTCTGATGCTACAGGGAGCAAGGGTTGTCTGGTCATCTAGGGCACCGTCACTCCTCTCCAGTATCTGTATTGTCTGATGCTACAGAGAGCAAGGGTTGTCTGGTCATCTGGGGCACCGTCACTCCTCTCCAGTATCTGTATTGTCTGTTGCTACAGAGAGCAAGGGTTGTCTGGTCATCTAGGGAACCGTCACTCCTCTCCAGTATCTGTATTGTCTGATGCTACAGAGAGCAAGGGTTGTCTGGTCATCTAGGGAACCGTCACTCCTCTCCAGTATCTGTATTGTCTGATGCTACAGGGAGCAAGGGTTGTCTGGTCATCTTGGGCACCGTCACTCCTCTCCAGTATCTGTATTGTCTGATGCTACAGGGAGCAAGGGTTGTCTGGTCATCTAGGCCACCGTCACTCCTCTCCAGTATCTGTATTGTCTGATGCTACAGGGAGCAAGGGTTGTCTGGTCATCTAGGGAACCGTCAGTCCTCTTCAGTATCTGTATTGTCTGATGCTACAGGGAGCAAGGGTTGTCTGGTCATCTAGGCCACCGTCACTCCTCTCCAGTATCTGTATTGTCTGATGCTACAGGGAGCAAGGGTTGTCTGGTCATCTAGGCCACCGTCACTCCTCTCCAGTATCTGTATTGTCTGATGCTACAGGGAGCAAGGGTTGTCTGGTCATCTGGGGCACCGTCACTCCTCTTCAGTATCTTTATTGTCTGATGCTACAGGGAGCAAGGGTTGTCTGGTCATCTTGGGCACCGTCACTCCTCTTCAGTATCTGTATTGTCTGATGCTACAGGGAGAATGGGTTGTCTGGTCATCTAGGGCACCGTCACTCCTCTTCAGTATCTGTATTGTCTGATGCTACAGGGAGCAAGGGTTGTCTGGTCATCTAGGGCACCGTCAGTCCTCTTCAGTATCTGTATTGTCTGATGCTACAGGGAGCAAGGGTTGTCTGGTCATCTAGACCACCGTCACTCCTCTCCAGTATCTGTATTGTCTGATGCTACAGGGAGCAAGGGTTGTCTGGTCATCTGGGGCACCGTCACTCCTCTTCAGTATCTTTATTGTCTGATGCTACAGGGAGCAAGGGTTGTCTGGTCATCTTGGGCACCGTCACTCCTCTTCAGTATCTGTATTGTCTGATGCTACAGGGAGAATGGGTTGTCTGGTCATCTAGGGCACCGTCACTCCTCTTCAGTATCTGTATTGTCTGATGCTACAGGGAGCAAGGGTTGTCTGGTCATCTAGGGCACCGTCAGTCCTCTTCAGTATCTGTATTGTCTGATGCTACAGGGAGCAAGGGTTGTCTGGTCATCTAGGCCACCGTCACTCCTCTCCAGTGTCTGTATTGTCTGATGCTACAGGGAGCAGGGGTTGTCTGGTCATCTAGGGAACCGTCACTCCCCTTCAGTATCTGTATTGTCTGATGCTACATGGAGAATGGGTTGTCTGGTCATCTAGGGCACCGTCACTCCTCTTCAGTATCTGTATTGTCTGATGCTACTGGGGGCAAGGGTTGTCTGGTCATCTAGGCCACCGTCACTCCTCTCCAGTATCTGTATTATCTGATGCTACAGGGAGCAGGGGTTGTCTGGTCATCTAGGGAATCGTCACTCCTCTCCAGTATCTGTATTGTCTGATGCTACAGGGAGAATGGGTTGTCTGGTCATCTTGGGCACCGTCACTCCTCTCCAGTATCTAAACGGATTGATGCTACAGGGAGAATGGGTTGTCTGGTCATCTTGGGCACCACGAGCAGCTGAGAAGAGTCCGACACCCATCCCCGAATGCGCTGTTCCCAGCAGACTTCTATATTAATGTGTACCAGTGGCTACCCTCCCAGCAGACTTCTACATTAATGTGTACCAGTGGCTACCCTCCCATCAGACTTCTATATTAATGTGTACCAGTAGCGGTATAAGTAACTGCTATTGATATAGGTAAATTTCGTTCCGTCTGGCTGCACCTGTTTTGTGCAATCGCAATCAGCAATATTCCAGCTTTGTCATAGCAGCTTGTAAATAACCACGCCAGCTTGTGAATAATCGAGTTACATACCCGTGAAACGCCATGGAGGTTTGATTCCACGTGATCAGCTAAATCACTGTCCCCGACGACCCAGTGTAGCCCAGAGTGTGTTCTTGACAGTCCCCCGTAATGAAGCTGCTCTACTGTTGACTTTGTCCTCGACATGAAGTACTAAATGTTTAAGTCCCGCACCGAAAGCACTTCTCCTGCCGTGATGTGACTGACCTAGTTGTCCTTATGAAGCAGTGTTAAAGAGAAACTCTCTCTGCTGAAACCCGGCGTAACAACTCACATCCCTGAACTCACCAGGCATAACTCCACATCTTCCCCTCTGCTCTCTGTTTACTGAACAAATCCCACCTTAACTATGCCAGTGCATTCTGTGATTACAGAACACCAATAAAAAATATATTGCACGAACTAGAATGAATGAGGTAATCGAACTCAGTTTTTGCTCATGACTTAATTTCATATTGTAACTATCCATGTTCTGTAGAAGCAGTTTGCCATTTTGCAATATGCTGGGGTCGTAAAACAGGGGCCCTCGTTTACTAAGCGAACGCTTTATCGATAAAAAAACCCCGAAAATGGTCATTTCAATATTCAAACTTCTGGTGTAAATATATAATTAGGACCAGGATGATTGGAACCCATGGTAACAGGATGACGATGTATTTAACACTGGTCGCTAAAAACGACGAGGTCATCTGCGCCTATTTATGTTGAAGAGAAAATGCAGGTGACAGTTCAGAGACAATAGTAACTTGGCGTCGGAGCGGGGTATATTTTCAGCTCACCTTGGATGAAGGCATACGTGCACACATTGACATATGGCCTTACTCCATGGCCTTACGTTCTTCTGTCTGGCACAAGGGATGAGCCTGAACCTTCAGTTCCTCTCAAGAAACTGCCAATACCCTGAGTGCTTGAATTTATGAAGATGTATTTATGTAGCAGTTATGTACAAACAGCTCATTGCTTTAATCAAATTGCTTTAAAAGTCATAGAACAAGTTTATTGAAAAACTTTAGCAGCGTTATTCATATTACATAGGTAACAACGAGGTGATCCATCTTTCCGGCGAGGACGACGACGGCCTTGGCGACGTTGACAGGAAGCACATATTCACTATAAGTGGAGTGACATTCGATAAGGCGATCGTCCGGCGAGACAACTTCTGGGACGTTGTTGGCGACGACATGGTCTACAAGAACAACTCCAAGGACTCCAAGTGGAAGTAAGTATTTAGTTAACATAGTGCAGGGAATCAGACTCACCTGAAACATTTATGTGCCAAGGGAATCAGACTCACCTGAAACATTAATGTGCCAAGGGAATCAGACTCACCTGAAACATTAATGTGCCAAGGGAATCAGACTCACCTGAAACATTTATTTGCCAAGGGAATCAAACTCACCTGAAACATTTATTTGCCAAGGGAATCAAACTCACCTGAAACATTTATTTGCCAAGGGAATCAAACTAACCTGAAATATTTATTTGCCAAGGGAATCAGGCTCACCTGAAACATGTATTTGCCAAGGGAATCAAACTCACCTGAAACATTTATTTGCCAAGGGAATCAAACTCACCTGAAACATTTATTTGCCAAGGGAATCAAACTCACCTGAAACATTTATTTGCCAAAAGAACAATACCATGTCATGACAAGAATTTGATATTCGAGACTAAACAACTGGATTGGAAACCATTGGATCCTGCTTTAAGAAGAGCTTGATGTTCTACTGGGCCACTGGACACCTTAAACAAGAGACAAAATAACGTAAAATCTGTAATGAAATCAATGATCAAGCAACCTGGTGATATAACCATTCAGATACCTGTTAGAATTCCAGGGTCGAAAAATCCCCTTGTACCATGGTTGTAAGAGGCAACTATTGAGGATCGGTTGGTCACAATGTGCAACCTGGCTGATAGTTGATCATCATGCCCAGTCGTTCACCCCTTAAATAAATAAATAAATATCTAAATAGTCATTGTTACGTCTTTGTCTGAACTTTTGTGACGACTGGTTTACGGGTGCGCCCTTCCACAACTTAACAAACATGGAAAACAATGACTATTTAGGAGAGTTAGAACTGAGGAAATATTCTCAGTATAAGGCTTGAAGCAAATTATTGACCCTTTGTTTTGACATATAAACAACAGCATATATTCCTCCTTGTTCATTGCACAAGGCGTTTGTAAGAGAACATTGGGTTTTGAAATAAATCAGTGTAAGATTTAAATAAAATTACTGACCCTTTGTTTCGTCATAAAAAGCAACAGCATATATTCTTCCTTGTTCATTGCACCAGACGTTTGTAAGAGACCGTTAGGTTTTGAAATAAATAAAATTACTGACCCTTTGTTTCGTCATAAAAACAACAGCATATATTCTTCCTTGTTCATTGAACAAGGCGTTTGTAAGAGACCGTTAGGTTTTGAAATAAATAAAATTACTGACCCTTTGTTTCGTCATAAAAGCAACAGCATATATTCTTCCTTGTTCATTGCACAAGGCGTTTGTAAGAGAACATTGGGTTTTGAAATAAATCAGTGTAGGATTTAAGTAAAATTACTGACCCTTTGATTTGCCATAAAAACAACAGCATATATTCTTCCTTGTTCATTGCACCAGACGTTTGTAAGAGAACATTAGGTTTTGAAAGGAATCTTTGAAAATCTAATATAGGTGTAACGTGTTATGATTCGTGACTATGTTTCCAGACCATTACGTCCGTCACAGATTGTAGAGAGGGCCTTGTCCAAGGTCGGCCGTGTCGGTTACAACCTCATCTTCAGCAACTGTGAACATTTTGTGTCCTGGTGCAGATACAACATGGAGCGAAGTGACCAGGTTGGTAAATAGTTTTCATATTATTGTTCATTATTATTATTATTATTATTATTGTTGGAATATTGCTAAAAGCGGCGTAAAACCATACTCACTCACTCAGTAACTGAAATCCTGGGACATTCTGTTCTGATGTTATCCCTACAGAGAGGGCATGTTGTAAAAGGGATGAGAAATATTTGGTTTTGGTATCTCTACCCCAGTGAGGATTGCAGATCAGTATAGGTCCCCAGCAACCTACGCAGCTTACTGGAACGGGTGGTCAAGCTCGGCGAGGGCGTGTTAACAAACTTAACAGCGTAGGACATTGCTCATTATATCAATTACTGGTTTATCTGACCAAACTTGATTATTAACAGGCCACTCTCACATAGCTGGAATATTGCTGAGATCGGCCAACCGGACATTCACAAAGGAAAAACAGTATCAGCTTAATTGCAGTTCTAATACCAGTTATTAATTATGTCGCAATTTTCAGGTCAGAGAAATATTATCTTTATTTTGTGTTTTCACCTAAACGTTTAAAGAACTGAGAACAATTCAAATGACAAGTATATTATTAAAACGATGGTGTTATGTCTGCTATGGGCTAGAGTTACTGACCGATACATCAAGTTTTGCCCCCGTTTAGTTATTGGAGCTACAGAATCAGAAAGCAGTATCTTATTATTCTTCGTTTCCTCTCGAATGGAGATGTTGGTCAGCAGATACTGAATACTAAGTCTAACATCAATGAAAATCAATGATTATTTATTAACCGTGTTCTTATACATGAAGTACACATAGGAAATCCCATCTCCCTGCATTCCCTTCCAGGTGGAGAGTTATGCGACAGGCCTGGCTGTGGGTGGGGCTATAGCGGCGGCGGTGGGGGCGGTTGTCTGGCTGGGGAGCGGCTCAAAGGACAAGACGAAGGAGAGAAAGTCAGAGAACTGAATACTTTGACCGGAGCATCCGATGGCTACGTTAGATTACTTGCATTGAATTGATTGAACTGTCACTGCTGATGAATAAAAAACTTCGTTGCATTCGTAATAAATGTGTGCTTAACACGGCTGACCAATGAACCATTGCTAATTGTAATGGAAATACTCTGTTTGATGTGGATGCTTACACATTTTCATTGAAACTGGCGGATATATAAGGTAGTTCAAAATGAAATATTGGCTGTGAGTGCCCACAGTTTAAGTGATGAAAGTCACTGTGTGTATGAAAGTATTCTGTTCGAAAAGTACTTTTTATCAAACCATTGTACCATGGTAGAATTTCTTAACCTTGTAATGTGTTCCATGTTATTATTATTACGAACTGTCCAGAACCCGTGTGCGTTTGGCGGCAGTTTGCAAGGTTTTGTGTCAAAGTATCCTTGTGATAATTACACCCATGAACACTCGAAATAATTAGTACTCTTCCACACGAAGATATATGTTCCATTCACTGCTTTGTCACGACTCAGATGTACCTCATACCTCATTGTTGTGAGAGCCAACTTACACAGCGACTGGGTGGTCAGTCACGGGGACTTGAGGTGGTGTCAACGTACATCGTTCCCTGAGAGAATAGGACGTTGATGATTCTGCCGATAACTTGTTCAGTTAACCACGGCTATTTTACAGACGACCGTAATATAGTTAGAATATTTATGCATGTTGACATTTTGTCAAGGCAGTCTATTATTGCTCACCTATGCTTTTCCATTCACGACTTGGTTGTGTGTGATTATCCAAGTTCAAATTCCAATACGTCAGCCTTATGTCCTTGATTGTTAAGACAGAGAAACTCAAATTTTAGACTTTTTAAGTGACATTTAAAAACATTCAAGGTGCATGTATATCAAATGTGTATGTTAGTAATGGTTTTGAATGTCATCTTTTTGTTTTTCTGTTGTATTTGTTTGTTTGTTTGTTGGTTAACGCCGCACTCTTCCAGCTCTATGATGGCGGTCTGTAAATCGAGTCTGGTTCTCTGTTGGGAATGCGCGGCGTAACACCCGACTTATTCGCCCACTGCTGCAATGTATATACAAATTGTGATTGTTTGGAAGTGTTCATCAACCTCCTCAGATATATTTTTGTAGTGGTTATTCATTGAGAGATGCCTCCATACTTGTTGCATTCTTATGTGTTCTGGGGCGGTCGGGTAGCCTAGTGGTTTCAGCGTTAGGTTTTCACGCTGAAGACCCGGGTTCGATTCCCGACATGGGTACAATGTGTGAAGCCCATTTCTGGTGTCCCCCGCCGTGGTATTGCTGGAATATTGCTAAAATCGGTGTAAAACCATACTCACTCACTCACTCTTATGTGTTCTTAATAACATTGGAGATGATTAAGAATCTGAATAAATATGTTCTTATACGTCATGCGTTGTGAGAGTTCTTGTATGCGATGGTTAGAAGTGCATGAAGACAGATGGCATTCAAGCGATTACATACTCTGACATTTAGTGATTAATACCAATCTGACAGTTAAACAAACGGTCATTACATAGTTATCCAGTATTAAGACTTAGAGGGAGAACGTGGTGGTAGGGTATTTGATTATGTGGAGAAAAGGTGGCTTCACATTGGAAACCTTAGTTTGTCGATTAACGTTAACAAACACACGTCTGTGTGTGCATATGGCGAAACTAGTTTTTGAATACTGACAACTGTTGAAGAATCTGTCTCTCTACGCTCCAATAGTTTAATAAACATGTTGGTGTTTTCCAGATTTGTGCTACGTGTAACATTAGCAAAATGTGTTAACGTGTATCTTCACTGTAACGATGATGTCCCTGGCTTGCTGGAGGCCTGTTCAGCACGTCTCTGTGTCATCCCTGAAGTGTCACCTCATCCTGGAGTATCAGCTGAATCATTGTATTTAGCCAGAACGATCTACTCCCGAATGTATCAAGGAGTCAAGATTTAATAGAAAGAATACCATCATATATGTATGCCCGAAAAAAACAACAGTGATGTAAAGTAAAGTTATGTGCTATTTGTCCTTCAACGTAGTCAAGATTTAATATAGTACCCTTATATTATAATTTTGCTCTTAATTGAAACCAGCAAGGACATCTGCTGTGCCTCTCTCAGGGGTACGCTTGTATCAGATGTTGTCATCAGTGTGCAAGGATGTTTCTTTCTCAGCTCCCTATGTAGACAATAAACAGTCCAAGGTTCAACCGACAATCAATTCTCTGCACTCTGAACACGAGGACTTAAGAAACAAAAGCACGTGTCAAGAAAACGCCATCAGTTTGTACAGATTTTTAACACAGCAGAACCTTCCCATTACGTCTGAGCGATTTTCATGCAACTTGGAAGACAAGAAGTTTCTTGTGGCTTCCAAAATCCGTTTACTACTCATACTATTATCACTACTACTATTTCTACTACTACTACTACTACTACTACTACTACTACTACTACTACTACTGGGGGCAGGGGGCACGGGTGGCCCAGTCGTCTAAGGCGCCGCAATTCGCTCTGCAGAGTTGCGTCCCTTGGGTACGCCAGAAACCTATGATTGTGGGTTCGAATCCCGGTTCGCCCCGATTATGTTTCTAGGTTTGTCAGCACCATACCCGTGCTCGTGGGTTTCACCGAAGTGGTAAACGTCTGAGACCTGCATCACTTCGGGATTTCCTCCCACATTAAGCTGACACGCCGTGATATAACTGGAATACTGTTAAAAGCGGCGTTAACCCAACTCACTCACTACTGCGGGCACAGTCTTCGAAGGTGCTGCAATTCGCTGTACGAGTTGCGTCCCTTGTTGACGCCATCGCTCGTGGATTGGAATCCTGGTTTGCCCGATACAATTGTCAGCAACATACCCGTGCTTGTGGGTTTCACAGAAGTGACAAACATCTTAGACCTGCATCGCTTTGGGCTTTTCTCTCACATTACGCTGACACGCCATGATACAACTGGAATATATTTCCAAGGCGCGCTAAACCGGTCTCACTCCCTCACAGCCACTACTACCTCTGTCAGAAAAAATAGGAATACATCATTCAGAAAGTTCGCCAAATTTATTTATCCAATATGAGCAGAAGAAGATGATAAACGCTACGATAAAGCTAAATTCATTACGCGTAGAAACTTTGACCAATGGACATTTACAGGACGATTATGCGTAACACTTGTTTATCATAACACGTTAATCATTGTTAATCATTACAGTGACAATTCCTTTAGTTTTTGCGACTAAACAAATTGCAACGCGTAAAGGCAGTATATTATCTGTAACGCTCCATTTCCTGGATTGGATATAATGTTTACATGTAAAGACGTTAGCTTTACGGGTAACGAGCGTGTAAACTTTCATCACTATTCATTGATCAAAGGCTTTATGTGTTTTGACTTCAGCTTTACGTGTTAGGCGTAAATACATTAGTTTTACGCATGTGAAGTGTGGTTACACGTCAACCTACATGGTCGGTCTTTACACTTAAAGTTTTAGGAGATAAACATACTGTGTTTTCAATGTAGGGCTAGGTTACCTGTGGATTTAACCGCATGAATTTGGAATCGAACGCGCATGACTAAATAAAACGCGAACTCTTTGGTGTTTGCAAATATATTGAGTGAAGCGGCATGGGTTGAGTCCAGTGTTTTGAGTGGGTTGTCGGTCTGAATTACGGAATCACCGACAACAGTCTGTAAACAAAATATGCCGTTTTATATTACTAAGCAGTTTGTCTCCACCGTAATACTTCACTCGAACATATGACAAGCATTGAAAACATATAAGCACGGCAAGCTCACGTGAGGTGGGCATCCCTAAATAAAACAAAGCAAGCTTTGCAAGACTTTCGTTCTACACAACGCGTCACCATTATGACGTCATATCGCTCATTGTGACGCAAAAGATATGACGGTCACAGTCGTCAATAGAAAAGCACCAAGCTCTCTGTTGTCTCCAAAACGTAAATACATTCTTTTTGTAGATTTCTATCATGTTTTCTGCACGTAATGTATTGACACACATCCTTTGAATATTGTAATAACAGTAACTGTGCATTTTGTAACATGTAATTATACATATAATTATATAAATATGCCTACCGACAATGACTGAAAAAAGTACTATTCTATGAATATAAGCTTCCGCGGTGATGCAGGAGTCAAACCAGCTCTTTCAATCAGAGGGGGTTTATTGTGATTTAATAGCCTCTGATTTACCAATCAGAATCGAGTAATTTAAACATTCATGGTAGAACTGCGCTTTACTGTGTAACGTTTATAATAGATTGACCCTATCCGGTAACTATGGACATAAGGATGATACGTGTCGCCATAAACTCACTGAAATTTACAATGATGATGAGATGATGGCAAAAAGTGATCCGTTTTTATCCCAGCATTGATACACATTTACAAGCTGATCATGAGTGAAACAAACAAGAACATTTTTACAATATACAGTGTAAAATACAGTCTGGCATACAAATACAAACACTACATATGTGCAGTTTCCATGTTGATACACACCACATGTAGTTGAGAAATATACAAAGAGAACTAAAACCGGCAGGCGTCCATCATGATCTGGTAAGACTTCAGCGCTGAAAGATAAAAGATGAAATTGTACAACAATTGATCTAATGTGGAATGAATAGCAGCATCTTGTGTGAGAGACATTTCCTACTGTGCATTAAAATACATAATGATTTCTGATTCACTTTGTATTGTGCAATATTGTAGCATGACAAGTGGATGAACTAAAATATCTAGTTTTTACATCATTTTGGAGTGAAACAAATGTGTTTCCCACTTTGCTGCCTTGAAATACGGATGCCTTGTATTATTACTTGGAACCCAACGTTTATCGGGTCTCTAATTTTCTATGTGATAGTCAAAGAATTAATTGCATTCAGCGCACATCATAAGTACCAGTCTGATTTGTCAGTGAGTGTGAGAGTGGTCTTGTGTAGCTAATCTAGCAATGCACCGGATTTCACTCATACTACCCATATGAGGAATCGAACCCGGGTCTTCACCGTGTTTACTGACGCTTCTGCAAGTAAACTACCCTAGTACCTGCTTAGTGTCTGACAAAACACCACTGTGTCAAACCATCTGCTGCCAGAGAACGTTCAACATTGCTTACACGTCAGTTAGGTCTTGTGGTGCATGCTTGAAATTAGTTTTCTAATAATTAAAATACATTTCTTCCGATGGTGTTTCTTGTTTGGCATTGTCATATATTCATAGATCAAGGTTTCCAGGTTTCATTTGTGCTAAGTTGTATTATCCAGACGGTATTAACGTCTCAGATTACAGAGAGACCACTAACAGGTGAAATGGTTCCAGAAATTTTAAATTAACCCAACAGTTACCATTTTTTTGTCCATATTTGCTGATGTATCATGTAAGTCATTACTGATTATACGTGTTCAGTCAGTAAAGCAGTGATCATAACACCCTACAGTGCAGAAGATGTCGAGATCTTCCACAAAATTACACAGCAATGAAAGACAACGGATACAAATTCGTGTATAAATCAATTTGATGACATCGTCAAATAAACATCTCTGTGACGTGACAAGTCATGATTATGTCACTGCACTGGTCAGTTTCGAACAGTTTTGAACAGTGAGTGATTACAGGCAAGGCATGGGGACGAGTTATGTCGAGATGTTTAGACGGTTGGGTGAAAGTTGTTTTTCCACACAGAATAGTACAGACATAGTCAGCACAAACTTGTGGTCATCTGTCACTCCTGTTGGGTGAAAGTTGTTTCTCCAGACAAAATAGTGTAGACATAGTCTGGAAACAGTTTCGTCACAAACGTGTGGTCATCTGTTTCAGCAACGACTCTTGTCTGTGTGCTACTACTACAGTGCATATATTTCTTGATACTTTTATATATTTTTCACAAATTACCCTTAACAAGGGAAATCCTTATATTTGCAAATCGGTAGGCACGGTATAGCTCATTTATCACGACACTAATAAAACACAATGGCATTCCCTCAGCAAACTCATTTATGTGAACCTTAAATTACGTAATCCTAGATAAAGCATGTCGTATTCGTGGCGAGACGAGTTTTCCTCTCTTGGTCAAGTGTCGATAAATATTCATCCCCAGCAGGCACATGTTTAACGATCTTCCAAACTATAATTAAAATATGCTTTTATAATTATATAATCATAAAAACTTTGTTTGGCAATACTGAGATTACCATCTTATCATCCCCTTTTACAGTCGTGAATACCATGGTCAAGCGTTAATACCTATTCCCTTGGCGGTAGACATATGTTTAAAAACGGACATACCAGTACATGTAAATGATATAAGTTCCCATTAGCTGCCTACCATATACTGAACTGAACTTTATCGGCTTTGGGCAGATAACATTGTGTCAAACCCA